CTCCTTCTGCGAGCAAGTTATGCTCGCGAAAGAGATTGCGGAGCGGGACCGCGAGAGGTTTAGGACTACCGCAGGCGACTAAGGCGCCGTAGGTCGCAGAACGACCTCCGTCCCTCATAAGCGCAGGCCTGGGGGTGACAGGTGAGGCCATCTGTCACCCTAGCAGAAGCAGGCCGGGGTGGCGGCGAGCGCATTGCGAAGCGCGCTCGCTTCCAGGGAGCAGAGGGAACATGGGGTTCCCACACGGGGAGGGTCGTCTACCTGTTGTTGTAGATGGCCCGAGGTATGTCGGGGCACCAGGGACTTCCTTTCTAGGGTATACCTGGGTCCCCGGCTTCTAGTACCCGAGACGGCGTGCGGTTTAAGTCGGTTCGAGTCCGACATGCCACCGATAGGTGGTATCCGAGGGGATTTCCGCACGGGAAAAAAAAAAGAAGGATATATAATTGTGTGATGATGATTCGTGCTGTGTCTGGGTGTCATTTATCTATAATATGCATTTATTTAGAAATTTATAAATGTGTTTATCAGCAGTCTGCTCATCATAGCACACAGAGCCTGTCCTATGGTAACCAGACTGCACCTAGTCTGAAATCAGACGGCCGTGTGTGAGTTGTATGAAATTTGTAAACTTATAAGCGAGAAGCGACGAGTCCGGGGATGTTAAAAGTGGTATTTCTTACATGAAAGACATCTTTTTTTGTCTTGATATGACGTTAGACATCATGCCTTACTATATATTTTATTGGTTGATTGATTTTAAACGTGTTTTTATTCTATTTTCATAAGAAGGATTCATTTTTTTATTGTTTAATTTATTTTACAATAATTTTGATTGATTTAATGATATTGCGGTGTTGTAAATCTAGAGAATATTTGTTTATTTTGAAAATGTATCAGAAAAATACCGACTGCTTTAAGTTTTGCTAGTTTATAGTTATTATTGTTAGCGCTCCTTGAGGGAGGTCTTTACACAGCGGTGGACGTCAATAGGCTGATGATGATGATGTCTAATTATTAAGAATAAAAAAAAAAAGATAGATTTTTTTTTTCTTTATTCCTTTATTTATTACATATAAAAACTATAGACTAATTACAGGTTCGGATACAGGACATTGTTTGTTATGGGTCCAAAGAGAAGTAAACTGCCTTCTGCATCAGTTAAATGATCTTAAGGTGTTGCTCTAGACTTTTGATTGGAAAGTCAAAACTGCTAGAAGTTTGCTCAAGCCCCTGAAACAAAGATACTAATTAAACAATATATAAATAAAATAATAATGACATATTAAATGCGTGACATTTTTATTCATTGAGTTACTGTATTTAATGCAACGCATATTACCACTGTTAAGTCCCTATTCCTCCAAGGACCTGAAATTACCCGGGTCCTAACAGAGTAGGACTCCTGAGTCCCGAAGGGGCAGGATCCTATTCCCAGGAGGTCCCTATTCCCCCATTATGTTAAAGCTATATGTTCTAAACACGAATAAACATACGTTGTATTTTTTTAAATTTATACATGAATTTTAAACATAGGCACATAGAAATATCCAATCAAATGTAAATTTACACAGTAATCATCATCATCAACAGCCTTCAATATTCCACCACTGGACAAAGGCCTCTCCTTAGAAAGGAGGTTTTGACCTACTATACAATGCTGGTAAGACGGGATTAAATTTTTCTTTCTCTTTGTTCTGCGTGATTTACTCTCTTAATCGCACCTTACGACACCCACGGGATGAATGCACACTCATATACATATAACATTATACATACTGTAATAAGCGGAATATCTGTAATAAGCATATTTGTAATAAGCGGAATTCGAATGCGTGTATGGAAGAACAGGTGTCATATCTCTTCAACACAAGAATAGGACAGTATCTATATGATGGATCTCTCTTATATACATGTGAATGAAATCAAATCAGGGAGATAGGTTACCTTTCCTCCAGATCGATATCCTGGATGAAAGGAAACCGTCTATTAAGTATTTTATATGTATTTAACCTCATGGGTAGAGCACTAAATACTATTATACTGCCTCTAGAAAGAGCGATTCTACAAGTAGCTGCCGACCTTTCCTATTTCCCACAACTATATTATATTTAACGTGCAAGGTGATGTGGTCCGCCAAATTTTCTTACATCACGTCCTAAAACAACATATATTGCTTACCTGTCACGCTGATATTTCTAACCAAACGATGAAAAGATATAGTCAGTGCCTCACAATCAGGCTCAAAGTTTATTAATTTAAATAAATTATTTTCTTTTCTAGGTCCATTTCTATACAATAAATTAAATAGAGATCTTAGTATTTATAATAAAATTATGTTAGCTGTTTACACATTACATAATTATTTACAAATTTGGTAGTATGAGCAAACTGAGCAATTACTTTAAATATGTACCTAAATAAAAAAAAATTGAACGTTCTTAGTACATTATTTTTGACCAACTTATCACTGGTGTTGCTTATGTAGGCTATTAAAATGTTATGATTAAATTGTAGTAATGTAGATTTATACTGATAAAATCGTTTGTAAACACTTCTTCGCCCTAGACACAGGTTCAACCTAGTTCGGGCAAACAAACAACAAATGTATTTTATTTGTAAATTAGTGAACCATTTATTCAAATCCAGCGATCCGCCCCGGCTTCACACTGGTGCAGTGTAGATACTACTAATATTAATGTGGTGTCAGTGTGGAGTAATTAATTATACTATTATTATTATGAACTATACTACAGGATATCTTTATCTGCTAATATTTGGATAAGGAATAATAATGTATTGTTTAAAATAGCTTCGTAAATAAACCATTTTTTTTTATAATATTTAAAAGATAAAAATGGTTACCTAACGTGGGTTATTCTTAGGAGATGGACATGTACCATTACTATTTTTTGTACATCTTTTTAAGATACACAATTCCGTAGTACATTCTTTTGGCCTATCTTGTAAGGATTGAGCAGCGTTTGCAATGCAACGCAAAACCATGTTCTTTACGATAGATCTTTGAAATTCTCGTATTTTCTCTACTATAATATGCATGTATTAAACATATTATGCATATAAACCTCCTTTCTCTTGAATAACTCTTTATTTTTAGGTTTTTTAAGAAGATAGGTGATGGATGGTTTAGGAAGATAGAGAGAGCTCTATTGGTGAAAACCGCATTAAAACGATCCGCTGCTTAGTTGAAAAGATCTAAGCGTACAACTAAAAAAGCGACTTTATTTTATACAATGTAAAGATTATTGTACTCTTTACCTAAATAAATATTATTATTATTATTTTATTAACTGCAAAATTTGAAACTCTTATAAATTTTATTTCTTTATAAACAGACAAAGAGAATAAAATATTTAATAGAAAAAGAGCTAAACAGGACATTATCATGCGTCACAGCTTAGTAATTTACTTGTTTTGTTTATGGCTCGTTTATTCAAAGTGCCTTCTTTACAACGTAGTAACGTTCTAAGCACCTGTTCGTAAAGGACATTCACATTTTTTTCAAGGTCTTTCAAAACATTTTCATATGAACTATTCCATAAAAGCTCATTCATAAAGTATTTAAAAAAATTATAAGTTAATAATTATTAACATAATCACAGGAAATTCATTCAGCTATTCAAAAAGGCAATTCAAAAGCCGATTTTGTGTTATATGCTACATTTAGCATTAGCAATGAGTGCTCATTCATAATTCACATAGGAAACTCAGTAAAACATCGCCACAAAATCATCATAGTCAAGTTTACTGTGTGCGTGCCTACCGTGTTCAGTGACCCGGGATGTTGGATCAAAGAATTAGAGCCCGCAGTCTCTTCTCATTAGCTCAGTCACGAATCACACCTCCAAGACATCTTGTACGACAATCGTCGCAAAAGCAATCTAATAAACAGTTGCGTAGAGTAGATTTCTGTCAAACCGTTCCTTTCTGCTTCTGATGAATGACAAACTTACAAGTCTTTTGAAATTATTGTACTTGAACACGAATGTATATATATATGCTTAGATAAACCATGATATATAACTTAATAAAAATTAATGGTGGTTGTATATAAACAAACTTAAAATAATGTATGGATATCTAGTCTTGTTAGGGAATCGTCAGTATGTACTGAAGAAAAATCACAGTGCATGTTAAATAATTATATTCTGAATGTAGGCCCAGGACTTGTATTTCGATGATGACGATGTGTGTATTTTCATTAGGTATTGTTGATTTAGATTACTATTTTGGTTTCTCAAGTATTTGACAAGAGTATTGGACGATATTTACTGCCATTTCACCACCAAGTATCACAGACTCTTGGTGCTGGATGGTAGTAAATTGAGTTAAATGCCCTTGGTATGTCAATCCTGAGTTTAGTTTCATATAAAATGAACTATCAGCTAAGATCAAACTTTAGTTATTAATTATGTTACGTAGTACAGTGTAATTAAATTAAGTGACTTGGTAAACACGAATACCATCAGATTTTATTCCCTGTGTTAATCATTATTTCAAAGAATATAATGGAGCAATAGTCAATAAAACAAATGGGTTTCTCTAACTTCTTTGATGACTCTTTGGATTACAAAAAATAAAATCTTAAGTAGATTTTACTCAATAAGGCTGATAAGTCTAGTTAGTACATGTATCTTTAAATATGGGTTTTTGCGGAAGCTTTCTTTGGTTGATCCTAAACCCGGATTCAGGAGTCACCTAAAAGCCTAAAAGAAAGACCGTACCTAACCGAATTATGCTGTCCTGAAGATTTTCAAGCTTTGTTAATAATTTCAAATATTTTTTAACATCTTTAGAGACATTTTCAAAAGTAATGGTTGGTTAAACATTACCTCTCCTATTTTTTTTCCTTAGCGAGTTACAACGAGTAGTAATTTATACTTTGTATACTTTTGTGAAAGGACTATAAGGTATAGACTTACACTTTATGGTCTTTAAAGAATCCATTCTATGATAGTTACTTAATAAAAAACAGCACTCTATCGACTTTTATTCAAGGCTAAGATAATTTCAATTAGTGAAATAGGACAGTCGTGGATTTTTTCACAGATGTTATGCTCCAGTAGTTCTTCGTAAGTCTCGTTTACTTCACTCTTGAACTCCTCCTCGTGGACAGGAGCACTAAAATAAAAACATCAGTGGTACTTGCAATATAAAGGAATCAAATTATATTAAAAGTGAGCACCGTGAGGGAAGTTTTTTTTTGTTTGAACACCACTAATATTAGGATTAGCGATTTTTATTATCAGAAACAGTCAGTAGAAACGTAGAACAAATGAAATCCCAACACCGTTGGATAGATTAAATTATAAATAAATATTTTTTAAGAGTTAGAGTTAGATTACTCAGCAATTTTTTTTAAAATGAGTTTTCTAATATTTTTGTGTCAAACGTCTAAAATATTAATTTACGCAAATAGGTCTAAATACGATAGTTCTTCTCTTGAACAAATATTTACTTAACGATTTCTTAAAGGTTCACGATTGTTAGATTTTAAATTGTTAAAAGTTGACAAAAGTTAAGTATTCATAAAAAAAATAATTGTACTATTTGTAGCATGAAATGAAATTAGTATTGGATGTTCGGGTCTTACTCGTATTATAAAACCATACAGATTTAGTTTAGTTTAGTTGCTTTTAATCTTTTGGAGCTTGCACAATGTCATTTAAAGCATTATCGGCTTTCCAACGACAGAAACATTTTGTCTTCATGTTTCTAGAGTAAGTCAAATCTCCACAAAATTCAACCACACTGCAAGTGAGATCGTTGTGACCGCTTTGAGAAGTAACTATCTCTGATGATATACTCTGCTCTCTACATCCCTAACCTCAATAAATTGCCCCGATCCAGCTTCGAAAATATTGATACACTACTGCCAAAAAATCTTAACTAAACATGTAAAATGAAATTCACTACCAGTATCAAGTATTCAGTAGTATTCCTATTCCAAGAAACAAAACTTGCACATCAAGTAATTAATTTATATTACCTCGTCTTGGTGTAAATCACTAGAAATGAGGAAATCCCAACTAGCTCAGTGATCGGTATTCAATTAGAATCACTAGCTTAATGTAATAAGGAAACACTTCACTCCTTCCATTAATCAAATCTACCATCTGCAATGTTCTTGGAATGGTAATAAGGTTTCACGCTATGTAACCGATTGAGACAGATGTAAATTATCGTCTCTGTGGCTATTGCGTTTTTGTACTTAAATTAACGTTAAATGAATTTATAAATCTATCATTAAGCTATATTTTAGTGGAAGTTTGATGTTTTCTTTGATGCATCATATCTGAGCTCTAGGAATACAGTTCTGTCACAATCTTGCAAAGTAGTAAGGTCAGGAATGATAAATAGTTTACAAGAATGTTTATGCTGTTTACCGTGGCTACTTGCGAATGAGCGCCTATGAATAAAGGAATAAGGTTTTTGTGAATGAGACCTAATTAAATAAAGTTTAAAAGAATTAATCTTGTCTAAATTTAAGGTTTGATCCAAATAGTTGAAGTGAAATAAATTGATATTATAACATACCATACAAAATTTGGTGACTTAAACTATGTCCTAAAACAAATTTTACGTCATTTGTTATTCATGTTGCTTTGGGATAAGATAATATGCTTCAAATACCAAATGATTTCTAAAAAAAATGAATAAAAAGACTAAATTTAAACCTTTATTAAGTGCCATTGTCATTTTTTTATACAAAGGAAACTAACAGTTACGAACACTATTGAATTCAAAAGATTATTAATTAAAAAGTACTTACGAAAATATACTTCTTAATATGTCATGCACCAGTGATCTCCCAGCTGGTGCTAAGTGCAGCTTTGCCTCACATATACTTCTATAAATACAGGACCGGCCATTCATGTTGTAACTGAAAAATTACACCGCTAGATTAAATAAGGAAAACCAACTTACAGGTTAGATGGTAAGCAGTTACTGTAGCACATGTTATGCAGCACTGGAGTAATTAAAACTGTGACTTTTAAATGAATTTTTAGGTTTGTTTGAGACGATGCATAAACCTATTGTTATTTCTTTTATTATGTTCCGAAGCATGAATCTCTTATCCTTTTGTACACGTCATTCAGGACAGTTTGAAGTTCTGGTGCTTCTTTACAGCACATTACATTCACCATATAGTTTGAATGGCAAAATTGCAAGACGAGTTTCGCGAAGTTCGCATTTTGACCCGCTTCGCTTGCTTAAAAATCGTCGAATTTGTTCTTAGGTATATTTTTTTATGAAAGACGGGGCAAACTAGTGGGCGGGTCACCCGATGGAAAGTGTAAAAAATAACTAAAGGATCATTAGTTTTTTTTCAGTATATTGGACATTAACTTATATTGGCTGATGACACTCAAAGTATTTTGCATTTCAAATATTTCAATGACTACTCGTAGCATATCTTTTTTTTAAATTAATATTTCTTATGTGAATATTTTTTATAGAACTCATGTATGAGGTTATTTATTACAGGCTTTGTATCTAAAGATTTTTTTATGAAAGTGATATATTTCTTTAAAATAAAATAGATAAAACTAAAATCGTATAAAGTGTGTCCATAGATCGTGTAGACGCCAGAAGACCCGGCTGCTAGCTAGCTGTGTTTTCGTGATGTAGCCTATGGGATATCGACTTAATTTCAACTTTAGGAATACAGTATTATGTGGTCGGTTTTTTTATGAATAGTGTAATACCTCTTTTAGGCTTGTATAGACAAAATTTAATTGAAGACGCTCCTTGCAAAGTAATTGTTAAGTCAAAAATTGCTACATTTGAAATTATTACTATAAGATAAAACTGTTCAGCACCAAGTAGGTTCTACTTTTGTTTGTGATACATGGAATTATTGAATATTTTCACTTGAATCAAATTTTGCGTATTAATAATGTACTTAGAATGCTACTCCATGAATTTACTAAATCAAATGTATTTATAGGTATCTCAAAATACAAAACGAAGAATCAGTAATTCCAGTCAATTATTGTACGAGAAACATTGTTATTTTTAACACGCTTTTATTAGCTTCACCTGTATGTTTGTTTGTATGTAACCGACTCCTTTGAGCTCGATTTTGCCCTACTTTGAACGATCAGATTTGATTCAAACTTTTTCAAAATACGAGTGTCGATGTTTATTCAATGGTCGCGTAGAATTCTGATTCTGATTAAACGAATATTTACTGTTTCTTTTTTTAATTAAAAACAAATATGTAATAAACCATTGGCTAACCAAATTGAGTCTCCTGAATTTTGTAGAAATTAAGTACCTTCCAAGAGCAGCTTCAATAGTTTCCCAAAGCTCTCGCTTTTGTCGATGATGGAACTTTTTCTTAAAATATGCATTCGTCATCTCTGGACTCGGTAAAGGATAGATTACGTCGATTTCTACGGCGATATTCCAACCAGATGGGGCGTGAACAAGGACAGCCTTAACCAAAGACAATGTCATCTGAAAAGTAAATAATATTATGTCTTTTATTAAGTTTTCTTAGCGAACAGCCTGATAAACTGCACCTTTATGTCTTTTGAGTTTTCTCTACTAGTATTAATATCTTACCTACCCAATTCATCCCGTGGGTGCCGTAAGAACCGACTAAGGGCGCAAAACAACGCAGAACACCAGCACTGCAAAAAGACGGAAAACTTGACACAAACCCTATACCAACCCGCCTGGCCAGCGTGGTATAGTAGGCCAAAACCTTCTTTCTAAGGAGAGGCCTATGTCCATCAGTGGACTATTAAAGGATGTTGATGTGATGATGATTAATATCTTGAAAGACTACTTTATAGACAAAGAAAACAGTGGCACTCCGGGAGTGCCGACAGAAGTGAAAATTTATATACGGTAAACGGTGTACGTGTCGGTAACGGTAACAGTGTCGCGAGATCAATTATTGACGTGGCCATAGGCTGTTAAAATTAAACAGCTAGTATGGCTATGTCACTAACTTATAATATGAAGTAAATAAAAAGATTAGTGCTTTTAACACTAACCATAGCGAGAAAGTTATATTTATTTTATTTTTATTTTGTTTTACAACTTTATGAACTTGTGTATATGGGCGGACTTAATGCCCAGAGCATTCTCTACCAGCCAACCTTTGGGGAGGTGTAAAATCTGGTGAGGTAGGTGCACTGAGGTTATAGTTGTAATAGTAGCACAGATGTATCTTTTTTTTTCTGACACACTAGGAATGAAGATTTTTTTTTCCCCGCTCTGTCCCAGACAGTGTCCTTAATTTAAGATTTCAACATTTTCAACAAATAACCACTATACATAAGTATTTTTTTTTCTACAGATGTAAGTTCAAAGAAATATTCGAGGTAATTACGAATTATAAGTAAGGGGACTATTTCTTTTACACTAACGGCGCTAATTTAACCGCAATGTTTTTTTACTACTGTAATGAACAGTCGGATTTTTTAAGCCAGTTTTACTTGTGGTAAAGAGGTGGGGAGCCGGGGCACTTGTCTTTGGCCTAGGGTAGACGAGAAAAAAAGTATGTTTCGTTTTGTTTCTAGTAATCAATATTACATATCAACCTATGTGAAATTACGTTTCTACACAATAAATACCCAGACATGGCGAAACCATAAAGATTCCTAAGAGTATGGAACTTTAAAAATACGATGTGATGCTTTTGTTATTAGATTATGCTGAAACTGATAATGTTACAACTAACACATTTAATGCATTCCAAAGAATAAAAAGTTATTGCTAGATTTTACTTTCTGGTTTGTTATACTTAAAACTATTTGTTTTATATTCCTATTTACTCCAGGCCATGTTTAGACACCATTTATGAAATACTCATATCAAAACATGTAATCAAAATTAATAAAAAAACAACCACTTACTACAATGGCAGTCCCAGGCGGAAACGTCAAATGCCTCTTTTTCCTGAGGCCTTCAAAAGGAGCCTTCACATTGGCACAACGATCGTTACCTCCAGTATACTCTGCCTGAGACTCGAGCACACTCGTCACAAGTGTTATTATAAGAAAATTTATCAGATTCATGTTTTTTGTTCAAGAATTCAACTGGATACACTGGTTTAAGTAAAGCAGCAATGTAAGAGCCGACGTTTGTGTTCTCGTGACTGTTCGGTGTGTAAACGTTAAAATAGTACGGAGTGTGCTATTTTATTTTCAAGAGTAAACGAGACAAAACTTCTTACTTATTCTGATCTCCTGGTATTACGACATAATCGGTACTCTTTTTTTGTTGTAAATGTTTATTTATTGGTATTATTTTTATGTTTAAAATATTACGTAATTTTCTAATGGCTCTTTTTCGACTGACTATAGTCATTACCGCACGTAATATAATTAAATATAAAATCTTAATTAATTTAAAAAATTTATAGGAACCGTGAACTTGCGTTACACACTTCCATTGGCTTTATGTTGTATCAGTTACGTTAACTTACCCATTCACCACGTGATTTCGCAAGTATGGTTAGTTTCAAAAGTCACGTGTTTTTTAGGGTTCCATCACAATTATTTTTTTTATGAGTTACGAAAAGATCGAATTTTGCAGATAAAACTTATTTTATGAGAGGTTTCAATGGTGGCGCAATAGCTTGTCGGATATGCGGTCAAGCAGTTGAGGATTCGAACTGGGGTTCGGTGGGAACTCTAACAAAGTAAAACCAGTTCTAAAACAAAAATTTAGCTTACCTGAAGAAATTAACGAAAATACTAGTAATATATTACGCACATTACTAAATAACTAAGAAAAACATTATTTTAAATTTATTAGCTTTAACTGAACCCAAATCTGCTACGAGTTGTTTCGCTTAACAAGACGCAAATTGAAGGGTACCTTCAAATTAACTTGACAAATACAAAGTCAAAACAAACAAACAAAACTATTTATTAATTCATAAAATCCCTTTTTTTATTGCTTTCCGGGTAATATTTGTTTTGTACATACAACAATGCTAGGTGTTTGTTGTATGTTTATATGACGTGTATTATGACTTACATATAAGCAGGATATTTGTTCTAAACAGATATAAAAACAGTAGTTTTTTTACTTGTACACTAAGTGTACTGTCTGTCTGTAAGTGACTGTCTGCTTTTAAACTTGACTTGACTGGCTGAGCAGACAGAGGGTCAATTCTCGTAAAAAAAAAATCGTTTAAAATTTAATTCTCATCTACTCTCGATCTTACAAATGTCAAAAAGTATTTTGGTTGTGAAGTATTAAGATAATAAAACTAGCAGATTGCCGATATAACTTCTGGTCACAATACGATATAACCGCTTTATAGTCAACGTTGGATGTTTCATACTTTACTACAAAAATACCTTTTATGACGGAACTGAATTTAGAAGGAAATTTTATTAAGAGAATTGACCTTCGAGATAATAAATCAGTCAAATTGTTAGTAAAGTGTTCGCTATTCTACTTATATGTAACACTAACTGAATGATATACGGCAATATATCACATCTCAATTAATATTATTTAAAATCAAATAACTCGGCAAGCAATAAAAAAGGGATTTTATGAATTAATAGTTTTGTCCCTCAAAATAACTAAATAATTAGCTAATTAATAATTAGCTCATGGAAAAGGTCTTCATAAAGTAGACAGAATAATCTTTCGATAAGACTTTCATGGTGGCTTATATGGTGTTTTAGTCGAACACACAACGTACGTACATATCAAACGCAGGAATACAAAGAGTTTAAAAATGAAACAAATGTGTTAATATTCAGGAATCAAGACTGGTAACAATGTATTATTTAAAGATCTAAAATCCAAAAGACTGCAATATCGAAAAGATCCCAAAGATCTTCTATAAAGTGAAATCAAAGATCACTAAAACAGAGCTGCTTCCATAGTAACACAACACCACACGAACTATCTTCAAGTTCAGTATTTGATCATTTAATTAGAGCGTCTACATACATCTACCGTATGCACTTTTGAGAGACAGTCAGTGAGTTTGCTGTTGTGAAATGCTATTATTACTATGAACGATTGTTTAGTGTTTATTTTTCACAGATAGAGGTAGTATCTATAACATTTTGACTGCAATGCCAAATTTTGTTGTATAGATTTTGTTTAGAAACAATAGGTTGTAAGTGTAATTTAAGTTATTAGGTATTGCAGTTTTGTGTTTTTAAAGAAGCCAACGACTAACTGTGGTGAGGGATTAAGAATACGGAATGTTACAACCTCTATTCATCCCGTGGGTGTCGTAAGAGCCGACTAAGGAAGCAAACTACGCTGAACAACAGCACTGCAAAGAGAAGAAAAACTTGACACAAACCCTATACCACGAGTTGGTATAGGGTTTGTGTGGCCAGCGTGGTATAGTAGGCCAAAACCTCATTTCTAAGGAGAGGCATATATCCTGCAATGGACTGTTATAGGCTGTTGATGATGAACGACTGACTATTGAGTTTGCTAGGGCATGTATACGAGTATATGTATGTGTTCACAAATCCTTTCTAGAAAAGCAATCTCAAAACCTATGTTGTAATTAACACCTAATGCCTTAAATTAAATTCATTCCATGCAAAACCTCCTTTCTAAGGAGAGGCCTATGTCCAGCAGTGGACTGTTAAAGGCTATTGATGTGATGTGTGATGTGATGTGAAGCAAATATTAATAACAAAAGGATAAAATACATATTGCATTAAGTTTATTGCTTGGCTACATATAGTAAATACACAAACACAAAACAATATATCGGATTACATTATAGGAGAATGTTCACAATTCGGATACAAGTGCGCACAGTCTCCATTGGCCCCGTGGGCGTCGTCGTATTGGTTATGAACTTTGGACTCGACGTGGACTTTCGGTAATCTGAAATTATGTTGCAAGTTTAGGTTTGGAGTTTGTAAAATATATTAGGTGTAAGAGCAAAATACATCAAGGTAGATTAAAATGTTTGTAACTCCTGATTTGTAAGCGCTCATGGGCGGCGGTAGCTGCTATACATCGGGTGACCCGTCGCCGCGTCGGCTCGTTTGCCCCCTCTTCCATAAAAAAAAGCTGCGACCTATAACCAAACATCAATGAAAAATGTTGCACATCGGGGGAAAATATATTCCTGTAAAGAAACGCAGACGACTTTGCGCGGGTCAGCTAGTTAATACTATAACGCATGTTTATAAGCAAAAACTCTTTTTAGAGTAGTTTTTTCCAAAATCTTAGTTAAAGACTATTTTAAAAGACGTCTCAAGTATCGGTTAAACTCTGATTGCCTGAAACTAGTTTAAAGTGCAGATCAAAACTTAATTATAGATAGTTTAAGTTTTACTCAGGGGCAAACAAAGATCATCGCTGTCAAGATTTATACTTGAGTAAAGATTTGGACATAAATATCTTTCTAAAATAAGCTATCACTCACTTGAGTATGGATCAGTGAATCTCGTTTTAAGTGACAGTTTTAAGTGACATAAAATTAGTTTTAAGACTACATTCATAACTGAGACACCTTTTAAAATACGGGCCTAAGATAAGAGACATGGTGTCAAGAGTCGCGCGTTATGTACGTTTTGCCTTTTTTTGGCGATGAATGCGCTATGAAATGCGCTGAAATTTGGTTGAGATTCTATACTAAACTAAACTTACGTAAATACAGCTCGAAATATTTCATCCAGAAATGTGCCTTGGGCTGCTTCTAGCTTTCCTGTTTGGCAAAGCAGATGTAATACACAGTCTCGATAGTTCCATCCAAGCCTTGAAAGCAAATTTAAAGTACACTATATAGTATTAAATCAATTCAACTTCGGCGCAAAGCGTGAATTCCAAAGTCCGAAGTCCTTTATAAATATATATTCATTTTTTTTTTATTTCTACATTCTTTTGTTTAAAATATTCTCTTTATTTTTTTAAATAAAAAGTTTCACTCACGTATCCTCTACATAAATATTTAATTTATTTACGAATGTTACTTACGCTTGTAAGAACTTTTCCAGCTTTGCATAAAGTTCCTGCCTTCCGTTTCTGTGAAAAGCTATTTCTGTCGCATCAAATTCATACCAATAGTTTTTGTTTTTTTGATTAAGGTGCAATTTCTTGACATAATTTGAATCAATTTTATTTTTTCCTCTCATGCTATCAGTGCTTCTTTTAGCAAAAGCTGGATTAATAATAATTTTTCTGGAAAAAAAAAATAAGTTTTAAGTTTAAATTTCCATTACTACAAAAGCTGTTAATAGAAACGTCTGTCATTTGACCCAGTACAAGTTACAAGTTTGCAACCCAGGGCTGGTTAGTTCACCCTTAAAGTTCCGTTTACAGTTTTCCTTTATAATTCTATTTATTTTATTTTCTAACTTTATGCACAAAGGTGAATGACCATTAGTGGTACCGGTTTTTCTCACGGGCACAGATAAAATATTATCAAAATTATTTCTTTCTAGACCAGTCTGCTCGTTTTTTGCTCTTTCAAAAAAGAGACATGACTGATATGATGATGATATGACATAATTAGATCCTATTAGACCTAATTATATCATCTGGTTATCTATACCTACTTTTTAAAGTTATTTGATTTTGTTGTACTTAATATTTATTTTATAGATTTATTTACATGTTACTTTACTTCGGTTTGATTAAGATCTTGCTAATAAAAAATTAAGAAATGAAACAAAATCCAAAAGTTAATTTAAATACCGAGTGTCTTTGTCAAGTTAACTTAATATTCGATTGGAGATTTCGTTGCTTTTTACCGAGTGGGTGGGGGGGGGGGGGGGTTTATCAGAACCCGGCAGCACGCTTGTGTCTCTTGAGTTGCAGGTGCCCTTGAGCGGTGGTAATCACTTACCTTCAGATGACCCGCCTGACTTGGTAGCACTGGTTTTTGTATTATTATTTTCTTACCTTTTGTGTTCTTTCACATCAATCACTTTTCCTTCGTCATTTAAGTAGTAAATAACGTCATTCTTGCGATTCGCTTCGTAAAGCTTATGTTTATCTCTAAACATATCAAATACTCCAGGATCGGTTGGTAGCTCCCAGGCTAAAGCAGCTGTAGTACCGAACCATACAATATCACCAATATGAAGATAGCCGTGGTTTTGAGTACAGATAACTGAAAGATATCAATAAAGTTAGTAAAAGCCAAGCCAAGCCAAGCCAATATCATAAAAATTTATGAGTATACATGTTCGTCTTAGTTAAAATTTAATTGAATTTCTTCATGCTCATTGTAAATTATTTATGTTTTATAGGACAACCAGAATAAGACACCAGTATCTTAACTCCAATATTTACGAGTTGAAACTATGGCAAATTAAATTAAATTGTATTAACTATATATTCTTCAAAAACAAAACTAAAATAAAACAATAAGAGCATACCCTTTTAAGATTTCATTACAACAAACAAATAGTATTTCTCCGTAGCTTTAGACACTTTAACAATAAAAGAGGCATAAAGTTGATTATTGGAACAGACTATATGTAGATGTGTTCAGGAGTCATCGGTCTATAGAGATAAGTATGTACGGTATGGACCGATGATTAGTGTTACCTACCCAATTGAAATGAGCTGCCTTCAGGAAAAATTAAAAATCTCTTCCTTCTTGATAAGATTTTAGAAACAGATTGATTCTCGATCATGGACTGATTAGTTACGATTATATTTACTAGTGCTGATACTAACAATATGTGAAACATCATGTAGATCATTTTTTTAATCTGGAAGAGAAAGAGATTATTGTAGAATAGCCTATTCAAGTGCGAGTCGGACTCTCACGCAAAGGGTTATCCAAAGACAGTTTTTTTGTACAAACCACGTTTAACTTATTAGATGTTGTAATAAGAGCAACAGAAACATTACATTAAATTTCACCTCCCCATGTATTACATTTCCTATATGGAGTCCCGTTGCCACCCTTTGGGTATGGTACTCTGAAAATGTAGGGAAAATCTTATTAATTTCTTTCCTTTTCGTCATAAAAACCGCTGGGTACTATAGTAGGTGTGGTTTGCCATAAGAATCATCTATTCTGGTAGACTTTTTGGCTTTTTTTAGGTAACCCACTTAAATTAGCTCGGTCGGTTGGATTTGCAGATCAGTCGTAAAGTATCAACCTACTACTACACAACAAAAAAGAAATAAGGTAAATCTGTAACTCTATAGTAAATATCTTTTACAAGAAGCATAAAACTTTCTTCATTTACCAAAGAGAACCATTGAAAATAACGCCCTTTACTTTAACCCAACCCATGTACTTACGTTTCTATTTAATGCTCTAAGAACGTTAATCCTTCCGAGTTCCTAGAACCAACTGGCTTCAATTCTTGTACAACGGTCCCGTCTGTAAATGAGTTTGCATAAAATTTGCACGTTAGTACAAATAATGACAAGTTGTTTCGAGACGAATGCTAATGAAAGCACAAAGCGTGTATCTTCATACAATTAGTTAAAACAGAAGGTTTGTTTGTTAAATATTTTGTTTAGATTTTGTCTTAATCATCATCAAAACATGGTATTTTTTGTGCATGTCCATATTACTTACTGTTCACCCATAAACCATGTTATTGGCAAAAGCTATGACAGATTAGATGTGATGAATTGTTTGTTCTAGTCTCAATTATTATGCCAAATTTGTCATATATTCGCTACTGGAATTCCCTTGGCTTCATTAACAATATACGATAAATTTTATAACACAGTAATAAGCGTATTCTGGGATACTGCGCATTACTCTCTAAACCAAAGCTAACTATGGAATCTAGAAACTAATAAAAATATCGATCTTTACAAGCATTTGCCTTTCGCGGGAATGAATCCCGCAATGTCGTATGTTGTAGTACACCGCTGTTTTGGAAAAGACCTCAGAAAAACTAAATACAATAAGCATGTAATTGAAATGTGGTCAATTTGACCACCAAAAGGCTGGTCTTCACTAATAATACATTCTGAAAATAATAATTATGATCGCATATTTTACTCTACTTACACCAAAAACTAATCCCCGTACTACCGTTGGTTCAGAAAAGGAATTTCTCCTACAAAAATATGTCGGCGTAGTTATTTTGTACTAAAGTTATCAAATAACTTTGTGGAGAGAGCTAAGTCAAATCATAAGTATTAGTCGACGTACATCGGATAACAACCAGGCTTACATGAAATGCTAAAGCCTAATTGTCGATGTTTATGTTCCTGAAAATTCAGATCTACAACAAAGTACTCGTATCATTGACTTTGTACTTGTATTTTTACTACAAACTTTTTGTTTTCAGTTTATAATGATTATAACAAATAGTTTTTGAACCGTTAACTATGAAATAAAGTATTTGATAGTTATAGTCTGAACTATTAAATACTTATTTTTGTTTGAAGTCGAATACTGTGTGGAAATTCGAAGAACTACCTTAAATTTGTGCTATGATTTCCCATTCATGTTAATTGACTAAAATGGTAATATTATATGAATGATCCATGTTACAAATTAGTATCCAAACATCATAGTCCAACCTCTTTTTTGAGTAAATGCCTTGGGTTAAAATAGTAACAGCAGTAAATTTTTGGGTTAAGTTACCGTAGTGGTAGAGAGTGAAGTAACATTAAATATAGGTGTAAGACAACTCCAGTGTTAAATGGCAGCATTCGTTAAAGCATGAGTTACAATATTCGTTTTTTTTTTGTCAGTGCTAAAATAACTTTTCACATTAATTAAGTACATAACGAAAAATAAAATCATTAAAATATCGACACACAACAATATTCAAATAGTTAATCTTTGATTAATTGTACATATTGACTGTTAATTTTTTTGTCAGGAAAATTTGTCAGTTAGGCTTTGCTGTGGGCTTTGTTAATGTTTGCGGTGATAACACAGAAACTGACAAACTGTAGGTTAAAACCAGCAATTAACAATAATGGGGTTTTAATTCCCTAACAAATAGCTCTACCAATATGTCATACGACGTGCCTGAACGAAACGAGCCAATTAACATCTCATCTGTCATAACAGGCCTCTAGTTTTGATGTTAAAGGTATTTGTTTTCGTATTCAAAAGCGTATATTTCTCAGCAGCTAGACTATGAATGAGAATTAACTGTGTCATAAATTCTTTTTAGTGCGTGAATATGTTTTCAGAGGAATCTTTGCCTCAGGCTCTTATTCACTTCTGTACAGTGAGACGTAACCATGATACATGACATACGTTTATATTAATTCTGTAAAAAGCTTTATTTTACTTGAGACGTCGTTGAGCTTTCGACCACGATCGATATAAATCGATTGACAAGTTGGGCAACTAAAAACATATAATGTATCTTGTAGCGATTAGATCCCAATCTGTTTTCTTTTGTTATTTATTGGTCAAATTTTCAAAAATTATCGAAATTGGTGAATGATATAAAAATATAAATTTGGTATTTATATTTAAATTAATAGGGTACCTATTATAATTTTGTATTTTCATTTGAACCAATCTCTGGAACGGGTTTTCGTCTGCGGTATTTCCGGACCGATACGACCTTCAAACCTTCAAGAAAAGAGCGTACTCCTTCCTAAAAGGCCGGTAACGCGTTTGTGACTCCAGCGTTGCAGACGTTCATGGGCGGCGATGGTCACTTTCCTCGTTGTCTGCCTCCACTAACATAAAAAAAACTTTTTTTCTCTTTCATTCTCTCTTCTCTTAATAAATAATACCTTACCTTAAATGACGGGCCTGTTGGTCTAGTGGTTAGTGGCCCTGACTGCTAAGCCGGGAGGTCTTGGGTTCGATTCCCACCCAGGACAAATATTGTGTGATGAGCACGGTCATTTGTTCTGTGTCTGGGTGTAATTTATTTATAATATGTATGTATTTAAAAATATATAAGTATGTTTATCAGCAGTCTGGTTACCATAGCTCAGGCTCTGCCTAGTTTGGGATCAGACGGCCGTGTGTGAGATGTGTGAGGTTATTATTATTTTTATTATTAGTTCATTCATAGTATCCATTGTAGTTTTTTCTTATTAAAAGAAGTTTTCATTGTAATGTAAAATTAAGTGAGTACAAAAGAGTGCCAAAGGCTTTATCGAAAACTTATTGACTGGTTCATCCCTTTTATTACAATTTAACAACAGCTTTTAAAATGTAAAAATCATTTAAATTTGCTATAACAGGCTGAAGTTACGTTATTTGAATAAAATAATGATGTACCTTTGCTAATACTAGTGTATAAAACCTCTAATTGTTACTTATTAGTAATACAACTGAACAATATGTTAACTGGTCTTCGTTCTGAGGCTCGCTACAATAGGCAACTGACGTGATATTACATTTGCTCCGGACCACTACACAAGAGATAACATCATGCTCTATTTGACAGAGACCATTAAACATTTGAACAATTAATTAATTACGAATTGAGATCGCTAATCCGCTTGTCAATTTATAGCGTTGACATAATTACAGCGGTTGTGGATTTCTACGTCGTTTGTTATTTACTGATAGTGTTTTGATTGCTGTTTGCTTTACAGCAAATAATTAAATATACAATAGATGAATATATCGCCTAAATCTTAAGTGTTTCTGAAGTCCTCACCTCACCTTATGATTAACATCACAATGAATTTAAAGAAATATGGATGAATCTTACCATTATTTTAATACAATATTAAGATATATGAATTTTTTTTGTTAATATTTCACTTTTTTTTAGAATCATAGATCTTTTTTTTTTTCAAATATCTCACACACTCACACACGGCCGTCTGATCCCAAACTAGACAGAGCCTGTACTATGGTAACCAGACCGCTGATAAACATACTTATATATTTCTAAATACATACATATTATAGATAAATTACACCCAGACACAGAACAAATGACCGTGCTCATCACACAATATTTGTCCTGGGTGGGAATCGAACCCACGACCTCCGGTTTAGCAGTCAGGGTCACTAACCACTAGACCAACAGGCCCGTCAAATGATCAATGATCAATTCCAGTGACGAGAAAATTAGGAAGCAAAGAAACACTCACGGCTCGAGTTACAAGTATAGGTAACTATGACTGTATACATCAGAATGGTAGTAACTAATAAAATGTGAATCTCTTGCTGTAGGTTCTGTTCCAACATACTAACTTTGTCAAATATTACAGTTATTAAATGAGCTGAACTTATGTAAGATTTCGATCCTCACTTTTTGCATTTCAATACCGTAAATATTTCAAATTAAAAACATAAACAACATACTATTATAAATATGCAGTATTTTGCTAAACATATAATAGACGGGCCTGTTGGACTGTTGACAGGTTAAATAGTTGCGTGATGAGTATGATCATTTGTTCCGTGTCGGGGCGAAATTTATCTAAAATATGTATGTATTTCACGAAATTTGCTTTGTGATGTATTTAGAAATAAATATAACAATGATTAACAGCAATTGTTGTTCTGAGTCTGGGTGTTCTTTGTGTCCGTTTCATGTATGTTTGTAAAGTCCCCTACGACACAGAATATACTACTAATGCGGAAGTAAAAAAAAAAGAGTCTGGTTACCATAGTACAGGCTCTGCCTAGTTTAGGATCAGACAGCTATGTGTAAGGTTATTATTGTTATTTTATGTTGGTAAGTCTGAGTCTACAAGTCAGGCAGAAAATAGAAGAATAGTTTCAAGCAAATAGCGTAAAACAGAATTCTGCACCTACATGTAACATTTACAGCATATTTTTTGGAAGAAAGGTTAAATATTAGTAAAACAATGATAATAGGAACTCTTTATTAGTATTATAGTTAACTTTCTACACAGCCTGGGTACCGCGTTGAACAGTCGTCAGAAGGAGTATGTGCGGCATCATATTCCTGATGTTCTTCGAGGTCAAATTCTTTACCTTTAGGAAGGCTGTAATAAAACAGTGAAAAAAATATTAAATTATAAATATTATAAATATGCAGTATTTTGCTAAACATATAATAGACGGGCCTGTTGGACTGTTGACAGGTTAAATAGTTGCGTGATGAGTATGATCATTTGTTCCGTGTCGGGGCGAAATTTATCTAAAATATGTATGTATTTCACGAAATTTGCTTTGTGATGTATTTAGAAATAAATATAACAATGATTAACAGCAATTGTTGTTCTGAGTCTGGGTGTTCTTTGTGTCCGTTTCATGTATGTTTGTAAAGTCCCCTACGACACAGAATATACTACTAATGCGGAAGTAAAAAAAAAAGAGTCTGGTTACCATAGTACAGGCTCTGCCTAGTTTAGGATCAGACAGCTATGTGTAAGGTTATTATTGTTATTTTATGTTGGTAAGTCTGAGTCTACAAGTCAGGCAGAAAATAGAAGAATAGTTTCAAGCAAATAGCGTAAAACAGAATTCTGCACCTACATGTAACATTTACAGCATATTTTTTGGAAGAAAGGTTAAATATTAGTAAAACAATGATAATAGGAACTCTTTATTAGTATTATAGTTAACTTTCTACACAGCCTGGGTACCGCGTTGAACAGTCGTCAGAAGGAGTATGTGCGGCATCATATTCCTGATGTTCTTCGAGGTCAAATTCTTTACCTTTAGGAAGGCTGTAATAAAACAGTGAAAAAAATATTAAATTACAAATATAATCAGAAAAAATATGTATTACAACTTTCTAGGTAAATTTTTAATACACATATATTCCTAAAACAGGCGCCACTTTTATCAGCTTTTAATTTATGCGCGTTTGTGTTGCGCTTTTTTTAATCAACATTATACATACGTATGTTATAAGTTAATTAGATTACTCTCATATTGACTAAAAATGTTTGTTTTGAAACATTTAACAAACAATTCCTTTCGTTAATTTTTTTCCTTTCATTGACGTTAATATAATTAAAATTCCGAAAGTTTTCTCCCCATAACGACCAAATTGATGAAAAAACAATGTGACCTAATAACAGTGTGTAATAAAATCTTGGTTTCCGGAGGCATTAGAAATCTGAATATATACAAATTACTAAGAAACAAAGCTCGGGAACAAAATCGATACTCACGTGAAGACAACAGTGAGGAATTCCTCCAGGAATGTCCCCTGCCCCCTCCGGCGTTGCGCGGCCTCGCATAGTTTGTAAAGAACGCATTGCCTCCCGTCTCCACCAAGCCTGCACAGATTATAAACGCTGCTTAGAAATGCCTGGACTGTCTTAGTGAAATTGCAAAGCGGGTGTTTGAGCCCGAGATAACGGTTGTTATGGTAAATTTAACCACGAAATAGATATTATTTCGTGAGTAAAATATATATCTCTTACAAATTGTTAATGTAAAATAAACAGGAAGTAGTTGAATTTTGTTGATTAAAGTTTGTATAATTAAAAAAGGTAATTGTGAAATGAATGATGTACAAAAATCAGCTAGCAAATACGTTAGCTGGTGTTTAATTTATTTATTTTATTTTTTTATTCTTACTTACACAATATAAACATTTATAAAAAATAAATTAAGGAATACTGGGCACAGAGGCGAGCTTAACCCATAATTGAGTTCTCTTCCAACAAACCTTAAAGAGTGAAGAGAGGATAGCACACCAAGAGAGAGTCGTGTGTACATAGTTAATTAAAGAAAATATACAGAAATAGAATATACAACCGAATATATACAGAAATAGAAATATACACGAAATAATCGATCGATTTAATTTCACCTGAAACTATGTTTTACACCTGATGGTGTAAAATGATTAATCATAAAATTATTTGTGATACGTTATCAACATACGGTGACTTATTGCATTTTTTTGTCGCTAGTCACAAAAAAGGTGTCAAATTTAAGTTACCAAGTAATTTTATTATTTTATTTTTATTTTACAACTTTAAGCACTTGTGTACATCGGCGGACTAAATGCCCAGGACATTCTTTACCAGCCAACCTTTGGGTGATGTAGAAATCTGGTGCACTGAGGTTCAGTAATGACTGTTTCAAACAAGTATCTAGGAAATATTATTTATAATTCAGTTTCTCTCTCGTCTTCGTCTTCTTATTGTTCTTTATTTAATTTTAAAATGAGTTTGGGCTTGGAAAATCTTTTTGATAAATTCAAATCAGCACATATTTTATTTATCTCAACAGTTATCGTCGTGATGTAATGGTCAAATTACGATTCTTATTTTCTGACATTTAAAAATACGAACCCATGCAATTGTGCATCCCTTATTTTACCCCTAAAGGGTAAGATTTCCAAAAAAGCTGGTGCTAGCAACATCAAAAGCATTAACTGCCAGGCTATAGGCTCTTCTTTGATAAATCAATAAGTCAGGGCAAGTTATTTTTATTTGCAAATATTGTATTCGTCGGACTTTAATATACATTATTATACATAAAAACACTTACCCAGTGAATAGCGTCTCCAATTTTTGGTACAAATCCAGTCTATTGCTTCTGTGAAACTCTATTGCATCCTTGTCCATATATTCGACTTTCAAATAGTCCCGATTAATTTGTTTTTCATGCATCTTTTTCCTATCAATCTTTGTTTTCAATTTCTCTTTAAACGACATCTGCTTATCGTCTACGCTTCTTTTTGCGAAAGCTGGGTTTACTATTAATTTCCTGGAAAGTAAATAATTATAGATAGTATGAGTGAGTATTGTTATTTATTAAAAGAATTGTAGTTACAACTTTGAAATGATTATAACACACAGCGCAACAGTTTTTTGAATAATCTAATACATTTATCATGATTCAATTATATTTGTTATTATTCAATTATAATTGTTGTTCTGGGTCTGGGTCTTCTTTGTGTCCCTTTTATGCATGTTTGTAAAGTCCGCGGCACAGGAATATGTTCTTCATGCAGGAGTTGTCTTTTAAAAAATAAGAAAGAAAGAAAGAAAACCGTTCACAGATACCCTACCGATCAATCTACGATACATCCACTACGCATTAGGAGGAGAATTGGGTCTCCTTTAACCTGTTGGACGAGTAACTGACTAAGCGAAAAGTGACTAAAGAATTGCTTAAAATCATTCTTTTGCTAAGCTGTGGTATTACTCCGTTCAAGTCGGCCCATATCTGACGAAGAAAGGCTCTCGCGTACTTAACCACACGTAAATCATACGAGTACTACAACCAAACTTTTAACCAAGGTTTAGTAACCTAAAAATCAAAATTGTACTTACGGTTTGTATGGTACTTTAGCAATGATCCTCCCATCTTCATCTACGTAGTTAAGAGTCTTTGTTACAACGTCATTTCTTCTGTTCGCTCTTTCGTAAGTTTTGAACATATTAAGGTACATGGGATCTGAAGGTAATGTCCACGCTAAGGCTATGGTGTTACCGTATAGGAAAATATCACCAATTGGTATCCATGCCATAGCTTGCGTGCAGAATACTGAAATTATAAAAAAAAAATACTTTAAAAAATACTTGTAATCCTATGAGGCAATATGGATTTAATGGAAAAAAATGGAAAAAAAAAGAAGAGAAAAATATATGATTAGGCATTAATTCCTTAACATTACATTAATTTGTGTGTTTGTTCTAAATTATTTGCATCTATGACCTTTATGACAGTGTGTAGTTTACTATATATATATATATAAAACATTTTTAAATTTCCCATAGACAATAGAAATCTCATTTCAAATCTATGTGAACTCAGGGATATGTATATAATACAAACTAGAAATGTACCACCTTAAACTCGTTTTGTTAAATGATGCAGAATATTCATTGACTAATTTAGATCCTTAATTTAGAATGCTTAAAAAACACACTTGCATGAAACTATTCCTGTAAGTACTTACTGTGACATACTTAAAAAGGTTCAATAACTAAATTTGGAACTTCAAAGAACTCCATCTTATTACGACCTAAGTATTTTACATTATACTATTCACGTACCAAGTTGTAAGGAGCTTCCTTCTGGAAAAATTATGAATCTCTTACGTCTCGACAACGTTCTTGATACTTCTTCCTTCTCGTGTAATCTATTTACAGTACTATTTTCACTCTGGTCTTCATATTCACTAATTACTGTTTGAATAACCAAGAGTTTTATGAACAATACTAACCAACTATTCATGATTGTAATTGAAAGGAGTATGCAATTGAAGTGCAATGGTCATTTGAAATTAGAACGCGGAAATCTAACGTTATAACCGACCACAGATAAAACACTGATTCTAAATATATATTCAAATAGCTGAGTTGCTGGTTGTAAATCATAAAACGCACTGTCTTGTTCTTCATGTATTGGACACATAAATGTTACAAATGAACCATAATTTAACACTGTGTAAATTGATTTACTGTTATTTTCGTGTGACAACTCGCTAACGTCTAAAAGTTTGTTTGCACAAAGAAAGTAAGAAAGAAGTGGCTATTAGAGAGACGTTTCGTTCCATATTCGATTTTGAATAAAATGGAGTATCGTTCGAAAAATAAAACCAGGTAGGTGTTTATTATTTATTTGACAATGTATATACCAAACTTCTTTTTTTTTTAAGTTGTTACTATCGTTAAAATCACTACAAGATTTGTAATGTAATGTCATTAAAGCTACAATAATAATTAAAACACATTATAGTTCTTTAACACTCATTAATTTCTCACTTATTATTTCTTGAAGTAGTATAATTTATCAAATAATTGCACAACTGTATCTTCATTAAATTTTCTGTCTTGTAATGTGACGTCATAAATAAAGCATAATTAATACAAACTACAATGTATATTAATAAAGTATGAACCCGTATAACAATTTGATTTTATATACTCTAAGTTAGCAAAGAAGCACATAACTGTACGACTTGTGGCGCAAAGTTAAGTAAATAGAATTCACGCTTCATTTCCGTCCGGGGTATGCAGATAAGATAGAACTAAAACTATTTAACTTGTTAAAAATATAAGCTTGGGCATCCCAAAAATACACGTGAGTAAAGCCGTAGATCTTCAAGTTTAAAATCAGTCATTATTGAACATATTCAAGAATTTATCATTTACTGCAGAGACATTGCAAGAATGACATAGTGCCCGGTATATGCAGCACGATATGGTTCGGAAATTAGTAGGTCTGACTAGTAGATTCAGGATCCAGAGCAGGTTCATTACAATCTGGATATAAAACTTCGCAGGACTCGTTCGTTGTGTGTGCTGGGTCGTACTCGCTGTAGTCATCTTCAACCGAGTTTTTGGGTAAACTGTAAGCAAAAAGTTGAGTAAGTAAAAATGGAAAAGAATAAAAATAACATTCTGAGAAAGGTCACATAGGTTATTAGAGCTTTATCTAGACAAAATTCAGGACAGCCAATACTATTTTACATTTTACTATTTGAATTTCCAGACCAGTGACAAACATGCTTAGATGTCTTTTATTTTTTCAAAGTGTAAGTAGACATATACAGAGCAAAACGAATTGAGATTTAGAAAAGAAAATTCCTAAATTACGTATGATTTCTATGTTGCAGGGGCCTTTCAAATAACATGAAGAACAATGGTCACAAATAATCACCAGACTCTGGACAACTATTTGTAGATAATAAAAAAGTTGTCCGTTGTCGCAACTGAACCCATTACATAATCCACTTGAACAGTTGTGCCATACGGGTACACTGCACAAATACGAAAAAATTTATTCTGTCAGTCACAAATCCGCGGCCACACAAAATGGCATGGCATGGCTAAAAATTAAAAAATAATTACGAATCTAAGTAAAACAAACTATAATAAGTACCCTCAATATAACAGGTAACATTGTAATAGCAATAGTCCCTTCTTGTCTATTTGAAGTTGGTGCCAAGCTAAATAGGTGCTTGATAGGATAGGTATTCTACCAATAGTAGTCGAAGAATACCTTCAATTTGCTCGTAGGTTACCATGACCTTAAAGAAATTGAGCGACACAGTGATCCACCTCAAGCCATGTCCTCGACAACCGTTGAAGGATCCTTCCATCATCAGCTCAGCAACATGACATAACGACTACTAAACGCAAATACCTATAAAGCTAGAGAAATAAGCTAAAACACGTTTCGGGCCTGTAAAATTTAAAGATTTCCCTCGATTTCTCTAGGATATCATCTTCAGATCCTAATTTGGGACCACCTCAGGTGCATACCCTTTTGATTACAAAAATAATTTTGAAAATCGGTAAACAATTGACGGAGATATTGCGTAACAAACATACAAAAAAAAAAAGACGAATTGATAAAATATGAAAAGAATGAAAGGAGATGAAAAGTAGTTATGAAGAAATTCTAACATAGTCTTAATTTTAATAGTTTTAAGATATATTTAATACTAGTAAAATGTTAAGTCTATATTGTCCGTGTAGTAACGCATTAAGAATACAGAGTTCCACCACCCCCATACATTCCGTGGGTATCGTAAGAGTCGATTAAAGGAGCAAAATCTGCAGGGTAAAAGCATTGCAAATAGAAGGAAAACTTAAAACAACCTGTCTAGCGAGCTTGGTACGGTGGGCCAAAACCTTCTTTCTAAGGATCTCCGTATGTCCAGCAGTAGACTATTTAAGGCTGTTGATGATGATGATTTTGATGAAAACGTTAAGGAAGAACTATAAATGTATTGAATATAAGCTTAACAGGTAAGTTTAGTGAATTTTTGTCCACATACCTTGCCGAACAAGGAACTATTTAACCTGCTTGATGTAATACGATATTACGAGTATGATGTTACTTACGTGAAAATCGCTTTCATAATTTCCTCGAAAAACATCCCTTGAGGACGCTCCTTCGCTTGGCTGATTAGACATAAAGTTTTCATTACACAGTCTTTACCATTTACACCCAAGCTAAAAAAAATAGTAGTAATATATAAATTAGATTTACATTATAATAAGTTAATTTCATTTACAAGGTAATTATAATAAGTTAATATCAGGCATAAATTAAAATATACGAGGTATTCGGTTAAGATAAATTGACTCTTCACTAATTAAAGTAGAAGTTAAAAAAACGTTCTCTTTATACTTTAAGCCTTTCCTCTCTGATCAAATATATTTTTGTTGCCAGATCACCGTTATCAAAATTTTCACTTTTGTCCTAAGAGTTCAATGTATTAAAACCATTAAAATAACAAAAAAGAAGAGCATAAAATACTATACATTAAATAGTATAGTATAACACTTTACATTAAATATCGCAAAGCGTATCGCTTCTAAACTTGACAAGCAAAGATAACGTAATCGAAATTGACTTATACAAATATAAAAAACTGCTCATGGAAAGCAGTTTGTAGCTCGTGTTGGTTATGTACCACAAATGGTTGTAAAATAATAATAATAATATAATAATATTGTACCAACATTCACATAACGCCGTCTAGTCCCCAAACTAAGCAGAGCTTGTACTATGGGTACTAGACGACTGATATAAATACATATATATACTTTTTTTTTTTGTAAATACATACTTATTATACATAGAAACACCCAGACCAAATCAAACATTAAATGTTCATGCACACAAATGTTTGACTTGAGCGGGAATCGAACCCGCGACCTTTGGAATAGCAGTCCGTTACACAAACCACTAAGCCATTTGGTCGTCAATGAATAACATCAATATTTATCAAAAAATTAAAACCCGCATCAATAACATAATATCCAATAAAAGTAAAAAAGGCTTGAAGCATAACAGAATTGCTCTGTGAAGGATATAATACCAACCCGAGGAGCATAGTCTCTATTTTCTGGTAAAGCGAGGCGCGACTGCTCCTGTGAAATTCGATGCTCCGTTGCTCCATGTTTTTCAAATATTCCCGTTTGTTTTCCGAGGCGTGCATCTGTTGCCTGTTTATTTTGAATTTCTCTAAAGTTCCTTTTTTGTGGAGCCCGTCGACGCTGCGTTTCGCAAACGCTGGATTCACTATGAGTTTTCTGAAAGTTTACAACGGACTGTGAGTACCACAACAGTTTGTTTTTTGAAATATCAGTGTTTTTATTTTGTAACTGTCGATTTTGATTTTTTTTTATTGAAATATGTGATCTTTGATTAAAATATGTGATCTGGAAAGAGACCAGATTCTATGTAAAAGGTCTAAAAATAACATCTCCTTAATCAACTATATGGGATAAATATTCATATACACATACAATGCGGTATATAATACGGGTTGCAAAGCTTTATCTAGTAATCTTATCAATGCAATTACTAAGACAACATTCCGAAAATTTCAAAAATTAAAATTTTTCCTTTTTTAAAGCATTAAAGTTCAAAATATTACTAATACTATATGCTTTTACAGTAATTTATACTAAATAAATCAATGTCAAAATGATATCATATTATTCACTGGCACTCATAATGTGTTTACTTCTTTCGTCTTAAAATCTATTTATCTAAAGTACTATTTGTAGTATTTTATTTGTGGTATTATTTTATTACTAATCACTCAGTCACTCACTCAATCAATATTAATAATCACTAAGACCAAATAGTACTTTAGATAAATAAATGTAGTTGACGATAATTACATCATATAAAAAATTGACATATTTAATAAAGAATGTCTCGATTACTGGAATGGACTTTTCGACTTTTCGACTTCCCGAAAACCCTAAACCAATTTATCCGACTCAAGAAAGGAACGCAAGTTCTCAAAAACGTGGCAAGTCACTAGTGACGTAACTGACAATTTTTTAAAGACATTTAAGACGTTCACGAACTATATTGCTGTACGTTAAAGAATGATAACCTACTTCTATACATATAAAAAAACAACTAAGAGTAATAGTAAATTTGTAACCTTAGCCAAAATGGTAAAAAAAAAATTTTTTGGTGAATTGGTAAAGTTTTATTCTGTAACAGCTGAAATCTGAAACGACACGACATAAGCTTTTTCATTTTGAAGACACCGAAACCCGAAACGGTAGTAATGAGAAAATATTTTAGTTTCCAACACAATTTTGTCAGTGTTCCGTTTAAGTCTACTTTTGAATACAATACTATTGTAAGTTGTAGTTTGTATTAAAATGCTATTACTCAGTCTAAGTTTCTGTTCTTTGGCAGTTTGCTAATTTGACATTAATTACTTCAAAAACTTGACTCGAGCATGTTAAGCTACTGCACTTCAGAAGTTACCTCGTTAGTCCGATCTTTATTGTATACCATATTTTATTAGATTTAAATTGTTTTAACATCTAGATGTTAATCAATGATGATTACTATTTTTTAAATGAAGCTTTATTAAATTATTTATGACTGTACAGAAAACCAGAATTTATCAATATTTTTATCGGTGCTGGTAAATTATGGTTTGTTTAATTATGGTGTGTCAAGTTTTCTTAAAACGTTACACATAGCCTTCAGATACTAAACTAGACAGAGTCTCTACGAGCGAGTGATATGTGATCGTAATCATTACCTACACAGTCATTTTCAAACTTACATATTCTTAAACGTGACTGTTTCATTTGGTCTTCAGGGAAAGAGACGTTAATGTGTGTATATAGGTCTCATGCAATAAGACTTGCATAAGATATGTAACTACTACTCTTTTACTGATGAGCAGTTTCGTTTAATATTCTAATTTCTATTATATTTAATTTTCCCTCTTATAATATTTAATATGATAAAAAAAAATCTTTGCATTCCCTCAGATTTGTAAATAATTTGAGTGTCTTGATTCAACTACATTTGTGAATTAACGTTCTAAAGTCTCTACTCCTCCACACTTCGCTCCACTTACACCTAACGTTCCACGTTGAGAATTATTATAGAAGGAAAGTTAGTTTCTCCGTAGCCTTGGCTGAGGGAAATTAGCTGAATATATTATTCATATAATCTTTAACCATGCATACTACCGCAGTCTTAGAATAGCAACACTAAATAAATATGTAGACGACCGTTTCAAGGATTTAATAATTTAGCAATCGAATGCTCTTATTCTCTTCTCTTTCAGTCTCTTTTTCAGAATGAGAAGTCATTTGGTATTCATATAGTTTTGTTTTTTCTCCACTGATACGTATCTCTTAACTAATAGCGTGTATTTGATCGCTATTAGTTTTTAGTATTTATTTTGAAATTCTCTCCTATTTTCTTAATTTCAATTGATACTTAACCAAATATAGGTAAGGGGAAGGTTTTGAAGTTTTTAAAAGTGGTGAGCTTATTTATATGATCATCGATTAATACATTTTCAGTACGAAAGAAGTACAAAACGAGAAATGAAGTAAGATTAATCGGAAATATGGCTACATTTATTCTCACTCTAGTACGAGTAGTATGTGAATATTCAGTGACGTGTGGTTCTGATGTAAAAGGCTCTATTTAATCCAAATCCAAAAAACGCATCTTTCGATACTCTCAAGGGACTCGACACTCTCTATTTATAGGGCACTTCTCGTTGACCTAGAACTATGAAATTTGGCAAGTAACGTCGTCCCATACTAAATAACTAAATCATAAAAAAATATAGTATTTGAATGAAACACGTAATCAATTATCAAGGTACAATTTCACTTATTAACACAATAATATAAGTAATTATAGGTTTTGGAAACTGAATTTCAGGAAAAACTGCGAGACTGGATTCCTGAACTATTTAAAATATGTGACTACAAATTTGTACGGCACCCTCGGTAGGCGAGTCCGACTCGCACTTGTCCGGATTTATAAAAACATCTCAAGTTGTGTAAAATTTTCCGAAGTTTTAATTAATGTACATTTCTTTCCCAATGTTTATTGCTTACGATGCAACATGTTCATTGCGTTTCTTTAGTATTACCAGTAATATTTAAAGAAGAATGCAACGTAATTGTGACGTGGCTCACAAGAAAATAAAATGTTAAATGCTCATGTGAAAATTGCATGACCTGCGAAGTCGCGGACTAAAGACCGTTTTCTGAAACTGACGCGTTGGCCTTTTTGAAAGCTACTACAAAAAGAAGATAGTATTTATGTAAGCCGAATATACATAAAGCCCTTTGTTGCAGTCAACACATAGCAGAATGGTTCATGCTTGGGTGTTCTGTAACTTCTCTTTATTAAGCAGGTGTCAGGCTCTGTACTATTCACAGAACGACCTCCGTCCTCCTTAAGCGCAGGCCTGGGGGTGACAGGTGAGGCCATCTGTCACCCTAGCAGAAGCAGGCTGGGGTGGCGGCGAGCGCGTTGCGAAGCGCGCTCGCTTCCAGGGAGCAGAGGGAACATGGGGTTCCCACACGGCGGGGGTCGTCTACTTGTTGTAGATGGCCCGAGGTATGTCGGGGCACCAGGGACTTCCTTTCTAAGGTATACCTGGTTCAACGGCTATTAGTACCCGAGACGGCGTGCGGTTTTAGTCAGTTCGAGTCCGACATGCCACCGATAGGTGGTACCCGAGGGGATTTCCTCACGAAAAAAAGAAAAAAAATAATAAGGCTCTGTACTATTGCAGGCTTAAAAGTCGTCCACATATATAAGTAAAACTGTTTCTTATTTATAAATACAACATAGTTGAAAACATAAGTAAATAAATAAATAATTACTTCGTTGTAGTATACACACGCTTCAATAAACACGCTCCAATATTTTACCTGTGATACGGCCGTTTATCGATAATTTTTCCATCTTCATCGGTGTAATATACGACCTTGGTATCTACTCTCCGATGAAGTGGATCGGCGTGATGGTTAAATGGTGAGTATGGATCTTGAGGCAGCTCCCATGCCAAAGCTATAGTGTTACCATAGAAGAAAATGTCTCCTATTGGAATCAGCATAGCGTATGAAGTACAAAATACTGTAAAAGTAAAAAAAAAATGGGCTCATTCATCTATTAGTTTCTTAAAGTTACGGTGGCATTTAAAACCACCTCCATGGTTATGGATAGTAAAAAAGGAAAAAAATAATTATGAAATGTTATGACAAGTTTCAAGAAAGCCTTAAATCCACTACGTCTTTGCATTTGCCGATATATATGTATGATTCGATGATTTCCAAGCAGACAGGTTCCAAGCTGTCTGCTTGAAAATCATTGATTAAGGCCTATGTTCACTTGAAGTGATGATGATCCTAGTTTTCAAACAATCATTGGTATTGTATGATAAATAGAACCGATTACTAGTAATTTCGGTTGCTCGGTCGGTAAGCCATAAAAAAAAAATTCAGACACATGAATCTTAACTGGAACCATTAAGTAATCATACTATTTAAAATAACTATATGTCAAAAGTGCATCGTCTGTAGCTAGTATTCCCATATCAGTTTGACAATACACGTGCATGTATTTATTTACGTGAATTAATAAATTTCTTACTACACAACAATTGATTTTAACTCTCGACATAATTTCAATTCATTAAAAAAATTGCCCTACAACAATTTTTACACACATAATTTTAAAATCACTACCTAAAAATTACTAACACTATTGTAGCGTCGAATGGAAAAAAAAACAGTACTTTTTAACACGCACAGCATGATCACCACGCCTAATCTGAGGATACTCCCTTAACACCCGTTCCTCCCCAATATAAACTAAACAATAGTTGGAAGTAAAAAACCTATTGTGATTGTCGTAACAAAGTGAAACTTGAAGTAAGTATATGTATATATACATACATAAGTAGTTTGCATAACAATATAATAATTTGTCTTCGTGAAATGGATCTGATGATGGAACTAGGATCTGTATGGTAAAACTCTTCTATAGTCACTAGTTTTAATCGTTTTGACAAGTCCAGCTAATTATGTTTGCTAACGATATTCTGATAGTGCATAATAGACGCTTTTCTTTTGCTTCTTACTTTGTTTTGCTATTAATGTATTTTTAGTTTCTGGTATTAGTAGTGTTAATCGTGATTCTAAATCTTTTAAGAAAACAGTTTAATAATAAATAGAATCCAACTTACCCAATTGCAATGAACTGCCTTCTGAAAATATAAGGAAGCGTTTCCTTCTCGAGAGTATTTCACTTTCGTTGTGCAATTTTAACTCACTAGTTTCATTTAATTCCATTTGAGCTTGGACACCTATTACTATAAATATCAATATTGGTATCAAATTTAAAATCATTTTTATTTTAATTTTTATTTTATTTTAAATGTCTTTTTTATTTAAATTGTAACGATTGTAATTGATGATACTTGTTTGATTGTCTTTTTATTCCTTTTTTATCGTGTAAAATGCTTGTCAAAGATTTAACTGTAGCCTTGTAGTGATGTGATTATCCCCAGATACCGTTCAGTCGATCACGACTTACAAATAGCCGTTTACCGTTAAGACATCTCTTACAGGATGTTCTGTTTTGAGATTATAATAATTTCGTTGATCATGGAAATCAGTAATGGCTATCCATGTGTTTGATTTCGAAGTGTCAATTAACCCCAAGCCCATTATTATATTTGTATAATATCTAAACAAGTTTACTTTTATCTGCTAATAAGTGACTTTCGCTGCCAAACATGTCCAGCTACTTAAGAGTCTTTTAAGCGAACCATTTAGGTAGTATAGGATATTATTACTGTTAACCTTTGTTTGAAAATATGTCTTAAATAGAATAGAAAGTCATACAATAGAATTGCGTGAAGTGAGTCGAAAACTGATTGCATCGGTACGTTCTTTGAAATTTTCTGCTAACGTTGCATTACCAGAAAATTGTGTACACTAGCGTAGTCATTCCTTCTTTCTATATTCGACTATCACGATATTACTTATCTTGATATCACTAAGGAGCAACTTCATAATTTTAGGAGTTTTTAAAGATCTATATCTATGTCTATCTAGATTTGTATTTAAATCATTTTTCGGATAGAAAATTGCTGCAGTTTATCTATTGGCTTCGAAGTAATAATTATATTCTTGCTTTACATTTTAGTATTTTATTTTTTCACTATCTACCGATTTATTGACCTTAATAATTGCAATTTTGCAATGAACATATTATATACTTTTATGCATATAATATATAGTACATAAAAATAAGGGGTCTATGGACCCCGAGTCGGAACGAGGTCACTTTTTGGTGGACGTTTTTTATACAGTCATTATAATTTATATTATAAAATATCAAGTTAATAGAGTTAAATTGAAAATTTTACTATCAAATACATTTTTTACTTATATAAAAATAGTGACAAATTAAACCCTGAATGATCTGGGACAAGATGTGTCGGAAAAAAGTCTTGTTACACATTTTTTACGCGAGATAAGGAACTTCTTGCCAATAAAACAAAGACGGTCTAGTTACGTCATTTATTACTCCAGGACCTTAGGACCGATTTTTAAGATTTTTGATTTTTTGAATTTATCTCCACCCTGAGTAGCAGAATAACTATAGGAATATTTTTAAATGTGTGTGATTCCTACTGTCAAACCTCCTTTCTAAGGAGAGGCCTATGTCCAGCAGTGGACTGTTATAGGCTGTTGATGATGATGATGATGATTCCTACTGACATACCTACATCGAGAAATTGAAAACATTCTGTTTAACTAATACCTTGTGTTACGTAAAGGCGCATAATAGTGTACCTAGACATTCAAACATCAGTTCTTCGAGTGTTGACGATATATCCTAAATTTGGTTTATGTTAACCCAAACAGTAGTCTCTTAATCTTTAATAAATGTTAATACTGCTTACAAAAGTTTTCATTCTGATACGTATTTATTTACAACCTGTATATTTAGTAACTTTTTTCGGTCAACTTGTAGATCTATTTGTTTTTTCATTTATACACTTTTCTATATCCATAGAGAAAAAAATAAATATAGCCTACTTTCCATTTAAGACGGTACCTAGAAATGTGTTTCACTAGATTCACTGTCTTATATTTAATTTTCGTTTTGGAAAATAGTGTGATTCCCGTTGCTACATGTGTTACTTCCCGTGTAAGTTTTGAACATCTAATTTAGGTCAAATTCACACGATATATTGGTGTCCTCTAAACAATGGTTCAGAGAAGTTTAACACTGAAACATGTTGAACGGTTTTGAACCAATACTCTATACAAGAAAAGCAACTTATATATATATATATATATATATATATATATATATATATATATATATATATATATATATATATAGATAGATATATAAGTTGTTTGTTGTCTGACTTGAATAAAAATAATAAAAAATTGTAATTTAAATGTATGTCAAAAACGATTTAATTAAATAATATATGATAGATATATTCCTCATGTAATGAACTAAACTTAAATGAACTTATAAAAAATATTGCGTATAAAAAGTTTTATAAATGAAAAATATGAAATGGATAAACAGACTTAAGTATAATATACCTGAGAAATGTGAAATAGTTACACTTTTATTTGTGGTTTTAGACCTAAATAAGTTGCAAAGATTAAGCACTCCAGATAGTATTTAAATATATTATGTAGCATGATACTACTTCTATTTAATGAAAAGAATCTTAAGAATAGTAGAATAGTTTATAAATATAGTGCCATTTGTAAAAAATGTAAATAACAATATTATTTTACTATACAAGTATTAATTTTGACAATCAATTTTGTTTATACCCTTCTGTATGAGAATCTCAATACTGCAGCATAATTTCTACGTAGTTATGTTTTGTTTTAGATATAAACATCATCGTCAACAACATTTTGGCCAACAAAATTTATGTAATATGAACAAATTAGTGCCGGCCATTTTGTTATGCTACATGTGTTTTTTAGCATTGCTTCTGATTCCGTCAAGTGAAGCTGTCGAGAATTCTCATAGGAACAGAAGAGCGTTGGCATTTTTGAACTCAACCAGGTTCTTTGTGAGTATATTTGGCACTTAGAATATTATTCTGAAAAATTTGAAGGACAATGCAGCGAATAACCGGACGGTAGGCGTTCGGTTATTCGCTTCACAATCAGGCCACTACTTCAGGCCAATTCTAGTATAGATTTCTTTCATTTCGTTCACAAATCAACAAAATAATACAAATACTAGCCCCAGACAAAAGGCCTGTGGCTTTGTACGCCGATTAGTATTTTTTAACTCTCAACGTTTTTCTATACTTTTGTCAAATGGTATGCAAAATATCATAGTAACCGACTGGACTTAAAGAGTAAAAGCATAAGAAAAAACAAAAAATGTAGAGAAAGAAACTCACTTGGGCAATGATAATGTCAGTCAGGAAATTATTTCAAGCTAGAAGGATATCAGTTAATCACCTGCCAATATTCATTATCGAAAACAACAGCCGTAGAAAAGAGGTTTTGGCCTACTATACCATAATGGCCAAACTGATTAGGAATCGGGCTTGTTTCAAGTTTTACTTCTCTTTGCAGTGCTATTGTCCTGCAGATTTTTCTCCCTTAGTCGGCTCTTACGACACCCAGGGGATGAATAGGGGTGGTATATACTCCATATTCTTAATCCGTCACCGCACGGACCAATATTAATACTCACTATTAATTACGAGATTTGTTTTTAAACCTCATGAGGATTTTAGCTTCCCAAAATAATCCACCATTTTTCATATTAGACTATATTAACACAATCGATATAATTTCAGCTCAAGTTTAATTTCAAAGAAAATATGATTCCTTGGAACCAGTTGTTCGCGCAAGCTATTGGGTTTCGCATGAATTGGGATGTGCCATCGATGACATTTCGTCCATTTCCCCTAAGATTGCACAGAAGAAATATCTATAACTATGCTGAAACATTATTGAACAAGTACGTATTAAATTATTTCGAATTTATACTTTAAACCTGTAGTGGTAACGTTTTGTTTCCAATAATACATCCTGTTTAACTGTCTCTTTTTAAGAAGGAATACCAAAAACATGGATCACACATTACAAGTATTCTTGTTAATCGCTAGTCAGAGACCTTATATAATACGCCACCGAATTGCAAATGCTTGCATTAATAATTATTTCAAATTGAATTGATTTATTTATCTATTATATTTTTTTATATATAGTTATGTCAAAAAAATATGTGAACTTTATATTTCTTTCTTTTTATTTAAACTCTTTGAATGGGAGAGGCCTATGTCCAGCAGTGGACTGCGATAGGCTGATGATGAATTTAAACTCTTTTGAAATCGCACTCCGTACTAAAGCGAATTTTTAATTTCAGAAATGGCCTTAGCGGTTTCCACTGCATCCGTCGTACCATATGCGAAATGCAGGAAATTGAGCAACCCATTCGAATATACCACAAAATTTTGCAAATGATTTTTAGGTAAAAATTTCTTGAATTGGATTGTCTGACAAATTGTAATTAACCAGCCTAAATTATTAGTGTGCCTTCATGTAAAGTATTCAATCAAAATATTTATTAATAAATTATTTTATTATATTCTTAAGTCATTATGAGTATCGGTAGTCGGCGGAGTTAAATGTCTTAATTACGAACTCTTCAAATTAACTTACATTTTAAAATACTTTAAGAAATAAATGTAACTTAGAATAACTTTAACTTAAATATTGCGATTATTCTTTAACATTTATCTCGAATTTAAAAGTTTGAGAATATTTTGAAACATCAATAGAAATTGAACAGTTTTCTTCTTAAAACAAATTAAGTTTAATACAATTTAACTTGTTCCAACATAGTTCTTACACTAAAATTATTTATTAATACTACAATACTACTAACTACTACCACCAATATTAATTTACTATAGTATCACTTATAATTTAAAAGTAACTTAAAATGCCAAGATATTTATACTGAAAAGGTAGGTAAAACATATGCGCACACCATAAAAATGTCAAAGACAGGTGTTAATATTGGTCCCCCCCTTTATATGTGTGGTGCCGGATTAAGAATACATAGTGTCACCATCCCTCTTCATCCCGTGGGTGTCCAGTAGACCAAAACCTCCTTTCTAAGGAGAGGTCTATGTCCAGCAGTTGCTGATAATGATAGTGATGAGTCATTAAAAGGCATAACTATCATATCTCAGAAAGTTTACAGTGAGAATCATCTTTGGGCATGTTTTATATCTATAACAATTGAAAGACTATCTATAAATCATTTTGTATTTCTTACCATAAAAATTAAAATTGATTGATTGAACACATATATTTTTTCGTCACGGATTTGGTTTTTATTTCTCAATAAGAAGCATGCAAACAAGCATACACCATTGATGCAGGCAAACACGCAGCATGCAAGCAGGAATGCAGGCAAGCATGCAGCATGCAGGCAAGAATGCAGCATGCAGCATATCTGTCACGGCTCCGGCGCTGCGGAGCTCTGGCGGTCCCACGCGAGCTTATCGTCGCGCTCCGCTCAGTTCGCGGGCCGCCTCGCCCCTCCGCGCCTACGCGGCCTTAAATTACACTCTAGGGATAGGGCAGACAAGACTACGTGGAGTCGGTTTTGCGGCGATTCGTTTCTGTCACAAACTTTTGTAGCAAGACATGACTTTTTAAGATAACATTTTAATTTTAGGTTAAAAATACTTTTTTATGGCAATATGCCTAAAAATATTCCAAGTGAAATTCTGCCACCTTTATAGTATGCCAAGTGAAATTGTACCAAATAATCGTCGCTCTAAATAAACGTTATGTTAAACGCAAGAATGCGGATTTTAACTCTGCCAAAGGTGTTTCTGCTAAATAAAATTATGCCATCTTAAAAGTATGCCATTGTAAATTCGGACATATTAACATTATCGGCCGAAGATTAATTATACTCAATATTTTTTATGCCTTAAAACGAATATGTCGTTTAAAGAAGTTTCTGCCAAGTGCTTTATGCGAAATAAATTTCGAAAGCATCAAGATTCTGCCAGATATAGGGAACCCGTTAATTTTTGTTTTCTTTGCTGTCCTGTTGGTCTAGTGGTTCACTAGGGGTGGGAATCGAACCCACGACCAATTATTTGTACAGGACAAATAATTGTGTGATGTGCACAGTCATTTATTCTGTATCTGGGTGTACTTTTTCTATAACATGTATGTATAGTTAGAAATATATAAGTATTTTTATCAACAGTCTGGTTACCATAGTACAGGCTCTGCCTAGTTTGGGATCAGACAGCCCGTGTAAGATGTGTATTTTTTTTTATTAAATATATTTTTTCTATGTGTTTCAGGAAACAATCATCAGGTACGGAACGATGGCACAATGTAACTACAAATGAATGCGTCGAGGCCGTCTCGTCTTGTCCCTTTTCATTGTTAGATATTTCACCTTACACAGATATTTCATGACATTTTGCTAACAATTTCTACATTTGAGTTTATATATCATCCTACATACCTGCTGTTAAATATAACTGCCGTTAAATAAATATTTTTAACTTTTTTTTTTTTTTTTTTTTTTTTCTTTTTTTTTTTTTTCACACACGGCCGTCTGATCCCAAACTAGGCAGAGCCTGTGTTATGGTAACCAGACTGCTGATAAACATACTTATATATTTTTTAAATACATACATATTATAGATAAATTACACCCAGACACAGAACAAATGACCGTGCTCATCACACAATATTTGTCCTGGGTGGGAATCGAACCCACGACCTCCGGCTTAGCAGTCAGGGCCACTAACCACTAGACTAACAGGCCCGTCAACTATAACTATAACATGAAACGGAAAAAACCTTTGTAAGGAGACTAAGTAAGAAGGTAGTAGATAAGCGTTATACACACAACCACCGTTGATATTAGGTTAGATTTAAGATATTATTTTCATACAAAAAGTTTCATATTAGGATATTGAACACTTTGAAATTTTGTTCAAACGGACATAACAAGTTCATTGGGTTCCGTCTTAAAGATAAAAATCTTCTTTGAAACTTTTGTAAAATGTTGAAAATATGTTTTCTATCAAATTATCTAAATTATGTTTAAAATGTTCTTGTGAATATAAAAAGAAAAATATCTATTTTTGTTATTATTTTAACCTACTCCTTCAATTAACAAAAGGCTTCGAATCACAGCAATACTAATAAAGCAGTAATAATAATTATCACTTGGCTGCACGGATGGCCTAGTGGTTCAACGGTCGCCACGCCGCTTCCCACTGCGCTGTGTGTTGTAGGTTCGATCCCCGCATGGGCCTCCACTTTTTGTGATCCTCAAATTGTTGTTCTGAGTATGGGTGTTCTTTGTATCCATTTTATGTATGTTTGTAAAGTCCCCCGCGATACAGGATATATATTCCTAATGCGGGAGTTGACTTTTTGAAAAGAAGAAAAAGGCAGAGCGTGAGTCATGGAAACCAGACTAGTATATAATAATATAGAATAATCATAGTAAGTTGTATTTTTAAATAGATATAATAGATAAATCTATTTAGTAGGGGATAATAATTGATAATACTCATCACACAGTTTGACCTGAGTGGGAATCGAACCTTAGGCTTAGCAGTCAGAAGAACTAAAAACACTTCTTAATTTTCGAGAAAAACAGGCCCGTATTTGCCATACAATGTTTCCTGTTTTAATAAAGCTAAAGAGTGATCGAAAGGGCCGCTATTTTTCTTCTTTGAAACTAAACTTTTACTACCATAACTAAAATACTAAATACAAAACCCAGGAGGTTCTCTCTCAGTCAATAGTGTTTACATATTACAATCACTAGAATTTAAAATATGGGAAATTAGACTAACAAAATAATATTAGCAGTGCGAATGTTTCCATTCGACCAAGCCCTAGTCAGCATAGCACATTCCCCAAGCATTTAAATTAAAAGAAAAATTTAAGTTTTCCAGTGGCAAAGATCATATTTTTAGCGTATGCAAACACGATCACGAATTTAAATATTGCAACTCACTCAAATGGATCCAATTTGCCTTTGACAGAATATTTACATATTATGTTTGCTTTTGCTTTGCTCATCCAAAACCTTTTTTAGGAATAATATTTTCTTTTTAGAATAAATCTAACATCTTTATCTGTAGCTCTAACAACGTGTACACCCAATTTAGTTATGATCAATTAAGTAGATAAAGCGTGAAACTGTAATAAACAAAAAGAACTTACATTTTCATTTCTAATATCAGTTGGTATTGTTTACCTCCCCGCTATCAGTATTTACAAAAAGAGCAAGGTTATTAAGGTAGAAAATCTTGCAAATGTAGAAAGAGATCCTGTGCATTCTATAACGCTCATATCTATCTATCGGTATATCGTTTACTGTCGAAGCAGCACGCTTTTAGAATGCACCACTACTCTCCGTGAGACAATCAATCGTCAGAAGTGACGTTGAAAGCTGACTCCTCTGCCGTATACTGCCTAGAAGACTCCTTAGGCTAGACTCTCCTTGTGGTAGGCCGTGGTATATCGAAATGCATTCGAAATTTATTCGCAACTAGCTGAGACCCGCGGTGTGGCCCGCGTTTGTTGTTAGTCTAAAAAAAGTAGCCTAAGTTACTCCTTATGTCAACAGCTATCTGCCAGTAAAAGTCCCGTCGAAATCGGTCCAGCCGTTCCAGAGATTACCCGGAACAAACAGACAGAGAGACAAAAATTGTAAAAAATGTTATTTTGGCATATGTACCGTTTAAACATACATATTATTATGCATGTAGTAAAAAGCGGTCATTTTAATATTACAAACAGACATTCCAATTTTATTTATTTGTATATAGATAAGATAGCGAATAGCGAAGTTGCACCCTCTACACTGACTGTAGCACTTCTCTTAGGTTTCAGTTTTTAACTATTTTGTTTTTTAACTTATAAATGTTTCGTTTTTCCTTTGAGGTAGGGAACCCTAAACAAACTAAATTGTTAAATTATAAATATTATTATTTATATAACCGAATGGATTAAATAAATATTACAAGTTCGCCAATTTTACCAGATTGTATGTATAAATTCTTTTATGCACCTAAAACTACTGTCCATCAAAAACCTGCCGTAAAGAATTCATTTTTTTAATAATTGTAAAACCTAGTTAGTTCAAAACTAACGAAACGAAACTAAACGACTAGTTTTTAGATTTAGATTCAGGTTAAATTTTGTAAACACAAAACAAAGTAACGGGACTATCCAACTTTTATATAAGATTTGTATGGAAAGTTCACACACGTGAGTGTGTCTGTAACTTTACTTTCGTGACTGCTAAAACAGAAGCGGACACCTCATTTCTTAAACTAGTTCATACAAACCAAACAAAATAATTCTTCATAAGCAATACGGTCAACAGAACCCACTTTTCGAACATTGCTTGATACATTCGCATTGTCCCTTTCGATGTTACTACGTTATTGAACTAACGCGTTGTGATTCATGTGTCCCTAATTATAATTTATCATTTATAAAGTGACGAGTGAAATGAATTAATTTGTTTTTTTTTATTAGTAGTAAAAAGTGATAATCAATGCTTAGAGCGAACATTATTGTTTCATTCAGTTTTTCAGTAGGAATAGAACTTACATACATTATTTAATTAAAGATTTCAATGTCTTTTAATTCTTAATTTTAACTTTCGTAATAAGTGTAAAAATTACTATATTTTATACTGTGTTAAAAACTTAATAAAAATCAAAAAATATATTTGTAGAACTGGTTACACGTGCCATTTTAAATGTAACATAATTATGTTATTAAATTAATGGTATTTTTAAAGTGTGATGAAATTTAAATAATTACATTTTAAACTTACTAGTTATAGTAAATAGCAACAAAATGCACAAATACGTTCAAGTTTGTTGTGTGTGCTACGTCTGCTTAGTAATATTCATATTGATAGATATGGGAAACGCAAATGGAACACATCACGTGCACAGAAGATACCTCAGTATAAGGAACATGTCACATTTCTTCGTAAGTATCTATTGTTTCTTTTTACATTGGTTGCAAGTTAAAGTAGCTCTAATGAGTATCGTGATTAAGCTTAATTTTAGTTGTTGACGACTTTGCGAGGTGGCGTTTTTGTGATGCATGTATTGATGTGTAGTGATTTAAATGCTTCAGTTTTTTAACCTTAAGTTTCCGATTTATACAATTTCAAGACAGATGATGATGATGAAATTGGTGAGCATTATCTTGAAGATGTACTATGTATGTATGTATGTATGTATGATATGTATGTTCAAAATAGGCTCTTTTTATCAATAATAAGATGGATTGTTTGGTTTAATGACTAATTCTACAAGCAATACAACTTTTCTGGTGCTCTTTTGTTACGTGCGTAAACATAAATATGGTGTATGGTGAATTTTTCCGCTTTCCCAAGAGGACCCAGCAGGAAGATCTCTACTGCTACTCATTTTAACGCCGGTGAACTAGGCTGCGGAGATGCGACTTCCAGCGAATTATGCCCCCATGTAGCCGCCAGTTATGGATAGAACAATTTTTCACCTCGACCTCCCAGAGTGGCTGCCCATGGGGAGTTCACGTTCACGTATGTGTGTTCGATTCTGATACACCGTCCCACTTCAAACCACGATTTGATGGCTCGACGGGTTTTAATCCCACGTGCCGTCACCTCACTGGAGTTTGGTAATGGTTATCATTTATCTATAAGTCACCTATGATCGATGTAAATCCGACTTTTAAATATTTGTACATATGGGGTCTACCAATAAGAACGTCCTGGTTTAAAAATTGAATAAAACACACTATTTTTTATAGCGATCGACTTATAGCGCTCGCCATTCACAGTAACAGGGTTTCCTTCGTCACTTTCAAAGAAGTTTTGGACAATATCCAAGCGTTGGCTTAAAGTGAGACGTAACATGATAAAATGGCAAACATTTTCATTTTACAGAGCTAACTAAACCTTCTGTATTTTATTAACTCATTAATTGTTAATCAATTATTTATGCAAATCTTTGATTTCTTCCAGCTTCGTTTCAACTTCAAAGCGAACATGCTAGCGTGGAGTCAGATTTTCGCTCAAGCGCTCGGATTCCGTATGAACTGGGATGAACCACCCGACACATTCCATCCTTATAGAAACCATTACATACATAGAAGAACTATTTACAGTCACATGGAGACATTGTTGGATAAGTAAGTACCAATCTTCTAAATATTTCCGTGTGGTGACGGATTAAGAATACAGAGTGTCACCACCCCTATTCATCCCGTGGGTGTCGTAAGAGACGACTAAGGGAGAAAACTACGCAGAACAACAGCACTGCAGAGAGCAGGAAAACTTGACACAAACCCTATACCAACCCGTCTGGCCAGCGTGGTATAGTAGGCCAAAACCTCCTTTCTAAGGAGAGGCTTATGTCCAGCAGTGGACTATTAAAGGCTGTTGATGATGATGATGATGATGAATCTTCTAAATATACTGACTGACTGAGACTGACTGATTTTATGGAAATGTATAAAGACGTAAATTACTAAGTGACAATCTGGGGAAATTTTAGACCACCGACACGTGAACAAGCCCGTGATGATGCCATCACCGTGTAGTCTTAAAGGTTACAAGTACACCAGCCCTAGGGCAGATACCAGTAAACACTGGACATTCTTTACAGTATTCACTGGTACCTGAACACCGTCCATCACACATGCATACATACTGTTATTATTTATTTGTTCTTAATTTTTGTTTATTTATCATTTACAGACTATTTCAGAGGTACACCTAAAACAATAGTTAGACTACAACTAAATCTTTCGAATAATAATTTTTTACAAATTATAGTCCTGACAAATAACATGTCATTTAAAAAAAAACAAAATATTTTAAAAAGACAACTCTCGCACTAGGAATGTATCTTGTATCGAACTTTACAAACATTCATGAAACGGGCACAGAATACCCAGACTCAGAACAACAATTTATTCATCACACAAAGTGTTATCCCATGTGGGAACGAAGTCTCAACATTTAGCGCAGTAGGAAGCGGCAGGCTGACCGCTTACACCACTTCGCGATCCGTGCAGTCATATTATGTCATATTACTTTTGTGAGTTCAATCACATGACAATTTGTTGTGCCCATTTTATCTTTATCATGGATAGTAAGTCCTTTCGAGCATGTTGTGTTTCATCATCATCATCAATAGCCCTTAACAGTCAGTCAACTGGTGGACATAGGCCTCTCCTTAGACAGGAGGTTTAGGCCTACTATGCCACGCTTTCCAGACGGGTTGGTAAAGGGTTTGTGTCAAATTTTCCTTCTCTTTGCAGTGTTGTTGTCCTGCATAGTTTGCTCTCTTAGTCAGCTCTTACGACACCCACGGATGAATGAGGGTGGGGACAATCCGTATTCTTAATCCGTCACCACACGAACGGTTATGTTTACCTTTTTCACTAAATTGCAAACCCGAAAAGTCAGACATGTCAAAAACGTTAGCGCATGAGACATGAACCCATTCTCATATGAAGGCCAATAAACACTAATTTACTTCTGGGCCGTCACCGCATCTAAAAGACCGAACTAAGTAATACAAATAGCTTAAACCAATACGTAACTTTCTCTTAGACCATAACCGATCTTTTATTTGTTTTGATTTTAACTTTTATTTGGACCAAGTGCGTATTGAGTACAGTCCGACAAGACATTTGGCCCGTATTTTAAACGGTGTCTTCAGTTTTTATTTAAAGTGAGTCTTATCTTGAAACTAATTTTAAGTAGAGTAGAGATTTTATTATTGAACGTCATTTAAAACGAGGTTCACCGAGATAAATAGTTCAGCAGTGGACTATTAAAGGCTGTTGATGTGCTGTATTGATGATTTTTGCAACCATAATGTGCCACAGCGAACCGTGACAGGGTACAGCTAATCATTTACAGATTTTTTCTTAGAAGAAAACCCTACTTTTTTATGTCAAACTCAACATATCATAAATTCTAACTTGACATTCAAAACGACCATAATACCTTTATAAAATAGGCATTTTTTGAAATCAGTTAATTATTACCTAATCTATAACCAAATAAATTGATTGCTTCAGAAACGGCCTGAATGGATTTCAGTGCGTCCGGCGAGCCATTTGCGAAATGAAAACGATCGACGAACCACGAAATATATACCACAAACTTTTAAAAATGGTGTTCAGGTAATATAGCACGTTTTTAATGAAAATACGATAATAGCTGACGTTTAGTGAAACGTTGAAATTAAATTATGAGCAATTTTTACGTGAAAATGGACATTACGTTCGAACCTTAATGTTTTTTTGCATCATTACTTTTTGGCAGGTACATTTTAGAAGGTTTAGTTTTTAGCCTAGGTAACGGGAAGTATTAAAGGTAGGTATTTAGTTAAGAAAAGTATTTAAGAATAAGTCTGTTACTAAAAAAAAGCCATGTGGTGTCGTGGGACACCCGATAGGAACGAAGTTGTGACGATCGAGTAAAACTGATTCGACACGATTTTAATTACAACGCCATCTATGAAAGCGGCTATTACCTACATATTTTTCAGTTGGTTTCTAATTAAAACAATTTACACATTGGTAAAATCTCCTTGAGAAATGATGTCAAATACAATATTTTTGCTCAACCTAAGAACATAAATTTTAATTTTACTGATATGAAAAGTAATGATTTCCTATCTATTCGATAGATGGCGCTGAATGACTGACAAGTAACAATTCAAAATAAAAAGTGTCGTTTCAACTTTTCGTGAGATTTTTTTCCGTCTAGCCCCCTTTCACAAGCGCGATAAAAAACTTCGTTCCAATAAAATGGTAATAATAATAAACAAGAGGGACTCTCATGAAATTTAAAAATATATAGAACAATGTTCTCACATAATATGTTGAGAAACGATAAAAACCACATATTCTTCCATCGTTTTAAGATATTAGGCCATCAGTAATCGGTCAATTTTAAAATTTGTCTTTACACACCCCGTGTTAGTTTAAACATAATATTGTTATTAAAGTTTAAAAATAAATCTGTTTCTTTAAGAACAATGATAATTTCTATGTTTATTTTCAGGCAACAGTCGTCAGCGACAGACAAATGGCATAACAGCACCCAAGACTGCGACCAATCTTTGTCCACGTGTCCATTTTCAGTGCTTGATGTATCGCTTCATACCGACCTTACGTAGATGTGTATTACTAATGAAAATAGTTCAATGTCCAAAAAAAATTGTTAATGTCGACCGTGTCTGTCGATTTGTTATATTTAATCGACCAGTTTAATTCAAATTGTTATTGTTAAGACATTTGTACTATAACAGGTCAAAATATATACTGGGACCTAATAGTTCTATGTAGCAGTTTTACATAACTTTTAAATTTAGAGCACATATTGTTCAAATATCTTAAATGTATCTATATCTTCTACATTTATATGTAGAAGATATAGATACATTCACATCACATCAACTGCCTTTAACAGTCCACTGCTGGACATAAGCCTCTTCTTAGAAAGGAGGTTTTGGCCTACTATACCACGCTGGCCAGACGGGTTGGTATAGGGTTTGTGTCAAGTTTTCCTTCTCTCTACAGTGCTGGTGTTCTGCGTAGTTTTCTTAGCTTAGTCGGCTCTTACGACAACCGCGGGATGAATAGCGGTGGTGACACTTTGTATTCTTAATCCGTCTTATTTTATTCCAAAACATTAATTCATTATTATTCCAAATATTATATACTTGGCACTAAAAAAGGGAATATAAAAATAGTTGATATCCGTATATCCTTTTTAAAAATACTGAAAGTATACTCAACGTTTTAAAAATGTTTTACTTGTATTATATTCATTTACTTGGATGGTAGTACATTCGTGAACTCAAAAATAGTTAAGTCATAAATCTCAGTGTTATTAACTTCTTTTGTATTTCCTATCTTTATCTTCCCTGCTATATTGTAGTTTATATCATAATGCGTGTTTTATTAATCTTCCGCAATGTTAATACAAATACATATTTTGTCTCAAATCTTAACAATTTATATTTTAATATTCTATATAAAGACGAATGTTTCTAAATCCTTGAATTTCAAGTTTAAGATTAATGGGAAAATATTAAAGAGTTTCGCAAATACTATTAGTGGCGTTTACCTTTATTATTTTTACCCATATATTTACTTTACCTTTTTAGACATTCGATTTCAGATATACTCTCTAACAGGTTCAAAATAAGCAAATAACTTATACCATAGAATCAATCTTTATCTACATATATATATTGTCTATAGAATCCATTTGGCGGCGTAGTGTAGTCGTATTTAAACTAGGTATAGGATTTGAAACGGTTACCTCAGGTTGTCTAATTCCCATTTTAAACAATTATTTATCATTTAACAAACCAATACTTATAAATCGTAGTATTAAAATATTATATATATGGGTTCATAATTCCTATAAATAAAGTAATAACCACAATTATCAATCAGTCTTCAGTAAGCTAGATTGAGATGTACAATCAAAGTCCAATGGAGGCTAAACAACTTCCACAATAAAATGAGGATTACCTAGTTATGGTATAGTACTAAGTTACTAACAAGCCCCGCAGGCCCAACCCGGATACCACCTTGTATTGCTGTTTTTAATTAAATTGTACTCCGGATTTATAGTCCATAATCTAGTCGTTGCAGTGATCTAGGGATTTCGTTTCAATTACATCATTCATAAGATTTGTGGGTATAACAAACAAGATTTCAGAAATACTTTGGAGGTTATAATTGAAGTAATGTGTGTAACCATTTAATGAACGTCATAATACAATATTTTAGAAAAGCTAACGACCCCTTGGCAATACTCGTTTGCACTTGTTTTTTGTAGTTTTTGTCCCTTAGGATGTGTTACATTTTTATTTTTTGAACTCATATACATACAAGTATACCACATATCACATCAACAGCCTTTAATAGTCCACTGCTGGACATAGGCCTCTCCTTAGTAAGGAGGTTTTTGGCCTACTATACCACGCTGGCCAGACGGGTTGGTATAGGGTTTCGAGTGGGCGGCCTCGGTGGGCCTCTGTCTTCTAAACAGAGGCTCCACCAACACGTGCGTGCGACAGCAGGGGGGGTCGATAGTGGACCTCTCGTTCGCTACCCCTGCCCTCGCCGCACGAGTAAGGAACTGGCGTGTCCTGGAAGAGGTTGAGACGCTCTCGGATCACCTGTATATCCGATTTGAGCTCTCCCGGACCCAGGACTCCAGTAGGGGTCACGTGGCGCGGCGTTTATCCCGCTTTCCGCGGTGGGCTGTTGCCAGGGTGAACCGGGACCTACTAGAGGAGGCAGCCATAATTCATTCGTGGCTGTCTCCTCAGGCTCCGACCGAGGAGGTCGACGTGGGGGCTGGCCGCTTTCGCGATGCGATTACGCATGTATGCGATGCGGCCATGCCCCGCGTTCGAGGTCGTCGGCCTCCAAGGAAGGAGGTCTACTGGTGGTCCCAGGAGCTGGCGGACCTCCGTGCGGCCTGTACACGTGCCCGGAGGTCCTACACGCGCAGTCGGCGGCGTCACCGTGGAGACGGTGAGGAGGACCGGCTTCATGAGGAGTACCGACGGGCGCGGAAAACTCTGAAGCTGGCCATTAGCCGCGCCAAAGAAGAAAAAAGACAGGAGATGCTGGAGGGTCTTAATCGTGACCCCTGGGGTCGCCCTTACCGCGCGGACTCTCCAGCCCAGCTTCCTGCGAGAAGTGGTTGAGGGCCTTTTCCCACAACGGGCGGAACACACTCCCCCGTCGATGGCCTCCTTGGCCGGAGACGACGGGGAGCACGGGGAGGATAATGTTCCGCCCGTCCGGGAATCGGAGGTAGGGGCGGCTGTTCTACGGATCCGTTCCAAGAACACCACCCCTGGGCCAGACGGGGTACCGGCCCGAGTGCTGGCCCTGGCCCTCAACCACATGGCAGACCGCCTCGGGGAGGTGTTCGACGCTAGCTTGGCGTCGGGACGCTTCCCTGAGTGCTGGAAGAGCGGGAAGCTGGTCCTATTGAGGAAGCCGGGACGGCCTGCCGATTCGGTCGCGGCCTATAGGCCCATCGTGCTGCTGGACGAGGCGGGCAAATTGTTTGAGAGGGTTCTTTCTGCCCGCATCGTCCGGCACCTCTGCGAGGTGGGCCCCGATCTGTCGGACGCCCAATTTGGTTTTCGGGCGGGGCGTTCGACGGTCGACGCCGTGTTGCGCCTGAGGGCCGTGACCGAAGAGGCCGTGAGCTGTGGCGGCGTGCTGTTGGCGGTGTCACTGGACATCGCCAACGCATTCAATAGTCTGCCATTCAGCTGCATCAGGGAAGCACTCCACTATCATGGGGTGCCAAAGTACCTGAGGCGGCTGGTGGCAGACTATTTAGAGGAGCGTACCGTCGTGTACGAGGACCGAGAAGGTAATTTGAGGTGTCGGCCCATGTCGTGCGGTGTTCCACAGGGGTCTGTTCTTGGACCCCTCTTGTGGAACATAGGGTACGACTGGGCCCTTCGCGCCGATTTCCCCCCCGGGCTGGGTGTAATCTGTTACGCAGACGATACCCTCGTGACAGCCCGGGGGGCAAACTTCCAAGAGGCGGCGCGCCTGGCCACAGAGGGAGTCTCCCTGGTGGTCGGGCGCATTGAGGCGCTGGGCTTACGGGTGGCCCTAGATAAGACGGAGGCCCTGTTATTTCATGGGCCCCGTCGTGGTCCACCCCCTGGCGCCTCAATCGTGGTCAACTCGGTCCTCGTACCGGTTCGGGCCCAGATGAAATATCTGGGCCTGATCCTCGACGGGAGGTGGCTCTTCGACGAGCACTTCCGACAGCTTGCTCCAAAGCTGGTCGGCGCTGCGTCCGCCCTAGGGCGACTTCTGCCCAATATGGGTGGACCCAGCGTCGCGACAAGACGGCTGTACACGGGGGTTGTCCGGTCAATGGCACTGTACGGTGCACCGGTGTGGGCGGCGGCTCTGACCGCCCAGAATAGGGTATGCCTCTGGCGCCCTCAGAGGGTAATGGCGGTCAGAGCCATACGCGGTTACCGCACCGTTTCTACGGAGGTGGCATGCGCGTTGGCCGGAACTCCCCCGTGGGATTTGGAGGCGGAAGTGCTCGCCGAAGTTTATCGGCGAGTGGCTGACTCCCGGGCGGAGAGCGGATTTCGCCCTCCGCCCGAGGATGTGCGCGAGTGGCGCGAAGCCGCTCGCCGAGCCACGATGGCTCGTTGGTCGTTCCGGCTGGAGACTCCACGCGCTGGCTTCGCCGCCGTGGAGGCTCTCCAGCCGGTCATCGCCGAGTGGGCAGGGCGGCAGCACGGGACTCTTTCCTTCCGGCTGACGCAGGTGCTTTCCGGGCACGGTTGCTTCGGAAAGTACCTGCACACGGTCGCTAGGAGGGAACTGAGTCCCGCCTGCCACCACTGCGACTGCAGTGAGGACTCGGCCCAGCACACGCTGGCGGTCTGCCCCGCATGGGCGGCGCAGCGCCGGGCCCTCACTGCAGTCATCGGAGTGGATCTCTCGCTACCGGCCGTAGTACGCTCCATGGCCGGTAGCGACAGTTGTTTTACCGCGGTCGCAACCTTCTGCGAGGTAGTAATCTCGCGGAAGGAGGCGGCGGAGAGGGCCCGGGAGGACGACCTCCACTCGGACCCGATCCGCCGCCGGCGAACCGGGCGGCGGAGGCCCGCCTATCACAGCCTCATGCCGCCCTAAGTGTGGCCGCGGGTGGACGGGGGTGGGTTTCCCCTCCACCCGCATTAGTTGGCCAGCCGCGAGGGGGCGGCGTCCGCGTGTGCCGGACGTCGCCTAAAGAGAGGAACATCCACATTGAGACGGAGCCCGCACCAGGAGCGGGCTGGCGCTAGGAGGGGTCCGGATGTCTTAACAACAGCTGTTCCCGGATCCCTCCTGTTACAGGCGCAGAGTGGCACACCGTGTGGTTTTAGTCGGTCCGAGTCCGACACACCACCCCGCCGCAAACCCCGGAGGGGTGACGGTCCGAGGGGATTTCCACACGTTAAAAAAAAAAAAAAAAAAAGGGTTTGTGTCAAGTTTTCCTTCTCTTTGCAGTGCTGTTGTCCTGCGTAGTTTGCTCCCTTAGTCGCCTCTTACGACACCCGCGGGATGAATAGGGGTGGTGACACTCTGTATTCTTAATCCGTCATCACACGGACGATACCACATATACTCACAAAGATACCTCAAAATTCCTCATTATCTTTGTCCACTGGGCTGACGGTTTGGCCACGTTGAACTTCCAAAACCAGAAGCCAATAGTTTTAAATATGTTTTCCAAACTGAAAACCTAATTTAAATTAGTATGCAGATAATAATACTTTAATAAAACTAAGCAGAGCTTGTACTATGGGTACTAGACAACTGATATAAGTACACACACACACACACATATATATATATATATATATATATTGTAAATACAAACATATTATACATAGAAACAATCAGACTAAATCAAACATTAAATGTTTATGCACACAAATGTTTGAATTAAGCGGGAATTGACCTTTGGAATTGCTATTCCGTTAGTTCCGTAGTTGTGCAGTCCGTTACACAAACCACTACGCCATTCGGTCATCAAAGATAAATGAATCAGTGAAAAAACTAAACCCTGAAAATAATCATCATCATCAATAGCCTTTACTAGTGCACTTCAGGACATAGGCCTCTCCTTAGAACGGAGATTTAGGCCTACTACCACGCTGGCCAGACAAGTTGGTACAGGGTTTGTTTCAAGTTTTCCTTCTCTTTGCAGTGCTGCTATCCTGCGTAGTTTACTCCCTTATTCTTCTCTCATGACACCCACGGAATGAGGATGGTGACACTCTGTATTCTTAATCCTTCACCACACGGACAACCATGCAAATGTGTGAATCAAAATGTGTTTCTAGTAAATTAATGTGTATATACTTATTTTCCGAAATCCCCCCAAACTCCCCTCCCCGATTCGCTTTTGGCTCAAAGGGCGACAACTCACTTATAACTCTTGAGTTGCAGCGGCATTCACAGGCAGCGGTCATCACTTACCATCAAGGGACAAAAAAACTTTTTTTTTTTATTAAACAATCTCTTGATCGCACCATTTTTGCAATCTGTTTAGTTTAAAAAATTATGAGTCTTCATCAAGTAAATATCATTTTATCGATTGTAATTACAATTAAAAATCACCATAGAATTTTTCTGATACTAAAACACTTTTATTGAAATCGCTAACATGTCCATTTGACTCCACTTTCCAAGATTAACAACAACCCGTATATTATTGGCAGGACAAAATCATTACGACATGTAAACCGCACTACCCATTTGCCGTCCTCTTTTTGCTTTCGGAGATTATATCTGCATCTCTGTCTCTAAGGACGGTAATGAAAGCTCAGCGCTTAGTAAGCACAAAATAAATCCAGTTAGTTACTATTGGACCACTCAATAAATTCTCGAGGCGTCTAAATCGACTACTATTCAACTGATTGCCCATCGGGGCCTATAAGCCACAATCATTTCTACTCGAATTGGAACTCGTGTCAGAAATTTGTAAGTTTCTTTAGGAAGAAAATCTTTGTAATTATTGTTTTTTTATCCTCATAGCACCGCGCTACGTATTAAAATATATAATTTAAACCTTTCTTATTGATGACTGATGATTGATTTACAAATCTATCACGATATAGACGAATAACGTGATAGTTTTGTAAACTTCATCACTCATCGAGCCTTCAACTTGTGCGATCTTAAACATTTAAAAAATCATCTCATTCATATTTAAGCGACAAAAAAGCAGCTTTAAACACCTAAAGAATAACACACGTGGATAGATTTTCAGGTCTGGTTTTCACGTGCGGTGTTTTGACATGCGGATTTAATAAGATATAAGATAGAAATATAGAAATAGATAATGATACAAAAAGCATCTGCCTAAAATTGACCTAGATAGCTACTCGTACAGAAGAAGAATATATTCAAATAGTTGTTTATTCATATAATAAAGTACATTTGTGTATGAATGCTTTTGCGTATTTTTTTTAAAGATTCACGTGATAATGTCTTACGTTTATGTAAACTATCCAAATTTTTAAATATCTAATATCCGAATTAAGGTTGTCTGTAAGAGATCGCCGTAAGCGATAAGACCGCCGATTGTTACGTCTATATATTTGTAACTAACTTATGTGTTAACAATAAAGGTATAAATAAATAAAGTGCATAAGTAGTTAGCAAATTTTATCTGTTTATAAAATTACGCTACGTTCATTCATATCCTTCCTTATACGTTCAAATAGTTTTATTCAAGTGCAAAGTATATTCAATAATTAACATACTCGTATATATATGCCCAAGACAGGGATAGTTGACGCTCTTTGGGGAGGTCTTCGTTCAGCAGAGGACTATCTATATTTAAATATAATATATATAAACATAGATGTCCGTGTAGTGACGGACTAAGAATACAGAATGTCACTACCCCAATTCATCCCGTGGGTGTCGTAAGAGCCGACTAAGGGCGCAAAACAACGCAGGACACCAGCAATGCAAAAAGAGGAAAAACTTGACACAAACCCTATACCAACCCGTCTGGCCAGCGTGGTATAGTAGGCCAAAACCTCCTTTTTAAGGAGAGGCCTATGTTCAGCAGTGGACTAGTAAAGGCTGATGATGTGATGATGTGATGTGATGAAATATAGATAGGTTTTTGATTGCTTGTTTGTTACGCTTTCACACCTGCTATACTCAAGTGATCATAGGCCACAGGGTATCTTAACCAATAAATACTAAAATAGTTGGCACATTGTCCAGCAACGACATAGAAAGATATATATAAAACTGAATCGAGAACCAAAGGTTGTTCCAGCACTAACTCAATGTAAATATTCTGGGGAAAGATAGCTTGCACGTGACTGGATACATATATGAGATTTACTTAATTTGACACGAGAAGACTGTACCGATTCAAACAATCAAGCTTTACTTTACTTTATAACCGAGACTTCATAGGATTGTTTTATTTTGTAACTTTTTTTATAGAATAATAAACGGGGCAAACGAGCAGACGGGTCACCTGATGGAAAGCGACTAACGCCGCCCATAAACGTCTGCAACTCAGTAGTCACAAGCGCGTCGCCAGCCTTTGAGGGAGGATTACGCTCTTTTCTTGAAGGTTTGAACATTTCTATCGAAAAAGTTTTTCACACCCAAATATTTTAAATCTCATATTTTTTGCTGAAATATAATAGGTCGTTACAATTTATAGGCTGTTTAATTTTGCCTGTACTTAGTATTTAGATAAGTTTTTGACTTTAAGAGTTACGAATTACTTATTGATATAAAAGCAAATCTTTACAACAAGGTCACTTGACCCTTGTGACTATGTTAGGTCAACAATATCTCTGTTGCTCAGTATATTTTTTCTATTTCTCAATAGAAAGGTAGCAACTAGCATCTCGAGTTAAATCAATTTTAAATGTTTAGCTAAAATGTTCCTTCAGTGCATATAGTATTCCTACAATATACTCGTTCATATTTTCTGAACGGCTTCCATTTTACTTAATTTTGTTTCAATAAAATTTTAAATCCAAATTAGTGTGGCGCTTTTGACGCTATTTTACAAACAACAATATATCGATGTCACAAGTCCTTATTTTGCGTGTATGGACCCATACAAATAAACAGTAAAGATAGGAACTCATTTATTGAAAAAGAAATAGAGGTATTTCTGTCAACTTAATTTTTTTGTTTTCTTCATCATCGTTTTTTCTATTCTTCTCTTAACACACTGAACATTTCCATGAGACCTTCTCCTTCGGGACAACGTGGATATATAGAGGGACAGTTGAACATCTGCCTGCCAGCTATTGCAGCATCATTATACGGCGACATAAGGTCTTCTAAATATTGGTCCTTTTCATCAAATGGGCTTTTCCCATAGTCTGGCCTGAAATTTGTGATTTATATTTTTTTCAGAAGAAAGAAGATGAAATAAAAATGTATTTAGGGGAATGTATCATGAAAGAAAAGTTATGTTAAATACAAACAAAAAATCTGGACACTTGTTCAAGTAATTAATAATTTTGAGAACAAAATACATTTTTTGCAAAGATGGCTAATGGGTCGATAGTAATATTACACTTAAAATATAATTAATTTACGTTTCAGGAATAAGTGGCCAAGATTCCCTAGTGTATAGACGCTAACAACAATTAAAGTGTCACACGAAAGCCATGATATCGAATATCACCCAATAATGACAAATTGTACTTGTTTAATTTGTTTAATGTGTTTGTTTAATTGACAAATTGTAATATTATCTGTGAATTGCAAAAGAGTGGCCATGAGTTTGTTCGCTCTTTCTTCTCATAAGGCTCAACCCCTTGGAAACGGGCGGTTGTAGATCGGCACAGGCATATCATAGATTTTGTAAGGGTTTGATTTTTGTTAAATTTATTTGCTTACTATTTGACAAAACAGAGATTGTTGATTTTGTGTGTGTTGATCTATGACTTTAGAGTCTACATGAAAGACTATTTCAAACAATTTTTTTTTTTTAATGAAATAAAGAGAGTTCGAGTTTGACGTAGACTAGCTGGCTGGCTAGTCAGATGTTAGTCATCTCGATTGTAAAAGTTTATTCTCTTAGTAAGAAATTTTTAAAACTCTTAAACTATAAGCTCTTAAAGCTCATCCTCTGTAGGTTTATATTAACATAGAAGTAAGTGTTACGTACGTAAGTAAAATATGTAGGATTTCTCCCACCAAGCCTTCTTCCTCTACCGGGTATTGTGCTGCTTCACAAATGGCTCTGAACACACACTCATCACCGTCCATATTCTTTCTAGAAAATATAAAAATATATATGATGAGCTGGTATCACATTAATACTGTGTACTGTGTGTGTGTTAAAACAACACTAGGATGTTAACACTAGCAAAGTTAAACTAATTCAGAACCTGGAACTTAAAAAATTGGAAACAACGATTATTTTATTAACCTACTTCAAAAAGGAGGAGCTTCTCAATTCGATTGGTATTTTTTACATCATATTGCAAAACAAGAAGAAGCAAAAGAATAGAAAATTAGTCTTAAAAAAGTAGGCTGTTATTTAAAAGTTCTATCTTTCTATTGACTAAACACTGGAAATTTCAAAACACTGGAAATGGTCATCGGTATAATATTTATTTACTTGTTTAGATTATATGTGTTTTACTTTTTATTTACTTTTAGTAAATCAACTGGGGCAACCATCAAAAGTAAAAAAATAAATACTTACGAACGTAACATATCTGCAACGGATCTGTAGAATGTATATCTCTCATCTTTTCTTGCTTCTAAATCAGCCTCTCTTTGCTCTCTGGACACTGTTTTGATGAAGTAATACCGCGAGACTTCACTTATATTTTGAAATTGTGAATACTGATACTGAAAGTTAGCCGCAAAGGCCAGGCTGATATAGTCCTCTGCTTTTATTGGGGCCGATAGTCCAATAATTAACTGGAATGACAACATAAAAGGGTTTTATCACATAATGGATAATATTAATTATTCATATTGCAGAATAATGTTTCAAAGGTGATGGAAATAAATAAAAATAGTTATTTCGTTGCATTGTATGCCGTGGTAGTGGGTGCGAGGGGTATACCAGCTGAATCCCTCTATAAAAAACCTTGAAGCTCAAAGACCTTGGATAACCAAGAGCTTCAGTAAGCTCTTTTCTTGAACGCATATCCAGAGGGGCATTGCTAGGCTTGTATCAAATATGGTTAGGTAGAAGGGGTAACACAGCAGACATTGGAGGTGAGCGCTGATGCGTCGTAAAGAGTACTCCCTAAACCTACTCCTGTTGCCCCTTCTATCACGCGATGGACCCGGCACCCGCACGGTGAATCCATGGAACGCTATGAAATAGATCTATAAGCAAATCTGTAGTAAAGTCTGCTGGTGTTGTAGTTAGCGACCCGGACTGCTAATCCAGAGGTCGTGGGTTCGATTCGCACCCAAGATAAATAGTTCTGTGTGAAGTATCTGGTTGTAATTTATCTATAACTAGCTGTACCCTGCCACGCTTCGCTATTCCAGATTGTAGTTGTATTGATGAGGAATGAGGAACAAAACTGATAGGAAAAATAGATAAACACAATCTTTGAATTGGTGTAAAAATTTGAACTCAATCGGTGTAGAACTTTTTGAGTTTTTGAAGCATACACAAACCCACTAAAACTTTATATAATGTAGATTAAGAATACGGAGTGTCGTCACCAATACAGCCAGACATCTAGCCAGCGTTGTATAGTAAGCCAAAAAGTGGACCTTATGGTGGTTGATGTGTGATGTGTATGTACGTAGTAAGTTGAGCGTAGTCCTGACCTGTTTGCGTTCGGAGATTAGGTCGGCTTTTTACTGGTCCAAGAAAAAGTGTCCAAGAAAACAAAATTTTGAACTATTTTATAAGTCAAAATGTTTATTGAACATGTAACATTACTCACAACCATCTTATTTGGTATATATATTTTGTAACAGACTCAAGTTTAACGCACCTTGTGTTTGTGCTAAAGTATAAAAACCCCTACTTGCCGTCGGGTTTGAATGAAACTGACTAAAATTTTACGATATTCCTTCAAACATTACACCTTAAATGAAAGAAAATGCCAAAGAATTTGTTACAGCCTTTGACCACCTATTCATTAGCAAACTGCCACAAAAAAATACATCAAAGAGAATAGGTCAGAAAGGCAAGGATGGAACTCTTTACACTGCAACCTTATGCCTAGTAATGCAATCATTAGGACAGCCTAATGATTGCATAACGATTGAGGAACGGGTGCCATGTCCCTCATACACAAAGGGAGGATGATCCGACGAGGCGAGGTGCTCATGCCTGGCGGGCCGCAACCCACCAGTTGATGTTGGGCAGTTGTATATATGCTAATCGGCGAGAGAATTCTTCATTTCGCGATACAGGATTAGCAATTTTCATTCAGGAGTTACTCCGTAGTTCGGTGTGTCTTCGTTAGATGGCGCTGTAGTATGTTTCTGTTTCTTTGTATGTGGGAGTCGCCACAAGGTAAACAGCTTCATATCGACTGGAGACAAATACCTAATAGGAATGTCAACAATACATTATACTTATGGTTGTCGATGATATAATTACCTTATATGTCGCACCATAAGGATATACAAGGGGCAAACTGTTAATTTGACGCTTAACCATATTTTTGTGTTCCTCTTCATCCTGACTTGCTGATATTACGAAGTTGCAGACCAATGCCAACATAATCCATTTCCACCTATAACTGAAAATATTAAAACAATATTACGATACACTTCTTTTCAGTTGACCGGATTGAAGTTAGCAGCGAGTGACGTGTCAATAAACTGGTTCGGGTTTATGCCTCAAGATAAAATTCAATCTTGTTTACTAACTATGAATAACAATACCTCTAACATAGTGAGGTAGATTTTTATTTTGTTTTAGGGTTGAAAACTACCACCCTAATATTATAAAACAGATTTATATAAAACGTTAGCTCATGGCAAATGATGTTATTAATGCAAAGCCGCTAATGTTATTAATATTTAAATGGATTTTAAAGCACAGATAGTTACGTTGTATCGGTTATCGAAATCCCTGTTCAAAAGTACTGTATACTATTATTATCTTTATCTTATCCATTTGACAACATTGGCCATTTACAGTTGTCGCAATTTGTATTCTTCTTCCGCTCTACTAAATGATTTATAATTTCTTTCTCTCTTTCACCTAACTAAATATTAGTATAGCACAGAAATAATAAAATGATAGATTTAAAAAAAACTCGTGGAGAACCGTGGAGTTTCACCTATCAATAATATATATCAAAGACAAAACAACAAAAAATAAATTTAACCAATACAAGGACTGTACCTTTTTTAAGACTTACAATAAATAATCTAAGGTTAATATTACACACCCTTACCTCATAGTACTAAAACTGATCGCTCAACAGATGCTCAACACTTCGTAATTGGAAATCACTCTTTGTACGTGTGTCAACCCGACATATAAACGTGGGAGTGAGCGCCAATGCACCGTCAGTTCTGTAGTATTATAAAGCTGCGTTCACTGTACGTCAATCAATTCGAACCAAAATTCTCCTGTTCTGAATATGGCAAACTCACTATTAACAAGATATTGCCATACCAGTACTACATTTATTATCCATACTAATATATAAATGCGAAAGTGTGTGTTTGTCTATCTCTCTGTCTGTCTGTTGCCTCTTCACGCTCAAACCGCTAAACTGATTTAGATGGAATTTTCTATAGAGATAGTGCCAGTTCCGGGAAAATACCTAGGATAATTTTTATCCCAGAAATTATCCTTTAAGGGGGTGGAAGTTTGTATAGGAAATCAATAACTAGTAAAGAAAATCCCTCTTAATACCGCGAGTACTCGCATTCAAGAGTTTCGTGTTGACAGATCGAAATTTCTGGACTCGCTCGAATACATTCACCAGTCGGAGTGCGACTGCAGGCAGAGTGCGCCCCCGCTTGTACCATCCTCTTCACCCTACACTCTTCTTTCGTTCCGCTACTTCGGCGCACTTTCAAATTCCGATGGATGCCATCACATGCCGACGTCCATCTTCAATGCCGCGGTTGGTGCACGCTTAAAACATCCTCTGCCTTACTGTTCATCAGTTTTCGGTTGACCAGAGCACAAACAATGTCGCACTCTGTAGTCTGATTCGCCGCACCCACCCGGCGGCCGCTAGGCTTACCGTGAAGGATTTTCCCTGGTCAGTGTGCTGCGGCGGAGGAAATCCTCTCACATACTCTCCCCTACCGTCCGCTGGTTTGCGCAGGCCATAAGTCGGCTCTTACGACACCCACGGAATGAACAGGGACACTATTCTGTATCCATCATCATCAAATGTTATTTATAAATACACACAGGTTATAGATGAATTACAGAACTCAGAATTAGATACAGAACAAATGATTACGCTCATAGCAAATTATTTTTTCTGGGTGGGATTCGAACTAACTATCTCTGGCTCACTATTAGAAATCACTAACTACTAAACCAGCAGGCCAGTTAATAAAAAAATTAAGGAAAGATCATATATATGTGTGTATTTATGATGTGTTGTGTTGTATATGTGTATGTAGCGAACCGTTACATATATTTAATTGATTACTTAACATATTATGATGTGACCTCTGTGCAAGATTTCTACACCACCCAAAGGTTGACTGGAAGGGTAAAGTAAAGTGTAGTGTTAAGTAAAGGGTAAAGTGAGTAAAGTTAAATAAATCAAGTAGAATAACGATAAAAACGATATAGGAAAACTTACCGATTGCGATACCGACCTTACAGAGTATTTGAAAACTTACCGAAAAACCTTATTACTACATCATTTGTACCAAATATATTACTAAGTGTGAACTGACCCTTATTTAAAAAAGCTAAATGGTAACGTGTAGTCACTCAAATGGTTACCTAACTTCAGTCACGAAATAATACCTTACACATTTGTATTACGTCTTAAACGAACTTGTAGGCGACTCTATCGTTCTATTTACTCAACTGATTTAATATTGAGTACATAGATATAGTATTGAGTACAACACTATTTGATGTTTTTTTTTAAGACAAAAGGTCAATTCTGAAGTGCGTTTACTTAACCTGTGTTTCTTCATTTCAGAATTAAGCTTTTCTTATTTGAAAAAAATATTTTTTTATTTTATTTATTAGCACAGGTTAAAATAGCACATAATATAATTATATTGTACGAAACATTCTATTACAAAATGCTCGTCTAACGCTTGATACTAAGTGCTTCTTAATTTATTTTTTAAATAAATTTGTTTACGTTCTAAGAGAACAATGGCGAGTCTCCATCCAAAAAATATTTGGAATCAAATTGCATCGTCTTGTAGTTAAAATAAAATAAAAATAAATCGGTTTTTTTTTAGAATCTACATATTGTTAAACAATTTTTGTTTGCGAAAGGCTAGAAAAAATATATTAGTATTTGATTTCTTTAGTTACGCTCTGCATTTTTTTATCTGTAACCTCTTTTGAAAAGAGTCTTTTATAACATAGCTGCATAATGTTTCCTTTATTTTATTAATTTATTTATGGCTATCTACTTTTCAAATTGATTTTTGTATTGTTATACATCATTATTTGATAATTATAACTGTATGTGTGTCATTTAAACAAAATAAAAAAAGATAATAAAGAATTATTATAGTCCACTAGCTGTACTCTGTGCCACTTGCTGTAGAACTTTCGCAAATTATATTTTTATGTCACTTTTAATGTGTCAGTCATGAAATATTCATCTTATACTTATGTATATCTGTATATATAATATCCAATAAGTATAGTACTTTTCCTTAATTTATTACCTATTTCAATATGTAATAAATTATAATTTTTCAACCTAAAGTAATTTAATTGGCGGTGGCCATCCGCCGATAGTCGCGTCTCTCTAATAATATTGTTGTACTCTGTGGTCGCGTCAAACGTTTTGTCTTTATATTTCGACGCCCCCCGCGAATAATCCGGTAATGACCTATTACGGGGTTTTTCATGTTATGCGTTTTTCGGCATCTAGAAGTTAAAATACATCATGTAATTTTTTTTTCAGAATTTTTCTATCTTTATTTACGAAGCTAAGAAAAACTACGCGTATATTCCATAAAAAATCATTAAAATGTATTTTAAACGAATAATATGGTTTTAGATCTTTACGAAAAAAAATATCAATATGATTTGACAGTAAAATTACTTTACGATATTATTCGGGTAAATAGTTTTCTACCTTATTTATGTAACATTTTATTGTTATGACTATTACTGTTTATTCGAATAGTTTACTTAAGTATTATTTGATGATTATTATGGTATATTTTATGAAATAAAGGACATTCTAGTAAATGAAACAACTTTGGTTAGTTTGAGAAAACACAATAGTTATTATTATCATAAAAAATAGACACTGCACTGAAGACACGACTATTAAATATGATTACACAATCATGAAAATTATAATAAGGTCCTATTACAGTTAAAAATCTTAATCAGAATCCTCATCGTGACCTGATTCAGTATCACAACAGCTTAAATTCCTATAAAATGGTTGAGAATGGTGGGGAATTGCTTGGGAGTTACACAGGCTTATTTTGAATCTACCGCAGTCTGAACTGTCAATTTTCCACTACAAACGTAATAATAATTTTACAGTTTTTGACGCTCTAAACAAACTAGGGTTCTGTTACGTTTGGCAAGCTCAAATTGAAAAAAAGGGTGCATCGAAATAGGGAGTTGCTTGTTTCAATTTATCAAGACCTTACACGAAAAAGATCTTGATTAATTGAGCGTTTAGAGCGTACTTTAATTTTGTTGAAATACCCAGATAGCTGAAAAAATTAGCTTCCATATGCGATATAAAAAGTCTCTGATACTTGTTGTTTAATAGAGTTATTAAGGAAAAATGGTTTTTTATTTTTCCTGAACATTTACACTTTTACGATTACCGGATTATTCGCGGGGGGCGTTGATTTAAACACAGAGCGCAAACGCCTGTCAAGAATTGTCAAAAAACCTTTGTTTTGTTCAGCTTGCAGTTGCTATTGTTTTTTTTTACTTCCTTATATTCCACTACAGGATTTTCGAATACGTAAATAATGCATTTAATAATGCAGTACTTAAAATTTTAAAACTATTATCTGATTACCATATTACTATTAATTGATTATCATTTTACGACACTTTATTGGACAGTATATACACTGCTTGAAAGAATTGCTGTAAAATGGTAGCACTAAACTGATAAACGAAATTAAAATATTTTTCTTTCTTTGCCTGGGGTTTTACTGACTTAGACGATAATTTCAAAAAACGTAGATATTTACTAGAATTAGTTTTCTATGAATGACATTTTAAGACGCTCAAATTATGCTCAACTACGAATTCACCATTGTTCTTTATAAAGCTGTTCATATATTATCATGGTACACACCAGTATTTTTAAAAGGGCTTTAAATATTGGTGGAGTGACCAGTTCTCGTCCATCGATTGTATGACCATCTCTCTGCTGTATCCGAAGTTAAGTGTGTTCGTCTAAAAAGTACAATACTACCCAAGAGGATAGTATTGTACTTTTCCTTGACCACAGTTTCCTACACTAGACTGACTAGACTGAAGCTTGAGGAATTCTGATAAAAATAGACAGAGAAAGACTGCGAGAATCGTTTTATAATATTTATCTCAATTTATTTTTACCTCCTTCTGTTAAATTCTTTGCTTTTTACACCAGAAATATTAAAAACATTTTAATTTCGAAAATTAAGGCGGCATCATCTTTATACATTAGTATAAAATTTAGTAGTAACAGTACTATAAAAATTAGTTCCATTTGAGTTATGCCCGAATATCTGGCAGTGGCTGAAACCTATAAGGAATTACCTATCTAGAGTACATCTGCTTCTCCGGCTACTGCTACCCGAGACGTGCGATTTTTACTCGGTTCGAGTCCGACTTAACCAGCGCACCGGTTGTCCGTTGAGTGGTATCCGAGGGGATTTCCACACAGAAAAAAAAATGAAACTTCGAAATAAAATCTGAAGATGCAACAGGCATTACTATTACTCACGTATGTTAAGGTGAAGCCCCACTACTTTCTAACTTGACAGGAGCCCTTTTTCACTTCTAGACTAAGAGAGCAAATAGTAGGATATTCCGGCAATACATCGGTCAGGAATACCATTTATCTTCTATAAAATACCACTCACGAAAGATTTTTACTCTAATATAATGAATGTAACACAAGAACAGAAGTATAAATCCGTATCTCTTGCTGTATATTCACTGCTTTAGAGCCTGTTCTCATTGTCATAAATCCAATCCGTACACATTTTATTAACTCCTTACTTTGCAAACTATTACCTGCATAGCTTGTATAACAATAAAGCGATACGAGTTACGTTTTTAACTAATTAGTACTAATATATGTATCGATAAGGATCATAATGATAGACTCAAATTGAGCTAGCATGACGCGATACAAATGTGTGTCAAAGAAAATCGACCCTAAGAACAGCTGCAGACAAGTCTTGGCTTAACAAGAAATGCAAACTCAGAGTATCCGTATCACCGGTTCAGGTCCCGTTAAGAACTGTGAAATGTCACTCGAAATCAACTCGTTGCTTCAACGCCATGTTTTCCAAAAACAATATTTCGATTCCCATTTTTGTAGTAAGTGTTCTTTTCACTATAAGTGCGAAAGAGATGGACCCACCCAGTGAAAGCCTGCACAGAAACAAGAGGCAGCTACTTTTTCCCAACAGTACTCTTCTACAGGTATGACATTATTGTTGTGTAAATGTAAATGTTTATTGATTTAATTTTATTGAAATTTAATTGAAAAAAATACATAATTATATATATTTAAGTAATTATAGAGCGTAGATTTAGTTATTGATATCAAATTAACAGCAAAAGAACTGACCAGTCTAGGGGTTAGTGATACTGTTAGCCAAAGCAGAAATGTTGTGTTCGATTCCCACCCATGAAAAAAATATTGTGCGTTGAGCACGAGCACATGGGACAACACTTTGTTTGATGAAGTTTGTTAATGTTTGAAGTTAATGTTGAAGTTAATGGATCATAAATGGATTATTTGCCATTAGTTTATCTCCGTTACAAATAGTTAACAAAAAGAGTTTAGTTTTCATCACGCGAGTGCCACGTTTCGACACATATGTGCTGACTAGACGAGATTGATACCACGGCCAGAAAACCAGCCCCTTGTCGCTCTTCATCGAGTGAGTAAAGCTGCCGGAAGAGCCAACTATCCGGCCTTATTTTATTATTGTTAATAGGTCAGCAGCACACTTGTGTGTTTTGAGATCTTAAGCGAAGATGATTAGTATTAAAAGTTACATATTTTTTGTGAAATTTCACCACATATTTCATAGACCCAAACTCAAAATATCTTTATTTCATATTGTTTGAAGTCGTCTCTTATGTAAACTCTAAGGACGTTTATAAACACGCGCAATAGCAACAATGTCTGTTTTGTCAAATATAATGGGTACATTATTCCTAAAGCTTACGTAACATTTTACAAATAACGAATCTGTCTGAAGCTGGGTCAAGTCTATTATAAATAAACTCAAATGAAAAGATAAGTTACCACTTTATATAATTCTGATGAAATATCTGCAGAGACAGCAAATACGAGAGCTATTTTAAACAATTTAAATTCCCAGCTCCCTACTGGATAGGCAAGATTAAAAGTCCTTCATTTGCTTTTAATTTAAATTCTATTGATTTAAATAGTTAATCAGTACTTCTGTCACGAGTACTCTGTACCGTTTTCATTACGTAATACATGTACATCAGAATAAGATTTGAAACCTGATTTCAGTTGAAATAAAAGTAACATTATGCATTTATTGTTAGTAAAAATGCGCTTTGGATTATTTGAAATAAAAAGAAACCTTGTTTTTTTGTTGTTGGGTGTTTTGTGACCCAACAGGAGCTTTTTTTCAAGGACTGAAACGTACTGCCGTAAAGTGTAACTGAAACTACTCGGACAAAACCTTTCTTCTTCTATATTATATAAAAATATTAAGTTGGTTTAAAAACTCAAAAAGTTCTACACCGATTGATTGATTGATTAAACGTTGACACGACATGCAACACGCTTCAAATATTGTTTTTTATCAATTTTTTGCAACCATAATGTGCCGCAGTGAAGCGTGCAAGGCTAGTTTTTAATAACTATGAATACCACTCTTGAAAGGAAATAATAACTAGATAAAGAATAATTCTACTTTGAATACTTCAACAATAATCCTTCAGAAAGAAAAGTGCCATTTCCTCTCTCGGGAGAAGAATAATTGAGTTAGACGCCCCTTTTGCACCAGGATACGCCAATGTAATATCTATTAATTTCATTTTGACTCATAAATAAGGCAAAACCATGCTCTGGGTTTGAAAGGAACGTGGTTTACCCTTTGTTTATAGTACTGCTGGAATTATAAATTATATTTCTCACTCAGCCTCCTTATTTTTAAATTAAGTTTTAAAAATAATTGCAATTTTTAAAAATTGACAGTTTTAAATAAATTTAAAGAGCAACGAATAATAACATTTTTAACTATTTCTTTGTATATAAGATCTGTAAAAGTTGACTGCACAGATGTCGTAGTGGTGTAAGCGGTCGTTTTGCCGCTTTCTGCTGCGCTGAGAATAGTGGATTCGATCCCCACATGGAATAATCTTAATCAGTTTGAATCAATGAGGTACAGCGACCGCAGTACAGTAGGAAATCGAGTGCAATATAATCAATATATGAATAGGTAAATTTTAATCCGTTTACACTCACCATTTGAAGAAGCAAAGAAAATAAGAAGTACTAATCAGAATTTATTAAGACGTCATGAGACGACGCATGCAATTGTTGTCATTATGAAATATAAATGTTTTATGTGGTACTGTAAAAGCAAAATAAATTTCTCTACTACGGGTAAATTGAGGCCGACATCAATTGGAGTATATTTTTCCCTCGAGGATTAACTTAGGATCGACTTCCAATTTTTCCCGTAACGCCACTATGTTTCGCATAAAGTATGTGTGTCGCATGCAAGCACGCACGCAAAAAGGCAATTTCTGCATAAAAGAGCATGTTCGCATGCCTTGAAAATAAAAATCATGTAGTTTATAGGCCATCATCTCGGATCTCAATCTCAAGATAGAACAGATACAGAGAAACAAACAAATATTTAAAAGAAAGATAGTAATGCTTCTATTGCTATAAAGACTCCTTTTTTTTTTCGGTGCGGAATTCCCCTCGGTGGCATGTCGGACTCGAACCGACTAAAACCGCACGCCGTCTCGGGTACTAATAGCCGGGGAACCAGGTATACCCTAGAAAGGAAGTCCCTGGTGCCCCGACATACCTCAGGTCATCTACAGACGAGTAGACGACCCCCCCCCCGTGTGGGAACCCCATGTTCACTGTGCTCCCTGGAAGCGAGCGCGCTTCTGCTAGGGTGACAGATGGCCTCACCTGTCACCCCCAGGCCTGCGCTTATGGAGGACGAAGGTCGTTCTGCGACCTCCGGCGCCTGAGTCGTCTGCGGTTCCTGGCCCGTTCCCGGGCCTGGCGTCCGGGAGAGTCCTAAACCTCTCCCGGTCCCGCTCCGCCGTCTCTTTCGCTAGCATAACTTGCTCGCAGAAGGAGACGGCAGAGTTCCGCACGATAGCCGCAATCAGGCTATCGAGCGTGAGTGCTATAAAGACTCCTGAAATCTTTTTATAACGTAATTTAATATTTTTTTATAATGTAACTTACATACTTTTATAATTTGGTGTAAAGTAACGTTATCACATAGTATAAAAAGCAATGGTACTAGAATATCTAACTAAAATCCGCGCCTTCGGATGTATGACAAATTAAAAATTACTCAGAGATTTATACGTGTGTAGGATAGTAAACTAGTAACATTTTATTATATTTATCCATTATTAGTTATTCAATCTTTGGCAGGTTTTTTTTTATGTTAGAGGGGGCAGACGAGCAGACGGGTCACCTGATGGAAAGTGACCATCGCCGCCATTGAACGTCATCAACTCAGGAGTCACAAACGCGTTGTCGGCCTTTTAGGAAGGAGTACAATCTTTTCTTGAAGGTTTGAAGGTCTGCAAAAGAAAATACCGCATACGATAACCCGTTCCACAGATATATATAAAGTAGTAGGTATCAATAAATAACTACTCGAATCTTATTTTTAAAGTTTAAGCTTAGTGTTTAAGGTAAGGTGAGGTTCAAGGTACCAAGGGAATCTTAAAGTAATAATGAAAATGTCATAATTCATCATACCTAGCGTACTACAAAGTGTCCGTAAATCCTGACCTTTCATTAACACGTTGAAATCATAACGACTATTTAAACGTTGTCTTTAACTACAATAACTGTTAACAGAGTTTTAGACTAGAGGAACGAAGTTGAACTGTTTTCCTGTAATTAAAAAGGCACTTCATTTTCCAGTTCAACGCCGGCATCGGTTTTCCAAGTACAACAAAAAATGTCAACGTGAACTACGCTTTCCAAGCCAACTTCCAACTGCCATGGAATAGAACCCAGATTCCTTTTGATATTCTGGAGGCGAACTCTGGTTACGTAGGAACCGCTAGAAAGAAGAGAGAGTTGGGGATCAAAGACGAAACATCTTATAAAGATGATGCCAAGCTATTTCATTTTTATAAACTCGTTGAAGGAGTGTTAAACAGGTAAAACTGGTTTCAATTATTCATTACATCTTTATTGTACACATTAATATTAAATAAGTGATTAAGGAAACTATATGTACAAAGGCGAGTTTAACCCAAAACTGAGTTTTCATCCAGCGAACCCTTAGAGTGAAAAAAGGATAGTGGAGAACGTAAGGGTAAAGTCATGATGTGTACTTAATAGAAGAAAAAAGTAATATAATTATTTAAACATAATTAATTTAAACAAATTTCAAAATTCATTTGTGTAGCAATATATATCATAAATATATACAAATACATACAATAAAATATACATAATTTTGTATAAAATATACATAATTGTGTATACATGGTTTTGTATTCTTTCTAAATAATTTGTAACAAGTCTTTCACTACAACTTATGGATGCCGCTAAATATTTTTAAATTTAAAAAAAAAATTGGCATAGAGAGCAAACGAACAGACGGGTCATCTGATAGTAAACTGATACCATCGTCCATGGACACCTTCAACTAAAGACTCGCAAGTGCGATGTCACCTTTGTGTCCTCACCCCGAAATCAGCGGGAGGGGAGGTTTGGACTCAGGTAATCTCACACATGTCCGTGTGGTGATAGATTGTCACCACCCCTTTTCATCCCGCAGTGGTGTCATAAGAGCCGACTAAGGAAGCAAACTACATTGGACTAAGCCTCTAACCCGTCTGGCCCGCTTGGCATAGTAAGCCAAAAACTCCTTTTTCAGAAGAGGCCTATGTCCAGTAGTGGACTATTAAAGGTTGTTGATGTGATGTGAATATAAACTGTTATCTCAGAACTGAATCTTATAGGACTCTTAAACTAATGGCTGGACCTATATGAATAAATACACAGAGCATGTTTGGAGTAACTATAAGTAGATACGAAACAGATTATTAATAAAAAAAATTGTAAAGTAAAGGGCCTGCTTAAAACACTTCATTATGATAAGTTAAAATCTTGACTAGTTTAAATAAAGAAAAGAGGAATCTTTCTTTTAGTTAAAGTAAATCACTTCAAAGCTAATCTTAAGTAAACCTCAGCTCAGTTTTTCTCTGCTAATCAGTGTAGGTAAAAATGGTACAATTTCTTAACTGAGTTAGCACTCCGGTGCTGTCGTACGTTGGTCCTAATGATGTATTGACATCACGACATCACGATTTTGATAAATTTGTTAGTGTAGGGTTGTCATCTAATCGTAATTGTAATGGTGTCTCACATTTTGTGTAATAATTAGTGTTTTGAAAATAAAGGAATAGACTTTAATCTGCTTATAAATATATTAAAAATGATTTTTGTACTAAACAAAATTTAACTTGATACCTCTAAAGTTGCCGTAGTATGTATTACTGTCATTACTTTCTAAGGTATTGTATTGTTTGCAGAACTTTTATTACTGTATGTCATTAGTGAGACTCAATTTAGAGGTAAAGATCATTCCAACCTCGCTAGCCTATCTATAGCTTGCCAACCCTAGTGACTCGTGACCTAAACGGTAATAAAAAAATTAGTAACATCAACCAGACATTACTTGAGCTCTTAACACGTCCCTGTATTAACGAGTTACTTGTACTCGTACTACACACATAGAAATGTAGAATTGAAAGTCAATGACCCTTAGAAATCGTCCCGTAAACAAATTCAATATCTGTATTGTATGAAATTGCATGTTTTTTATTCAAGAAAGTTCAAAGAGACTTGGATTTATAAGCCTCAAAGTATTTCGTTTACTCCAAACTTTCATTAACATAAAATGTATACAAACTCTCTAGAAAAACAGATAATTGAGTGAAATGTTACCGTCAGTGACTACGAGTATCTGTCTATTTGTTTATTCACCTGTCTTCTATCGACAGTATTGAGAACTCGAGAGATATAACAACCATGATTTATTTTTCACCAGACTTTGATACTGTTCAGAAAAAGTTTTCGCAGAAATTGCTTTCGCCAATACTCACTTCGCGAATGTCAGAATTGTTATTTATCGCTGTTGACTGATCCGGCACCATTTTAATAAACACAGATGTATATTTAAATTTTCTTTCTGCGGTTTGGTTTAATTAAAGCCTTATCTTTTTGATTAATAAGGAATAATTACAATAATTCAAAATAAGGTTGAGATTTTTAGTTTTTGAAAGTTAGGTGGTGGCTCCTTAGACAAGACAAACGCTAATTACTTTTGGGTACAATTGATATGGCAGGCATAATAATATATATATAAATATACATTACGATATCAGAGATAATTCTTTATTTATAATAATATAATATATTCTGTAAAAATCACTATGGGTTTGTTACTGTAGAGGAACGGTTCGTAGTCTACTGCGACCAGAAAGTCAAAACGATCAAGCCCAATGCATCGCGTTCTATACGTGATGTTTAGGTGGTCAGGTATCAATAAAATGATAAGGAAATTATTTAGAAATTATTCAATTGGTGTTTGCTGTAAGATCTCTTGCTGACTCTCACTTTTGACGATTTTACATTTTAAAATTCGAATACTTGGTACGCTTTTAAAATAAAACCGAAAATGTATAAGAAAAGCTTTCTGATGCACTTATAAATAATCGAGCATTATTTATTTTGAGTGATTGTAGGTAAAGGAAAAAATTGAGTGTAGATACATTAATTCTACCATAGCGTTCGTGATTATTTGCGTATTCCTTAGGTTAAAGTTGAATGACTTCATCCATTTGTGTTCGATTCCCGCTCAAGTCAAACATTTGTGTGCTTGAACATTTAATGTTTGATTTGGTCTGGGTGTTTTTATGTATAATATGTATGTATTTACAAAAAAAAGTATATATGTATTTATATCAGTTGTCTAGTAGCCATAGTACAAACTCTGCTTAGTTTGGGACTAGATGGCGTTGTGTGAATGTGGTACAATATTATTATTATTATTCTCTTTATTAAATTATATATACATATTAATTACATTTTTAAATATATTATAAAAGAAATAAAAATACATTTAAAAATATAAAAAATAGTAGACCACCGACATCGGGTACAGGTACCAAGACACCAGTGGTTAAGACTGCAAAGATAGGAACCTCCTCACTATACGAGCCGTGTGAAGGAGGACTGCCTTCTGTATCAGACCCTTGATCCAGCCGTCCAACGTGAGCCTCTTAAGGTGTTGGTCGAGGCTCTTGGCTATCAATCCGTGAGCAGATACGACTATCGGAACAATTATCACTGAATCGACATTCCACATATCGACAATCTCGTGAGATAAATCCAAATATTTTATTGGTTTTTCTTTTTCAACTTTCACGAGATTCTCGTCATGAGGAACGGCGATATCAACAATAATTGCGCGGCGCTCTAATCGATCTATCACTACAATATCAGGCTTATTAGCAACAATAGTCCTGTCTGTGATAATAGATCGATCCCAATACAACGTGGCCCGACCATTCTCGAGAACTGGGTCGGGCACATACCTGTAGTATGGCACCTCTAGATTCACAAGATGGTATTTAAGGGCAAGCTGTTGGTGTACAATCCTAGCTACTTGGTTGTGCCTATGCAAATATTCACCGTTAGCAAGACGAGAACAACCAGAAATGATATGCCTGATTAATTCCCCAGGACGGTGACATGCCCGACAGATGTCAACCGTACCATCTTTCAGGATATATTTCCGATAGTTATTCGTCATGATAACTTCGTCCATAATCGCACAAACAAAACCTTCAGTTTCTCCGAAGAGATCACCATACCGTAACCAAGTCGTAGATGCTTTAAAGTCTATATCGGACCCGTTTAGGGCCCGATAAAACCGGCCATGGAGCTCTTTCCCCTTCCATACTTCCCTACGATCATTAGTACTAAATACTACAGGTTTGCGCCAATTCTCTTTAGCCAGAGCGAGCGGGGTGAATCCGATATCCACTGCAACTATATTGCGATGCATTCCCACATCGGTATGTAGAAAATATTCTCTGAGATTGCATATCTCCCGATTGTGTAGGGTCTTGATATTTAATAATCCGCGATCCCCTAGCTTTCGCGGGATATACAATCTCATAAACGATGAACGTGGGTGGTGCATTCGAAATGCAGTCAGCAATGTACGGACTCTCCTATCAAGGGCATCTAGTTCGGTCTGAGTCCATTTAAGTATACCAAAGGAGTACATCAGAATCGGCATGACCCAACCATTGCAGGCTCGCACCTTGTTGCCCCCCGATAAAAGACTTTTAAGTACTTTTTCCAAGCGGCCAAAAAAGCGTTCCTGCAACGTTTGTTTCATGTCAGATTCTGGTATGCCTAACGACTGTGATATACCTAAATACTTGTAAGTTTCAGTGGCAGACAGAGATCTGAGTTTTGTTGAATCGGAAAGCTCTATACCTTCAGATTCTACTATCTCACCCTTCTTTACATACATGACTGCACACTTGTCTACACCAAATTCCATTTTGATAGAATTACTAAAGTTTTCCGTCACCTTTAGTAACGCTAACAATTGTAATTTGGTGGGGGCTAGTAGTTTCAAATCATCCATATAAAGAAGGTGAGATATAACTTGATCGTCTTTCTGCAACCTATAGCCTAGCCCTGAACCCTCTAATAAAGTGCTAAGAGGGTTCAAAGCCAGGCAAAACCACAAGGGACTCAGACTATCACCTTGAAATATACCCCGCTCGATCTTTATTGGTGCATCAATTACCGTCGTCTGCCGACATCCTGGATAACGAAGTGCTGTTCTCCATTGCCCATTACATGACTTCAAGAAAGTACACAGAGTTGTATCAATTTGATACAACTCCAGCACCCTCAAAAGCCATGTATGTGGAACCGAGTCGTAAGCCTTCTTATAGTCTATCCAACATGTCGCCAAACTCTTACGATTACGACGCACCTGTTGGCTAATGGCCCTGTCTATAATAAGGAGGTCTTTAGTGCCACGGCTCCCACTTCTACATCCATTCTGAGAAACTGACATAATCGAATTATTATTAATGTGTAAAGTAATTTTGAGTCTCAGAATAGATGTAAGAAGTTTGTACATGGTTGGTAAACATGTAATAGGTCTAAAATTTTTGGGATCCATGACACTACCAGACTTATAGAGTAAGTGGGTTATACCAGTGGTTAAAAATTGGGGTAATGAGCCCGAATTTAAAGCTGCCTGGAATTGAGATGCCAAACACGCATGTGAGCTTCGGAACCACTTAAGCCAAAAGTTGTGCAGTCCGTCTAAACCAGGTGATTTCCAATTCGGTAATGAACGAACTGCACAGCTTACATCATCTTTATCAATTATAACTGGTTCCATAGGTGTTATAGACTCACATGAGCGTCTGACATCCCGTAACCAATCACCTTCTATATGAGTGACAGGCACCGACCAGATGTTCCGCCAAAAAGTATGTGTGACATTTTCATCTGGCAAATGCCCATGACTCACACATGGATCCGGTTCCTCCCATTTCCGGTACACCCACTTCTCATTTCTTTGGAACATCCGATTCTGATTATACCGATCTATCCGTTTTTTGTACCGTCTTATCCTATTTGCCCATGCATAAATTTTCTGCTTTAGAAAGTCTATGCGCTCTTTGACACATGACATGTACTGTTGAGGACCAATGGTAGTCCCCAAGAATGCCTGTTTCACAAAGCGCATCACTCTCGGCCGCGTATTCCCTGATCGAAAACTAATTAGCTTACCAATAAGCACCCTGGTCTCAGCAATACGACGTTCAATTCTACACTGCCAAGCTGGTACAGTTGAATTAGGTCGAGTAGTAGTGACATTTTCAACTATATTAACACCAGCTACTCGACAGTACCTGGCGTAGTGGTTTAAGCGGTCGCAACGCCGCTTCCTACTACGCCGAGTGTTGTGGGTTCAAACCCCACATGGGACGATACTTTGTGTGATCCACAAATTGTTGTTATGAATCTGGGTTCTTTGTTTATTATTATTATTATTATTCTCTTTATTAAATTAGGTTGAGATTAAATTATTCAATTGGTGTTTGCTGTAAGATCTCTTGCTGACTCTCACTTTTGACGATTTTATATTTTAAAATTCGAATACCTGGTTCGCTTTTAAAATAAAACCGAAAATGTATAAGAAAAGCTTTCTGATGTACTTATAAATAATCGAGCATTATTTATAAGTAATGAAATAATATTATTATTATTATTTGAAAATGGTTATGATTTATATTAAGTTCAAGTGTGTATTGTTTCTGAAAATATCTTTTCAATACTAGCTTTTATATTATCGCGTTTCAAATTATATAGTTATGTATATTGGAATGAAGTACAGTACAACCTGGTCGAAACGTCAGTTGTGCCTGACTGAGTTATGTATTTAATACCTATCGTGAGCGTGTAAATTTCCATAAACACAATTATATAATCACTTTTAAAATTAAGATCCACTTTGTTTTTTTTATGGTATTAAATAAAACAAAACGACATCTACTCCCTCTTTATCAAGTTAGTTTTAAGTGTCCTAGATATTTTGTAACTCATTTAATGTTTGACAATTTCAGTTCCGGATACAGTGGCCACTCTTGCGTACTACAAACACTTTGTCAACTTGGTGCTGAACCTTTACACTCCGAAGATGAAGAGGATCTATTACATGAAATGGCCTCTTTTGTACTGAAGTAAGGATAAACCCTGTAAATAAAATATGATGTAAAATTGAACTTGACGGGCAGGATCCTATGATAAATGTGGGTAGTTATCAAAGATAACTTTTGACTGCAAGGATGGCGTAGTGGTTTAAGCGGTCGCAACGCCGCTTCCTACTACGCCGAGTGTTGTGGGTTCAAACCCCACATGGGACGATACTTTGTGTGATCCACAAATTGTTGTTATGAATCTGGGTTCTTTGTGTCCTTTTTATGTACATATGTTTGTAAAGACCCCCGGCACACAGGATATATTCTTAATGCGGGAGTTGTCTTTTAAAAAAAAACTTTAATGGCATAGGCAAGTAGCAACTTGCAGTTCAGTAACTGTCTGAATATTTGCCAAAATATTTCTATGAAGAAAATAGTTGCATTAGGGTCAATCGTTTTCGCTTGAGTAATCGTACTTTTTGTTAGAAATTAACAAAGTAGTTTTTATTATGATATAAGCAGTTAAGCAGTTCTTTCATTTGGCTTTTCAATGAGTAAGTGACGTTACTGGAGCTTAAACCCTCTGTCTTGTTTTGATTCTGAAACTGAAAGGGTGGCAAGGCGATTCTGACTTTTGAGTTGCAGGTATTTATAGGCAGCAGTAGCCTATTGCCATCAGGTAACCCGTAAAAGGATACAAGTTTGATTGTTTGGCTAATTTGTACCGAGGCATTACTATATATGTTTAATAAAGCCGAGGCAATTTTCGAGTAATGAGGTTTCTGTTCTTTTTTCAAAATTTCGTTATGACTGACTTATTAACTAGAACCAATAAACATTAAAACCTAAAGGTCAACGCCCTTTACAGGTACACAAATATATGTAACTTTACGTCACGTGATCTCAACAACTTAGCACGGCATTAGTTGCCTGAACTTGAAAATTAGTTTTGTACACATTCGGTCTGCACGATCCTTTGCATGCGTTAACCAAACTCAAGGCGCTATTTTACTAAGTACCACCTCCTAAGGTACACTTATTTACGACTAGGATGGAGGAGGAGTTAGGATTTTTAAAACCATTAGTATCAAAAGTCACCTTTGAAATTTGAATAACTAATAATTTAAAATAATACTTACATAAATATTGTAAGACTTTAAATATTGTAAGGAGTATATTTTAATGAGTAGATTATTACTATTATTATCATAGTTTATCTTAATGAGTAGACACTATTTTTGGTTCGAAGTGATCCCTTATTTATTACTGGAATACTAAATTCTTTAGAAAATAAATTATAGTATAAAAAAACATCACGCTTTTTTACCTAGACGAACTAAAAAGTAATTTTTACTTCACACTTTATCGTAAAAATGCGTACGTCCAGCACTAGACGTCTTTTGACTTAGATGGATGGATTTATATTTTTATAATTGGATGGACTTGTTGGTTTAGATGCTTAGTAACCAGATTACTAAACCCATACGATACGATCCCCATTTAAGACAAATAATTGTATGATGAGCACGATGATTTGTTCTGTGTCTGGGTGTAATTTAACTATAACATGTATGATGTAGATTTTTGCCCTGAAAGTCTGGCTTCTTTACACATTTTTTCATAAAATGAGGGACAAACAGGAGAAGGGTAACTTGATTGTTAAGTAGTCACCGCAGCACATGGATACATTGACAAAATCTGGCAGAAAGGCCTGTTGGTCCAGTGGTTAGTGACCCTGACTGCTAAGTCAGAGGTTGTGGGTTCGATTCCCACCGAGAACAAATATTGTGTAATAAGCACGGTCGTGTGTTCTGTTTCTGGGTATAATTTTATCAATAATATGTATGTGTTTAAAAATATATAAGTATGTTTTTCAGCAGTCTGGTTACCATAGTACAGGTTCTGCCTAGTTTGAGATCGGTCTGCCGTGTGTAAGATGTGTAAATAAAAAAAAAGTTCTAAGGATCCTTTCTTTTACAGTCCAATGAACGATGCTTCACACACCATCACGGAAGAAGAAGAGGTGTATTCCTACATAAAAGCCTACAAGGACGGACAGAACCACAAACCTTGTACCAAGTTATATGATACATGTTCAATATCTCTCATAGACCTCTTCACCAGAATACACGATACCTCATAAATGTTGTTAATAATAGTTGCCCTATTGTAAAATACAATCATCTAATAAAATAGTCAGATAATTATAAAATCAACTTTAAAACAAGATAGTAATTACTTTAATGCCAATTATGAGTATTCTTGATGAATTAAAATAAGCTGTGTCATGTTTCTATTATTCCACAATTTTTCAACCGAACAGGTTCTCAATTTTTTCTATTCTTTCTAAATTTAAACTCAAAGGGAGTTTACCCCACCGACCCTTGAATAAAGAAAATAATTGTTTAAAGCAGTTCCAAAATCATGAAGATATCACGATACAGCAATGCAAATAATACATCAACTATCTTCTATTAAACATTATCAACAGCCTTTAATAGTCCACAGCTGGACATAGGCCTCTTCTTAGGAAGGAGGTTTTGGCTTACAATACCACGCTGGCCAGACAGGTTGGTGTTGGGTTTGTTTCAAGTTTTCCTTCTCTTTGTACTGCTTTGTCTTGCAGATTTCAGTTCCCTTACTTGGCTCTTACGACACTCACACGGTAAATAGTGGTGACACTTCGTATCCTTAATCCATCACCACACGGACATCGCCATCTTTAAAACATGTCTAGTTCATATTATGTGTAGTTAGTAAAATGTTAAATAAGTATTTTTAAATTATATAACTTTATACACAAAATTGTAAGAATAATTGGTTTAAGGTGTTTGTTACCAAGACTGAATACTTACCTTTATAAATAAATAAACCTTTTTTTATTAATTTACAAGATCCTCATTCCTATAACAATAATCCTATCATGGTAAAAATAATCAATGGTTAAGCTGACTTAAAGACTGCATTTTCTTGCATTTTCTGTAGTATTAATCACTCCGGTATTAATCTCTAATTTTGTAATATATTAAAAGAAATTAAAGTAGACTATATTTTGTTTCTGTGCGAAAATCCCCTCGGATACCACCCACCGGTGGGGTGGTTATGTCGGACTTGAACCGAAAAAACCGAACGCCATCTGGCATACCATTTGCCGAAGAATCAAGTGTACCCTAGAAAGGAAATCTCTGGTACCCCGATGTACCTCGGATCATCTCCGGTGTGTAGCTCACCCCACCTGTATGGGAACCTCCATGCTCCCTTCGTACTCAAAAAGGGGCACGCGCGCTCCGCAGCGCGTTCGCCACCTGCCTGCTTCTGCTAGGTTGAGAGACGGCCCCAGGCCTGCGCTTATGGAGGACGGAGGTCGGTTTACGGACTCCGGCACCTGAGTCCGACGCCGCTTCCAGGCCTGGCGGGCCCTGAAGAGTTTTTAAGTTCTCCCAGTCTGCTCCACCGTCTCCTTCGCAATGGCGGCAATCATGTTACCGAGCGAGAGAATTCCCACTCCAATGCCCGCCAAGAGGCCCAGACTCAAGCCAGGCATTCTGCCAGCATGTAGAACGCTGTGTCCATGGTCCAGTGTCCGGCAGTGGTGGCATAGTAAGCTTTACCTAATATAATAATAAAACAACTGGCTAGACAACTGCGTAAGTTGGCAACCTTAGTTCTTATTTAACCTCTTGAAAATCATGGTTTGAACCCTGTTGTTGGGCTAGTCTACGATTTTTATTTTCACGTTTTCAACTTTATGATATCTAAAGGCACCTAATGTAGAGTCAACAACAATAACTAACAAACATTTCGAGTGTTATACGTAACGATTTCCAAGAAATACAACGAATAGGGTTTTTCTCCCCTCCTGTTAAATACGGAAGAAAATATCTATTATTCTCGAGAAAAAACTCAATTGCTGACGTCACAAGAACAGGGAGGGTAAATATTATTATAAATGTAGATGATCATAGCACGGCGTAGATAATCAGGCCCCACTTCTTTTGAAGTAATAGACATCATGAATCTATTACTGCGCCTATTAGTATATACAAATAAATAAAATTGTTTGTAAAGTCAAATAATAGGTTTTTTTATGCTTACACTGTTATTTGCACGATACCTATGCCTAAAACCAGTTTAAATATTTTTTGTCTGTCTGTTTGTTCCGGGTAATCCTCAAAACGGCTGGACCGATTTTGATAATATTTTACTACCTTTCTTTTATCGCAATTGCAAACATCATAAATCGGATTGGGGTGAGGTATAACATTAATTACAAGTAACGAAATTTGAAATTATTTATTTCTATATTACTTAATTACAATATCAATAAACTATTGATGCTGTAGATACTATCGACAATGTTATCGAAGTCCATGAATTCGATAGGACTATCGATAGCATGAAATTAAGGTTCACGATAGTGTCGCGATACTATCGATAGACTCTGACTATCGCAACAACTTTTACTTAACATTTACTACTAATTGTTCAATTTACTGGTAATACATGAGTTATTACTATCGTTTTCATTTTCTAATAAAATGTAAACTTGATTGATACCATTTATTGGCTGTTGTCTGTTATATTATACTGTCTTGTTTTCTGTCAAAGTAAATGTATTTCTTTTTTCTTTTTCCTTAAATGTTTTATTTCTCTTTTTAATGTAGTTAATGTATGTATGAAAGATATGTCTACTTGTTGACACTATCCTTTTGTTTTCTTTAATAATTAACTAGTAAAATATTACTTTAATTGTTCTATTAACAATGACTTAAAAGCAACTCAAAGACAACTTTTGCACTATGAGGATCTTTCAAACTTTTAGTTTTATGAACCATTTGTTATCTACAGAAATCCGAATGAATGTAATGTTTGCTCCCCTATCTGAGTAAAGGTACTCAGTATGGATCCTTCGCACTCTGGGAACAACTCTTCGCAGTTAATGCCTATCTCTCTGCCCAGCCGTTCAGCAGCGTGGTACTCGTTGTCAGTGTGATGGGACAGGGAATCTGTTGTTGTTGATGGCCTGGAATTCCAAAAGTTACACTTTAATATTGTATCACTATAATATAATTACAAAAAGTGTTTAGGATTTTTTTCTGGCCAGCGTGGTATAGTAGGCCAAAACTTCCCTTTTAAGGAGCGGCCTATGTCCAGCAGTGGGCTGTTAAATGCTGTTGATGATGATGATGCTCAAGAATTTTTATTACTGACTTGAAAATACAACAGTAAAATGTAAATATTATGACAATCCCTTAAATTCATACAAATGAAAAACTTTATTTTTTAAATGTATATGCACATATTTTTCGTGTAATTTTTGTCGTATCGTGTAAATTTAATTAATATTTCACGATACGCAAAGTGATATGTGTTCGTAAGCTCTTGTTTAAAATTCAATATGGATTACATAGTTTCAACTCCTACCCGTAATTTGATATAACTGATTTTAGTTGATTGTTCCTACTGTATTTAACCAATAGTAAATGCTTTAAGAATGACAATAACTGTAATAGAAGCGAGCAATAAAATGTGGTGTACAATAATTTTGCTGTACAATGCCAGGATAGCTTTTAGCGAGGAGTTGTAGAGAAAGTAAATTTAAAAAGTTTCTCTGTAGACTGTAACTACTCTAGACTTTCTGACGTCTAAACTCTTAACTCTCACTTTCGAAGTAACCTTACTACTCTCTTTTTAAAATGAAAATAATTATTAATCCGGTCCGGTCCGGTAGTAAGTAGGTCCGTGTGGTGACGGATTAAGAATACAGAGTGTCACCACCCCTATTCATCCCGTGGGTATCGTAAGAGCCGACTAAGGAAAAAAACGACTCAGAACAACAGCACTGCAGAGAAAGGAAATCTTGACACAGACCCTATACCAACCCGTGTGGCCAGCGTGGTATAGTAGGCCAAAACCTAAGAGAGGGCTAAGGAGGAGACGCTTATGTCGAGCAGTAGACTATTAAAGGTTGTTGATGATGATGATGAATAATTAGTAATCAAAATATTAGAAGTGAGAGAAACATCTGACGGAAGAGGGTAACGAGCATCGAGAGAATTTCATAAGGAACACTAACGAAGAAAATTCATACTTCTAATATAAATACACAGTGACAGTGAGTTTGTTTGTTTGTTACGCTTTCACGCGTAAACCACACGTTGGTTTACGCGTGAAAGCGTAAAGCGTAAGCGATTTAAATCAAGATAAATTACATAAAGTAAATCTTCAAAATTTTCCATTAAGCAGATATAATGTCTTGAGAACCAATTTAAACGTTTGTATACATGTTAAGCAGAATTCATTTCAGTAAGTGGAGCGTATTACAGAACCATTAACAGGGATTAATACTCGAATTTTAGTACGGACTTAAAACAACAAAATGCTATTAGAAGAGCTTCTACAAAGAAACCAGCTAAGACACATTTGGATTGATTAGTATAATAAGAATAATAACCTCACACATCTGACGTACGGCTGTCTGATCCCAAACTAGGCAGAGCCTGTGCTATGATAACCAGACTGCTGAAAAATATACTTATATATTTCTAAATACATACATATTATAGATAAATTACACCCAGACACAGAACAAACGACCGTGCTCATCCACACAAATATTTAGGTGGGAATCGACGTCAACCTCGACCTCCGGTTAAGCAGTCAGAGTCACTAACCGCTAGACCAGCAGGCCCGTCGATTAATGATGGGCTTACCTAACAAAGTAGTCTCGTAGTATATACCATCTAATTAACATAATAAAATTACTTTTCATGTTTCTCAAGAGATATGACATGCAAGTGAGTATACATACGAGTACCTACGTTATGTGCAGATAAAAGTATAATAAACAAGCGAGCTTTACAGTAATATCTGACATCTCACCTTATTATCCAAAAATATAACTCAGGTATTATTCGAAATTATATTTAATGACGAAATCTAAAAGATTTATCAATGAAAATTCTATACAAGAGAAAAAGTGACAAACTTTTGAAACCAAAAAAAACTTCAGTCGAGAAGCACTTTCACTATTTCACATTGAAAACAATAATTTACTTAAAGTAATGTAAAGTATTTTAATATGACACGCTTCTTTAAATCGTATTTTTTTTCGATTTATGCCGCGTAACGCCATCACCTTCAACGTCACAGAGTTACATTTATTTCAATTTATTTTTCTAATCAGTGTTGGACACAAATTTTTTTCTAACATTTTAGTACAATACTCATTAAGTAGTAATTGAGTACTAAATAAAAAAGGTTTGTTTTATAATATTAAAAAAAAACGCGATAATTGGACGTATGCACGTAGGAATCACAAAAACCGCAACCGTTTACACAAATTTCTAACCCTAATCTTTATCCGTCAGCGGCACCCACAAATAAATTTCATTCATATATAAAACGGTACCGAAATCCTTTCATACCGTTAGTGACTTACGTGAATAGTATATGTCCAATTTCACCGAGCAAGCCGTTTTCATGGGTGAATGGTACCTCGGCAGCCTCGCAGATTGTTCGGAGCAAGCACGGTCGGCCTGAATAACCGTACCTGAAGTTTCAATGGGCAACCTTAATAAAATATTATACCTACAGAACGATTCTTGTTAACTCTTTATAAAAGCTTCACTTATTATAGTAAATTATGTTTTCCTTCAACTTCGGTGTAAGAATGTTAACTTTGCGATGCTCTACATTATAATACTAACAGTAATAAATTTATAAGATACAGTAAGCTTTATTATATTAAGCAATATATTCTAAGATAAGTTTAGTATCCTTAATCTAATCAAAGTAACAAATGCCTATATTATTTGACTATCTAAGTTTTCAAAATAGTTACCTCTCCACCATACGTTCGATAATTTTATAAAAATCCCATCTATTCATTCTCTGAGGTTCTTCTTCTTCCATTGCATTTCGATCAATGATTTCTTGTCGCCTAATTGCTTCATCTAAAGAAAGTTCACTTTCTGTGGTTACATCTGCCATCAAACCACCTTCAGCATATGCCAGAGATCTCTTTCTTCTATTTTCATCAAACGTTACATCTATTAACGTCTCGTTTTCTTTTTCTAAGTTATTTAATAACGTAATATCTTCATTATCTTCAAATTCATCAAGGTCTCTGGAATCATTCGATTCTATTTCATTTGAACTTTTAGAATCTATGTCATTTGAATCATCTTTGTCCATATTTTTAGTTTCCTCATCTCGGGAACGGGCCACAGTATCAGCAAAACCATAAATTCTACTTGTATATTCGGTACTATTTGTAGGTAAATCATACTGGAATTTTATTACTGTTCCTACCGTAACAGAAGCTTCTTTTAAATCTACTGGTATCCCCAAACCAATAATAAACTGAAAAGAGCAGAAGAAGTGTTATTGGTTAAATGTTAGAATAATATATACATCAGATATCTAACAACATATTAATGTTAAATAATATTTAAAGCGAATGCGTTTTTGTAACGCTTTTACAACTTAACTACTGAGACAAATGCCATTATAAAATATATATATTACCTTATACTTTTAAAATGAAGTACCGTTTTTATACAAAAACTTTAGACATTGATGATATTTTATTATTTATTGATTGGTGTTTTCTACGTATAATATGTAATTATGTATTTACAACAAAAAAGTATAAGTATTCTGTCAGTCAAACTAGTTTTAATAGTACAAGCTCTGCTTAGTTTGAAACAAGGTGGTTTTGTGTGACAGATGTAAGAAATATTATTATTATTATATTGTTCAACATTCCTTTCAATTCGATAAGAGTATGCATGATTCCCAAGTAAGATTTATTTTTTGTAAGCGTACCTAGCCTACCTATGCCCAAATAATATGAAAGGAACTCCCTCATATGGTAAGCAGTTTTTGGTGTGGTACGGTAGAAGCTATTAGCGAATCTACTTTGTTACTACTTATCTTTGTAAAGAGATTTTTCTTTCTTAGCAATAAAAATAAGAATTTAAAATTAATTTTCAATTGCATCATTTATAACAATAAAAAAATTTAACATTATTATTCATCTAATGAAACTTAGTGTGCATTTTTATACAATGAACCTAAAAGCCGATACAATTGAAGTATGAGACAAATATATAGAACAAAACAAACAAAAGCCATTTACTTGGCTTAAGTACTAAAAATATATTATGGTCGAAACAAATGAGCATTTGTTATCCTGGAGCTTAATTAAAAATTTCAGTACAAAATTTGAACGTGAGCCTTGAAAAATCCAGCTTTGAACTCATGGAAATTTAAAAGCATACTCTAGAGCAATAGACACAAAACGTGTCAGCCGAAACAGAAAATAAATTTGAAACAAAAACTTTCATGGCTCGCTTCAAAAGGCAGACAGACGCTTAATTGCATTTAAATTCACGAACAAAAAAGACACTGCTTCGTTAAGCCCTATTCGTTGTGCAAAGAAAACATCATTTGCTTAAGTTAAATCAGGTACGCTATGTAAATTTAGATGGATTTGTTCTAATAAGATAGAAGGATATTACCTGTGCTCTTGCCGGGCCACCGTCCGGATACACGAGGTACCGTTTCTGCCTGCCCGCGTCCACGCCAAACAGCGAGATCAAATTGAACAGAATTAAAGCGAATAGCATCGTACTTCGTTTTTACGTCGATTCTGAGCGCACGGCACCGGCGAAGTGTAAATACTGTATAAGATAAAATGTTAGAATGTTTACACAGAGCCTACGGCAGTGTCTATCTAATGAACCGTTATGTTTTCCCAGTGATTTGGCCTGTACCGAACGGCCCAGATGCTTGGTTATGTCGAGCAGAGGTAAAACGTACATGATTTTGCTTAACAAAACATTACACATTACGATCGCATTCTGTTTCAGCATCTACATTTTCTTAGTAAAATAATGTTACTAATGTTTGCCATCAAGCTTTTTGGAGTATTAAATTACATTTTTCCGATAAATATAATTTATATAACCCAAGATTAATAATTAAACGCCTAAATTATAGATGTAAGTTTTTGTTCGTTATTTTTACATAGTTTAAGCAATTAATTGTAGTTGAAACTATACAAATTTTATAATGATTTATTGCGCTATATTTCCTGTAAGTTTCTCATGAATTCAAATATTTTTTTTATCCAAATTCCATATTCTGCTAATTTCCCAAATAAGATTTGTGTATGATGTTAATTATTCGATCACCATCATCAGCCAGTATTGCCGGCAACAGCTGAACGAAAGTAGTGTAGGGCTCTGCGGACTGCCCAAGACCGGGATGTACCTTTTAGAAGGCCTCCATTATGATAAAAATCGAACATTAACTTATTAAACTGTCTTTTAAGACATCGGTAATTCACCTAGTTTAAGAGACAGAGTTCCACAACTCAAATACACAAATTGTAAATTTTCATTAACTGTGTATTCAAATATTGTAAATCTTTGCGTAAATAAAGGATGTGATTATTATTGTTATAAACTTTATCAGTAACGAGGATAATTCGTCACGTTACTTCTTTTGAAAGAACGCACTCTTCAAACTGTCTCTCTTATACCTAATTGACCGTTAACAACATGAACTCAATTTAAAAACTGTAAAGAAATTTCACAAAACGATAATAGAAAATACAAATAAAACTTAGTTTTATAATGTTGGCATAATCGTCAAAGTTCTCTAAATATAGAAACCACACGCCACCTCAACATAAGAACAAAAACTTCCATCCCAACTTTCTGCATTAGAATTTCCTCATTTTTGTAAGTTGCCAGTATTCGATGCATTTCTCCTGCAAACATTTACCCTGACTATGTAAAGAAGCCACCGCATCAAAGTTGTGGGCTCTTTTACACTCCACGGTCCAATTTATTGAAATGAAGGGTTAAAGTAGTATTCTGTGGTTTTATTCTGCCTCTGCAATACGTTGAATTGATGTTTATAATCTATTTTGTAATAAAGTGTTTCTGTTAATGAAACATTGGTTTTCATTTGACTTTTTAATGTGCTATGTTTGTAGTTTTCATAAGAGATTATTCATAACTGTTTTAAGTTCAGGTTAATCATTTTTACAATTGATTGTTTCGTTAGTGTGACTATATAAATTAAACATTTGACATTTAAAAATGAGTCAGTAGTTACATGCCTACATTATATGTATGGTTAAATTTATCAAGTTGTGAATATCTCAAAGACTTTGCAGACAAAAAATGATTATGCGGCATCCTCATCCATCAACCTTAATCTTTTTTTTAAACAGTCTATGTTAATTCATGTAATGCCAAGATTGTCGAAATTATCTTGACGAGACTCCAACATATTTATTTTCCGTAGCTAATTTCCATTACAAATTATTCTACACCTCGAAGCAAATTGACTTTTATGAGTTATGTCGACAGTAATTAAGTCAGTCATGATTTTCTCTCTTTTTTTTTAATTCAGCACCAGATTGTTTAACAATCTGTTTAATTAGCACGTCTCTCGTAATCTAATTTTGAAAGAATAAGTACTTTTATTATGATTTCATTTCTTTATTTCTTGGATCTGCTTTGTAATTTCGTCTTTGTCTGATATTTTTTGTTGTATGAGTATTTTGTTTTATAAATACAATTTCAACATACATAGGTATATTAAAGGGTATATAAACCAAAGCTATTAATTATTAAATATATACAATATAATTAGTATTTCTTCCCGCATTATTTGCACTATGGGAGAGCCATGCTTCGGCACGAATGGGCCGGCTCGACCGGAGTGATACCACGGCCTCACAGAAAACCGGTGTTAAGCAATTCTTTCGTTGCCTTTTACTGAGTGAGTGAGGTTCCGGAGCCCAAATCCCCCTCCCGCTGACTCGAGCGCTAGGGACTCCAAGGGCGGCAACGCACTTGTGACTTTTGAGTTGCAGGTGTCCATGGGCGGAGGTAGTTGCTTACCATCAGGTGACCCGTCTGCTCGTTTGCCCCCTTATGGCAAAAAAAAAAACTTTTGTTGTAATAAATGGTATATTAGGTGATGTAGTCAGGGAAGAGCGTTGATGTCTGGGATACAGATTTCTTAAATTAAATAAATTTAAATGTATCATGTACCCACAGTAATATTTGTAAAACCATGTACTGTGTAAGAACACGGTTTATTAAATTAATTATTACTATAATGATCGCTTATCTTTGTTTAATCCTATTATTTGTCTTATTATTATTCTAGGCCTATGTCCAGCAGTGGACTACTAAAGGCTGTTCATGATTATGATAATGATGATGATCTGTAGGGGCCTTCATACTCAGTAATATTTTAAAAAGAAAAGTGTACATGTGAAAATATTTAATAGCGCTTAAGGACATCAGGAAATATAGCCTATAAGTGCTTTGAACTCAAAACCTGTAGTTGAATTCACATTAAAACTAAAATACTTCGTGTAGTCATGACATGTCGTTGTGTCAAAACCAGCCACGTGATCTTTAAATTAAAATGAGGCCGTATACTTTTATAAGGGTTCATCCACATTTTTGTAGATGAAACTACAAAAATACCTACGTTCCAATAGAATTTTATACGATAACTTGTACGACACAACTTTATACAAAAAAATTAAGTGATTGGGCTTTTTAATAAATTGTAACGTAAAAAATCAACACAATATCAATATTTTAGCACCCCTTCAAAAAGTGTTTAAAATCTTAAACTTATCAGTCACATTTATAAAAGTAGGTTTTACATAATACTAACACAATAAAATAAACTTTACTCTCAAAAATTTGCTTTCATAAATTATGACACTAGTCCCTTAAAGCTACGATTTAACTCAACTTTACTTTTTTTTATGGAAGAGGGGTCAAACGAGCAGACAGGTCACCTGATTGAAAGCGACTACCGTTGCCCATGAACGCCTGCAACACAGGAGTCACACATTGCCGGCCGGAAGGAGTACGCTCTTTTCTTAAAGGTTTGAAAATCGTATCGGTCCGGAAATACCGCAGACGATAACTTGACGGCAACTATTTCTAGAAGCATGTTAAGCTGATATTAATAAGTCACATGTACGCTAGTTGCTGTTCAGTTCAGTCTCAAAGAGCTTCTTATAGGATTGGAATATCCAACTTACAATCGCTATTCAATCTTATAGCATTAAAATACATTTTGCGTTCCTATGTGTGATTCAAAACATATACTCATATGTATTTGTATTGCAAGTAATTTTCATTCCTCTATTTTTTTCTTCTTTGTTTTCATAGGAACATAACTTCGTATATTTGTCTATAATGATCATATTTTAGTTTGTATTTCACTTATTCTCACATTTATTTTTATATTTTAAGTGGACTTACGTTATTATTACTCGGCATCCTCTAATCGGTTGACTAGTAGAGAATACCTTAGTACATAAAGTAAAAATAAATAAAATCCAAGCATTTTTAGGCCTTTTCCTCAAACTAGATTGGGGTCGGCTTTAAGTATACTACGATTCGGTTAAATTTAGTTTTTTTAAGCGGAGCAAGTGCCATCAGACCTCCACAACCCAAGTACCTGTCATTCTCATCAGGGCTCCAACTATTCGTAACGATTGCCACAGATGTTCGTATACCTAATTTTATGAATGTTACTGACAAGTTATGGGACCGAGGGCTTAACTTGTTCTTCGAGGCACGTAGATGTCTCAATGTGTTAAGAATGGTCCATAGACTGACCTGACCTGGCTAGCATTGCTAAATTTTGCAATGTGTTAACTTATTCGGTTACCACTTAGCCAAAACTATTAAAATAATAATACCGAGGCAGTCTACTAAAATTACATAAACAGTTACACGAAAACCTTTAAATGTCGATCCTAAATTTACAAGATCCTCCTAAAACTACTATGATAACTATGTAACTCTGAATTATTGAACAAGAAGCTTTCAAAGCTTGTATCACAAGATTTCGCACTTAATTAATTTGCTAATCTGCAGATATTCGAATATTGTTAAACTATCGTCCTTTACAAGGCGAAACCCTCAAATTCAATTTGTATCCTTATTATTCAGAACTCTGATTGCATTATTCAATGAAAGTATCAGTACAAAAAAAAATGTACACGTATTTTGTAAGGTACTGAAACAGGCTTCAATACCGTTCATCTGACTTAATTAAAACTTGGTACATTATCTACAATGCATACCTACTGGGGTTTGATCATGAGTTCGAAAATTTATAACATACATGTAACGTAAGATTTGTTTATAACAAAGCAAGGTCTATCTGTTTAATGGTGATAATTCTCTTTCTCTTTTGGTATTAATTACTAACACTGTATTGATTGTGGTGTATACTTAGAGGTCAATTTCATCAGGAATTTTTGACATGGCTAGACTGTAAGACAACATGCAGTCAATTTTTACTTACTTCATGTATCAATACATACAATATTCAGAGTAGATGAGATCAACTACAACGTTTAATATGTCGATGCGTAGATACTATAGGGTTCCACTGCGGGACGTAGTCTTCCTCTAATTTTCAATAATTGTGGTAACTTGATTGTGATAACTTGAAATAAATTGGATAATCAGTGTTTGTTGGCTTAATTTGGAGAGTTAAATGCTGTTGCAAAAAATCACATTGTTTTTGCTTCATAAATTGAATATTAACGTGTTAACGACCGAACAGCATTTTTATATAGATAGAGTAGCCTTCCCGATCACGATTTCGTGGTTAATTTTAATATTCATTTCTTGTTTCAATAATTATTATGTTATTTAGGCGACAGGCCATTTTTATCGAAATTTACTCATGCACGATTAATGTGCGTCATATTTCAGTTCGTTGACATATGTATGTACCTGATCACGTGCTTTTTCTTCTAATCACATCAACATCACATCAACAGCCTTTACTTTCCTTTACTTTATCTAGGCCTCTCCTTAGAAAGGAGGTTTTGGCCTACTATACCATGCTGGCCAGACGGGTTGGTATAGGGTTTGTTTTAACTTTTCCTTCTCTCTGCAGTGCTGTTGTCCTGCGTAGTTTGCTTCCTTAGTCGCCTCTTACGACACCCACGGGACGAATAGGGATGGTGACACTCTGTATTCTTAATCCGTCACCACATGTATAGTTTCTTTCTTCTAATAGTTGATCACATAGCAGTACTAGTTTCTTCCCTTTGGACTTCCCTTCCCGTATATACAAAAAATGTAAAGACGGACGATTCTCTGCTTCCTTCGCATCTTCTGTCCCTCGCAACAGGACTTGTTTTTCTGCAAGATGTTACGTAATATTTTCTGCAAAGAACAATGACAAACTGCCAAAATCTACCAACGGTTGTGAGGCTTAATCGTGAAAACTTTATTAACAAAGTCATTTTCGGCTTTATAGTATTATTATATTATAGTATTCTATGACTAAATGTCCGGATAGGGACATATGATGACGTAAATTGATTTCAAAATGTATTATTTACTAAAGTTATGTATTTACTCATAGCTCTAGCGATTGTCTCACAAGTAAAAATACATTTGTGTAGAACAGGTTAAGGTACTGTTAAGTATGTTATGTAAACATTAAACAGCTTCAAAATTACTACAGTAAATAAGTCCAGTCAGTTTGTTAAGTTGCGACCATGCGGCAGTGTTTGTCCAGAACTAATTTCTTCGGATCAAGACCATCGCTTTTACTGTTGAGGAAATATTTTCGGAACTAGGATGTTGGTGGGCACGTATGTTGTTATGTATGTTTTATTTTATAGTGTTTTGTGATTGTTTTGTGTTGTGAAAACAAGAGAACAAGAATTTAAAAGAATCGGAGAGACGGGGGCAACATTTACGAATACGTTTACAAGTTATGGCGAAAGCATAAAAGTTTTCAGGTGACAAATATCAAATATTTCTGCCGACTTGTGTTCTGTAGTTTTTTTATGTAAATATATATATTGAAGGTAAACAGGAAATCGTGTTTAGTACTATTTTCTATACATATTCTGTTCATTTTGAGTTTAAATAATGCTAAAGGCTCTTTCTTATCATTTTCATCTTTGCTTGCCCTAATACCTATCTGACCATGTTAGCTGAACCAAATAGATCCACTGGATTTTTGGTAATATACTGTAGATTACCGTCTCATATATTATTTGAAAGACTAATGGTCTGATCAGTAGCAGAATCATGCTTCGACACATACGTCTTCGGTTTGACCGGAACGATATCACGGCGTGACAGAAAACCGTTACTAAGACATTCTGTCGTTGGTTTTCACCGAAGCCCAAATCTTCCCCTTTCCCCTCCTTCTACCTGCCCCCCCCCCCCCCCCCCCCCCCCGCCTCCGTCCCACTGCACTGCCGCCAGGTTACCTGTCTATGCCTACAATTCCGAAAAAAATTACAATTAAAGGAGTAATACTTTTGTTTCAGCTTCATGATGGTATCAAGAGTAATATCTGATCAGGTAGTAACAAAAAAGCGACAGAAACGATATTTATTATTTACGCCAAATACACAGTGGGGTGTAAGTAAAATATATGTTATTTTTCTTTTCTAGTACCTTACGGAAATTAGTAAACGTTAAATGAAAACATTGATTCGTTCACGCCAATATTGCCAACGCAATTCTTTATCAGAAGGAGTTCTGACAAGTTTCCTTGACAGCATGGCAGACAAATACAATGAATATATTTTTACTATTTCGTTGTGTAATTAATCACCGATAAGAACATAAGGACCCCCATATGTTCTATGGACCCCAAATAAGGGGGCTGAAAACGAGCTAGTAATACTATCAATACTAGCGCCGCATTAATGTTCTGTTAAAATCAACGTCTTTATAAAAGATGACGGATAAATTCAAAAGATATTTCGTATCATCGTTTGTCCAGGTTCTGTTACAGAGCTCTTTTATTTTACTTGCCTTTTAACATAAATCTTAATTGTTAACCCCTTCTTTATTCAACTATATGGCGTTTTTCATATTTCTTGAATTCGATTAATGTCTTCGAGGTCTCTCCAAATCTCGTTTCTAGTTTATCGACAAAGAAAATAGAACATGAGCCAACAAATGCTGTATAAAAAAGTACTATACTTTATTTCGAAATTTTAATACAGTAATTGTATTGGCTTTTATTCCATCAACCCATTATATCAGTCTTGGATTGGGCGGTTTTTTTTTTTTAAAGGTTCTTATATTGTTTACTTAGTATTCTAAAATAAAGTTGGTTAATTATAAGTATAAATGTTCCATTGTGTAACAGGTGTATGCGACCGTATCAGTGCCACTGGAAATGTATCAATATGTGAGTGTAGCCTGGTTCTTTGAAGCGAACTACTACACCGTCGCCAATGCCACGTGGTTTGAGCCACTACTTGGAGACATTTATCCTGTTAGTATATTTTACCTAATCTTGTTTTAGAGTTATACTCGCAATTTTTTTGTTTCCGAAAACACACTATAAAGTAATAATTCCGTAAATCTCTGTTAGGCAAATGATCACCGTGGTAAGTTCAGTAGTGATTCTTCACAAACATTCTAAAGTCACGTCTAGTACCTATGAGAATTCATAATCAGACACGTATATACATATTTCTTTTAAAAGACTACCCCGCATTAGAAATATATGCTGTGACTGATCTAACTGGACTTGGTGTGTGGTAGAGGTGAACTACGTTATATAATTTTTATATTCGCGGATAGATATGTATATTAGACTGTATGTATGTATAAATATGTATATATACAGATATATATATATATATAGGGTTTTCCAATAAGACGTGTTATTTTAGTATTCAAAGAAAAATGCATGTTTCTAAGATAAATAATCGGCTGTTTATTTTATAATAAAGAGGAAGGTATGCCGTTAATAATGGAAGATAACATCAGCCAAATGGCTACCACGACCACGCTTACAGGACCATATCCTTTTAATGAAATTTTGCATAACCAAATCGCAAAGTGGCTGCCCCATGTCCTCGATAGCCTCACGAATTCCATCTTTGAGGTCTTGAATCACCGCTGGGCTGCTGGCGTAGACCTTATCTTTCACGTGGCCCCAAAGGAAGAAGTCGCAAGGTGTTAAATCACAAGATCTCGGTGGCCAATTGTGATCACCTCTCCGAGAGATAACACGGTCAGGAAACTTTTACAGTAAAAGAGCAACGGTTTCGTTGCTTGTGTGGCACGGAGCGCCGTCTTGTTGAAAGTAAATGTTGTCCAGATCAATACCATACCACTCCGGCCATAAAAAACCATTAATCATATCTCGATAGCGCAATCCATTCACCGTAAGTGTTGATCCAACCTCATTTTCGAAAAAGTAAGGTCCAATGACCCCGCCGGACCATAAACCGCACCAAACAGTCACACGTTGAGGATGGAGAGGCTTCTCAACAATAACTCTTGGGTTTTCCGAGCCCCAGATGCGACAATTTTGCTTGTTGACGTAGCCTCCTAGGTGGAAATGGGCCTCATCAGTCAAGATGATTTTTCGATGGAATTCCGGATCATTTTCATGCATTTCAAGTACCCAATCAGCAAAGACACGACGTTGTTGATGATCGGCCGGCTTGAGTTCTTGTGTTAACTGAACTTTATAAGCCTTAAGACCCAAGTCTTTATGCAAAATACGGTGTAATGACGTTTGTGGAATGCCCAATTCCAAAGAACGTGGACATGGACAAACCTGCGTTTTCTTCAACACTTTGGGCTACAGCAGCAATATTCTCAGTTGTTCATGAGCGACGTGCACGGGTTTTATTTTTCACATCACTAACTTGTCCCTATAGCTCGAATTTTTCCACCAATTTCTGTATTGTGGTCCGACAAGGTGCTTTACGACGACCAAAAAATGCTTTAGTTTTGCGAACTGTGACTGCAAATACCGAAATACCGGGTGATTCAAAATAACACCTCTTGTTAGAAAACCCTTTATATATATATATATACATATATATATATATATATATAATCGCTCGTTTAAAGGTATTAGATATTATATATATATATATATAAATTATATCTAATACCTTTAAACGAGCGATTCTTTTATATATGTATATGACAGAGTACCGCTGTCTGGGTTGTTTTTAAATAGACAATAGACACAAAAGTAATTTCAGTTAAAGATGTATTCCAAGGTTCCCGAAGTTTCCGACCTCAACACGAAGATGGCAACACTCGTGAATAAAAGCTAGTGAATTTCATTGTTCATCTGTTGACAATTACTCGCCAAAGTTTCAGCCATTTTGTGTAATAATCGTTTGAGTGAGTTGATGTAAATGTTTTTATGAAAATGGACAAAATTGAGTATCGAGCTGTCATTAAATATTTGTTTTGAAAGGCAATACGCAAAGTGTTGCGCAAATCAAAGATGGGTTGGATTCTGTGTATCTGCACCATGCACCACTCTGCACCATCATTTACCACAGTGAAATTTTGGGCAGCTGAATTTAAACGTGGCCGTAAGAGCTTAGGAGACGATTAACGTTCGGGACGTCCAAAAACTGCAACCACCGACGAAAACATCGCCAAAGTTCACCAAATGGTGCTAGACGACCGCCGAATTAAAGTGAGAGGGATAGCAGAGGTTATGAACATGTCAAAAGAACGTGCTTGGGTGCCGTGTTTGTTCACGTTAGATCAAAAACGTGTTCGAATGAACATTTAGTTCGATTAATTACTGTTGATGAAACTTGGATACACCATTATACGCCCGAAACAAAAATACAGTCCAAACACTGGACTGCAAAGGGGGAACCGGCTCCAAAAATGGCAAAAACTGTTTTTTTCGCCTGGGAAAGTGATGGCGACTGTTGAGATAGTCATTGAGTTATTTTAATCGATTATCTCCAAAAAGGAAAAACCATTACAGGAGCATACTACGCATCATTACTTGAAGCTGCAGGCAAAACTTGCGCAAAAACGGAAACATTTGCTGAAAAAGAAAAGACTGTTTCACCAAGACAACGCACCGTCTCACACCTCAGCGGTTGCCATGGCGAAAATCCACGAATTACGGTTTGAACTGCTTGACCATCCGCCTTACTCACCAGATCTAGCCCCAAGCGAAAAATTGAACTCGGAGGAGAGAGATTTTCGTCTAATGAAGAGGCAATCACCTTCGTGAACAATTAATTCGAAGAGATAATAAGATTCGATAAGATTCGATACAAGGTCTTGTATCTTTGTTTGATCGAAAACTTTTCAGACCACCCTCGTAGATCCGTACAGCCCGACGGCTCGAGCGAGAATGACCGAGTAATGCAGCTCGTTTTTATAGGACGCATTGTTCCCGCACGTATTTACATGTTGTTAGGTTAAGTGTTGCATTTTCTTGTTGTATTTAAATCATACGATTCTTTAGGTTATTTCTTAACACTAACTATCAAAACCTCAATTTATTTTTTATTAAGTGAGGCAGTTTGTTGTTGCTCCGATATGTATAATCTGAATCTCTGCAACGGCTCCAACGATTTTCATGAAATTTAGTAAGCAAGTATTGTCTAATTGATAATTTCTATTTGTACAGTCTAATTTTTTTGTCTGTAATGTATTTCCTGCATCACCCATAAGATTGACTAGCTGAGAAGTTTCAAAATACACATAGTTTATTATTCTTTTTTTCAGCAATCAAGGAATAGAGAACATCGAAGCATTGGAGAAAGAAGAGATATTGTAACGCGCAAGCTTTTTTATATTTTCATCGAAAATATGTTAGAAAGGTACCAACGCCTACGTTCCATTTATAGTAGGATTATATAGAAATAGTAGTATACCATACCTAGGGGGCTCATGGCTAAATGGTCACTGAGTAAGTTAACATATTGGAAAGTTAAGCAATCCAAGCCAGGTCAGTCTATCGATGGGTGACCATTCTTAACATATTGAGAACATCTGTTGCAATCGTTACGGGTTATTGTAACCCTAAAAAGTCCGACAACAGTCTATCTACAGAACTTCGATATCGCCACGGACCTACTTGGATAGTAGAGGCAAGATGGCAGTGGCTCCACGTAAAAAATCAAAGTTCGTCCTTGTGATAGTAGACTGAAAGCCAACCCCCAATTTTAATTGGGAAAAAACTCGGAGGATGATGATGATGAGTACTTTGGAGTAACTTCATTATATGGTTTACCGGGTAAAACAAGGTTTGTCTTAATTTTATAGGGCTGACCACTGGCCCAAAAATACAGACACTCGCCTAGTTTGGGGGAACAGCATCAGTACATCTGAATCAACTAAAACAAAAATGTTCTACCTGGTATAAAATTGTAAATGTGTTATGTGTTTGTATTATCAAAAAAAAAAGTTGAATTTTGCTTTAGTCTTTATTTGCCCACAAGAATACAGAAACATAAAAGAAAGAATTTTAGCATGAAAACTATCGCCATGGAGCTTTACTATTGCTATGCCAGGTATTTAAGTCAGGGGACATAGGAGAAGATCCAACAGCCATCTTTCTTTCAAATTGACAGTAGTCGCTTAATGTAATTCCATTATTATAAATTCATCTGCCTAATTCTTTTTATTAAATTTTAAAATTTACGGAGTTTACGGAACAATTAAGATTAAATTTTAAAATTTAATCTTAATTGTTCCGTAAACTTTGTTCTAAATAACTATTTTTTTTGTAGACAGGGATATCCAGGCTGTCCCTGCCTGCTGCGAGGAATTTGTGAGAACGCCGACTCCCATTTCTTGCATAATGGTCTTGTTGGAGACTTGCTTTATTTTATTCTTACGTAAGTACTTGCCTATTCTATTATAAAAGTCAACAAGCACTTCTCCCAACTGATGATCATTGGTATCAATAATCATTGGGAACACAAGACAAATTACGTGTTTCCCACGGTCTATTTAGTTCTTCAAGGCTCTTGTAAATGGATAGACACGTCAAAAAAAGTGACCGAGACCGGCCAAGGATTGGTGGTAAATAATTCATGTAATGATTCAGTAGCTATTAATCAAGGTTTGAAAGAAACAAAATAAAAAATTTCAACTGTCACTTGTTTGTCCAACATAAAGTGTTTTTTACTCCGCCTAAAATTAAATACTTATTTCTACAGGTAGGGATTAGGATCCCTACCATAATCTCTACCGATAGGAATAAGTGTAAATGAGTGAAATTCTAAGTGAAGATTCTGACAGAACTTCCTAAAGAGATACTTTAATTGAAAATATAATCAGCGTTTTTGAAACAGTATGTTTCTGAGATTAAACAATTTTATTTAATATTTACATTAGTGTGCTCTTTTCAGGCCCTCCACTTCGATCTCAGAAGATGATATAGAGGATTGCTACTACGAAGCAGAATACGATGGCTTAGAGAACAATTGCGAAAAATACATCGAAGAATGTCCGTTAAATCCTTTAGAAAATATTTCATTGAACGCTGAAATTGATTTTACATAATATTGGCCTATTTGATATTGAATTGTTTGTTGTTTTAAATAAAAGCAATAACTAGTATGCGATGTGATTTCTTTTCTTACTTTGTAAAATACACGTTAAGCAAATTATATATGCCGCAGGCAATAGTTTTTAACTATCACTTACTTACTACCTAATTTAATGATAGTTTACTTTCAATACGAGCTCTGACGTGCTAGAAATGTTATCTTTTTAATTTAATTATGTGTTCCGTGTGGCGACGGATTAAGAATACAGAGTGTCACCACCCCTATTCATCCCGTGGGTATCGTAAGAGCCGACTAAGGGAGAAAACTAAGTAGCACAACAGCACTGCAGAGAGAAGGAAAACTTAACACAAACTCTATACCAACCCGTCTGGCCATCGTGGTAGAGTAGGCCAAAACCTCCTTTCTAAGGAGAGGCTTATGTCCAGCAGTGGACCATGAAGGCTGTTGATGTGATGATAATACGATGTGTTTCTCAAGTATGCTCTTTAATATAGAAATAATCTCGCAATCCTTTATATCGTACTTTAATCTATAGTTCAGAAGGACTCCCTCAAACAAACTTCATCATCATCTTCGTGTTCCATTTCCAATTTTAATAATTGGTGCATTCGAGTAGGCTATCTAATGGGCACTGGCAAAAAGAAGAAAATTAGGTTTAAGCATTAAGAGTAATAGAGAATTGTTTAAGAAGATGTGATAGAATATGAAAATCAACAATATTTTTAAGTTTAACAGAATTTACCAACTTTCCTGCGTACAAAACCACTTCGTTTCGTGACATTCTCACAAGCCGAAAACAAAATCTGTTTTCTATCAAAATATCGTTATTGGAGACCGCCGTCATTGTCCGCCACACGCCCCACATGTAAATATTTTCCAGCCATCAAATTGCCAGTGTTGCCACACTGTGCAGCTGGTGTTACTAAAGTGACTGAGGCAATGTAAAATAAAACGGTCAAGTCCGTCCGACCAAACAAACGAATGAAAGGTTCCGTAGTTGAAAATCTTTTTTATCTGAACGGAAAACGGCTGAAATCGAGAACTATGAATATTTTTTTAAATAGAAAAAAAAATCCTGCACGGATAGCGTAGTGGTTTAAGCGGTCGCCACGCCGCTCACTACTACGTTGAGTATTGTGGTTCCGATCTCCATATGGGACGACACTTTGTGTGATCCACAAATTGTGGATCTGCCTCTGGGTGTTCTTTGTGTCCCCTTCATGTATGTATGTGAAGTTCCTCGCGACACAGGATATATTCGTAATGCGGGAGTTGTCTTTAATAATAAAAAAAAAGAAGAATATGTTTGTTTGCATCCGAGTACGAAATATACTACTTCACAATTTCTTTACTATTTTATTTCATAATATTCACAAAAGCAGAAAACAGAATCTGTTTCCTAGTCGTTATTGAAGAAATCTTGATTACAGGTAAAACGTTAGAGAAAAAGGTATTTCGCATAGATCTTTTCCTCGAAATGTATTAAATACCTAGTGGAGAAAACATCGTCACGTTTATCAAAGTTATATAAAAAACACGTTTTAATGCAAAGTACTAGAAAACAACTAGAGGGCATAGTGACAACCATCTATTAAACGACATTGAACCTTATTCAATTGTTCTTGTTTATTTACAAGTAATATTGTTAATATGTTATTTTGGTTTTAATCATTAATTAGTACTACAATTCAAAATAAGTGGACATGTAGAGATATTGTTTTCTGTTCCATTCGCTATTGAACCCTTTCTCTCTCCTCGGAACCTGTCTCGCCTCTGCTCCACCCGCGCCGAGCATTCTGCTAGCGTGTGGAGCGCCGTGTCCACGGTCCGTGTCCATCGCAGTGGTTACACTTAGGCGTTGGCTCCTTGCGGATCAGTCACAGGATCCTTTCCCAGTGATCGCCTGCGTCAGTCGGTATGAGAGGTCGGGTCCCGTGATGCCTCTCGAGCCAATCCCCCATAATCGCATTGTACCCTAAAATGTGATTCCTAGTTACAATATATGCGTAACCGTATCTACTATTTTTGTGCATGCTCTAAATTGCTGACATAGGTATCTGCATATCCCTTCAAAGTCGTATTTTAAATGAAGTTAGTAAAATGTATAAATGTTATGACAAGATATTGTGAATTTCCGCATATAGAAAGAATATTTATTGATGTAAAACATCTAATGCGGAGGGTAGGACCGGCTGTCGCCTCGCTATATGAAAACATGGAACATGTTATACGGTATCACACATCAACAGCCTTTAATAGTCCACTACTGGACATAGGCCTCTCCTTAGAAAGGAAGTTTTGGCCTACTGTACCACGCTGGCCCGCATGAAATATATACAATTATGGGCAAAACTTGATGATTCACCACGACGCGACGGCTCAATTTATTTTTAAAGTAGAATATAAATTCTTTTAAAGGGATTAGTTTCGGCCAGAGCCAGTTGAAGTTACTTATTTGCTACCTTGACCTTCTCAAGTTACAGCTTTCATTCAAAAATCTATTTGTATAAGCTATGTCCCTTTCCATCCATTACCTTCCCTTTTTACTTATTTGAATTCATTTCCAATAAGTCTGCGTGTCAGCTCGATTTCAAATTACAATTTTTATAATATGGATATAATATGGATGTATGAAGCTTCCCCTTTTTTTTCCTGTGCAGAAATCCCCTTTCGGGGTACAAGTGTATGTAATCCAGTTATTATTGCCATAAGATAAATTATGAAAATTGATTTTACAGTATAAAAAAAAACTTAATTTTAATCCACCTTTTAAAATATTTACAAAAGCTTGCCAGAAAAAAAATAACGATCAGCGGATAAAACTCCGCGGAACAAACTCCAAGTAAACAGCACCAACCTGCAAACACTACCGAACCGCTCGTCAGCAGTACTTATTTACATACACTGTGTAAGCAAGATGAGTTATATCAATATTGTAGTAAGGTTGCATTTTTAATGTTCATCAGAAATCTGACACTGCAATTCGAATTTAAACGGTAAGAATTATTCTGACGGATAAATTAATAAAGGATAAATCAATACACACTTTTGTCCGTTGAATAATCATTGATTTCTGATTAATTGATTTTATTTTGACTCTTCATTTTGTTTTAATTCCTATCATTGGGTAGTACCATAATTATGTGTTTTGTATCACGAAGTATTTGTGTGGGAATCTTTTTATGATTCAGGGAGCAAATAAGCAGACGGGTAACTTAACAAGAAATTTAAAGTAAGAAGAAGGTACTTATATCATTATTGGATCTAGATTTATAAATTTAATATCGCTTTAAAAATATCTTAGAAGTAATAAAGGTGAGTAATTTTAAAACCAGATATTTGAAATTGAAAGAAGAAACATATATGCTTATCTACATATTTTGAAAGTGGCCCATATAACAGCAGGTATAATAACGTATATCAGGGATTTCCTTCCTAGGGTACACCTGGTTCCCCGGCAACTGGTACCCGAGTAGGCGTGTGGTTTTTGGTTGGTTCGAGTCCGATATAACCAACGGTGGGTGGTATCCGCACAGAAAAAAAACAAGGTATAAAAACGTATTTCAAATTTTATGTTGGCTTATAAAATTTTATTGACTTTTTAGTACATTTTAATGTTATTTAGATTTTTTGTTGTGAATATAGTATCTGAAGATTGACCTGACCTGTAGTTTAGTGATAAGCACCAAAATACGGTTTCCTTCAAATACACATGTCAAAATAACAAGCAATCATTCCTTTGGCATGACGACTAGATTTTGTATAGAAAAATAGAAACGGAAATAAGGAAAATCTTATACAAGTATTGACATCGGAATGTTCTTGACATTTGAAGGAAAATATATTTTAATATCATGCAGACTTATTTATATTGTAATAAATTGATATTTTACCCTAAATTAAACATTCCTTTTAAATTTAGTTCTGGAACGTTCTGTGTTACAGTTTCTTTTGCATATGGGGAAACCGAGAAGACAAGTCCTGATGGTGAGTAAAAGACACTTGGTGTTTAAGAGTCATAAGTGCAATACCAGCGCTTTAACCGACTGCACGGATAGCGTAATAGTTTAAGCGGTCACCTCGCATCTTATGGTGCTGAGTATTGTAGGTCCGATCCCCACATGGCACAACACTTTTTGTGGTCCACAAGTTGTTGTTCTGACTCTGGGTGCTCTTTGTGTCCGTTTCATGTATATTCCATACTTTCGCTTGATCCCCTTTTGATCAAGGTTGCAATGATCGGTCAAGTAATTGAAACGTTCAAGCGTAATAAATAAATAAACTTATATTCTTGTTTACGTTATTAGTTAGAATAGCGACGCATTAAAAATTTTACCTCTCTGTTTTCAATAATAAAAAAAAACAAATATTTAATCATAGATTTTACGAATAACAAACACAAATACATACTCTTTTGTACACATAATGTCGTTAATTCGTCACTTGAGAAATTCAGAGAGATCCTTCCAGAGCTTTGTGCACCTCAGTTACAAGACTGATGTGTCTATTAAGGCTAAAGTCGTGTAAACACCCCCCAATAATTTCTGGTGAGGAGATTTTGTCACGTAAATTCTACGATTACATCTGTCAAGACGACATTAAGCCAATTTGCGAGGCGCAGACAACATATATTTTACTCCTGTTGGTGAGGTAATGTGTGTAGTACGTTGTTGTCCCTTATATTCCTGTGGTGTGACTAACAAAATATCATATTTAGTAAGCTTAATGTATACTGAATGCATTAAAGCACAGGTAATTCGTAACGTAGTAGGTTGGCTTCCTGTTTGAGACTTTTTAATTTACACTTTTATAACTAGTTGGTAGTCGCGGGGACTTCGTTCGCTTAGAATTTGAAAAGCGCTGCCCTAGTGGGTTCGATTTCCAGATCGGGCGAAATTTCAAAGGATTTTTCTGCGAGGAAAAATAGCCTAAATTACTCCGTCTATAGACAGCTATCTGGTAGTAAAATATTATCGAAATCGATCGAGCCGTTTAGAAGATTATCCGTAACGAATAGATAGACAGACAATTTTTTTTTAACTGGTTTTAGGCATTGGTATCGTCCAAATAACCGTGTGAGCATGAACAAAACCTATTATTTTGACATTACAAACAGACACTTCAATTTTATTTATTTGTATAGATTTTGGGCATATCTTAACTTTTCTTAGAGGGGGCAGAGGAGCAGACGGGTCCCCTGATGGAAAGTGACCATCGCCGCCCATGAACGTCTGCAACTCAGGAGTCACAAACTTATTAAATGAAAGTCCAAGTTTAATCTATAAGCAAGACTTGGTACCATTATCTGGGTAATATTTTTCGTTGTTGTATAATTATGTTTTTTTTTAAATTAAATGCAAAAAAACATTTTATTCATAAAAAGAAGTAATCATTGTTGAATAAGTTCGGTTAGCTTTCTCTTACCCTGTCTCTGTTCTGTTTATTATCCATGGCTCTATACGTGATTGGCTTTTAAGAACCGTTGAGTTCTTTCCACAATTAAAATTTACATACATTTACGTCTAAATAGTCATGTAACAAACAAAGCAAAGCCTGTGAAACTATGTAAAACTATGAAAGCTAGATTGCCTGATACGATACTTGTATACATTTATATCAGTAGGCAGAGGTGTACCAAGTGCCCCAATTTTTCCAATTATAATTTTTACCCCACAAACGTAATAGGGTGCCTATTGCCGTCGACCGGACAAGTTAAGAATTATATTATAGGATAATTAAAAGTATATTAAAAGGAAAAGTAATCACAGAAAGGAAGGTACTGCTTATGTAGGGGGATTGGGGATTAGCAATGTTTAGAATGTAGATATTTACTGAGGGTCAAACCAAAGACCATATAAAGATCATTATCATCAACAGCCTTTAATAGTCCACTGCTAGATATAGGCCATTTCCTTTTTTGATCATATAATTAGGCTTACATTTAAATTATTACAGTATGCAATGGCTCACAAAACAACTTGCGCTGTTTGTCTGTGAGAACAAAATTGAGTCTCATTACATCTACATTACACTCTCACATAGTTTTTGATAGGAACTTCTTAAGCAGTCTTAAGAATTTATTTTTATTAAGCCCATTACAAATGCATACAAAGAAAGGATGTTTTGGCCTACTATACCACGCTGGCCAGACGGGTTGGTGCCGGGTTTGTTTCAAGTTTTCCTTCTCTCTGCAGTGTTCTTATCCTGCAGTTCTACCCTTAGTCGGCTCTTACGACCCCCACCGGATGAAAAGGGGTGGTAACACTCCGTATTATTAATCCGTCATCACACGGACGGACGTATAGAGATAAGACGTACTACCTACAAAGGGCGTCTACTAAACCTACTAACTACAACGAAGCGACTACTAAAACGACTACATATAGAAGAGGAAGATTGCCTTAAGTAGGTGTTTTTAAATATCTCTTGTAACCAAGCAGGATAATCGCTATATTTAGATCAATACTAAAAAGAAATAAACTTAGAAGCTAATTAAAGGATCATGATTCGATTCTAAGTGTTGTGATGTGTGTCTTTGACAAAGAAAGTATGAATCATCGATATTTCGGTTGCCATGCAGTAGACATTTTCGTTGTGTAAATTTTCCAGGCCACTTTCGTACTGTTCTGGAACAATTAGAGCCTAATTTAGTTCACTTCCCCTCTAAGAAATATATTGTCACCTAACGGGACTAAAATTATAGTATGAACGGCAGTTTAGAGTGTCTCTTTTAGTTTTTGTTATTTTACATAAAACGATTAATGGTACTTATTTTGAAATTTAGTAAGTGTAGCCTACAAACTTAAGCCACGCCATTAATGATACTTGCACTTAAGCTGGTACAGCTTATCGGATACAATTTAAGTTTTAGTCTGCTGATCCAACCTTACTTTATTTGTAATTCAATAACTTTGTAATGTCATCGGAATATTTTAATTTAAATACGACCTCCGTAACAATCTCGATTTGATACAATTTTTTCTATAAAGAAAAATAAATAAATTGAATATTAAACTTATTCTTAAAGTTCAGTTAAATTTGCAGTTCTCAAGTGTCTTACCAACTCAACTATTAAAACAAAAATGGATAAATAGTGTTTTTTTTTTAATTTTATTAGAATTCAGAATTAAAAAAAAACAATACAAAAATATTATGATTTTTCTCTATTCGGTTACTACAAAAATAACTTAATAAAACATATAAAACAAACGATGATGAAAATATTTACCTGTCAGCTGAGGAACGTCCCACGGCAAGTTAATAATGAACACATACTAACGCTTAAATGGGACCAACGTCTCATAAATCTCGATACAATACCAATCGAATTTTATCCAAATATCCTTATCTATCTTCGAAGATAAGGAAGTTATTTCAATATAAGAAAAGAATTCAATAAAAGTTATTACAACATTGATTCACGGACGTACGTGATTCAATATTAGTACAACGCACTCTCTTTTAGCGTATACGCCTTAATTCTCTGACACTAAAAAGTGGCACAGTTAGGTGGTAGTTGATACAAAAATACTAGTACAGGATTATACGTGCGTGGTTGTGTCCGTGTGTATTTTACATATCAATGTTTCGTTCCAATTCAATATTTAATATGAAGGGCTCTCAGATTTTGATGGCATTGTAAGTATCTTGTTTTTATTTTAGAAATAGTTAAATAACTGACGATTGTAAAAAAAAGATAGTGTCTTCATTTCCTGTTTTTTATTATTCGTTTTTGATAATTTTTCTTCGTCAAAATGCCTAGGATGAACTACTCACTCTAATTTGGTGCTGTTGGAGTTTTGAACGTGACCTAAGTTAGTAGTTCGACCTATTTATTTATACTAAGATTAACATTTTTCAATCTTTTAATAAAATAATCAAATTCGGGCTTTAAGTAGTGGCTATCGTCGTCATGGAAAACTTTAGGATTATAATAAGGAAATCAGGATGGAGGACTTCTAATACAACAGATCATAGGCAAATACATTTTATTCTATATCTAGCATCATCTGGAAATAATAGGCTGAATTATTTTGACCAGCCGATGTTGTTGCGATTCAACGAATTGTTGCAAAATGCAGCAGAACATTAAAAAGCTTTTGTGCAACAAACCTCAACTTTCCAGTACAAATGAGTTGCACTTACAATACCTGCGCAATGATACTTGGGAGTTAAGTATTTCCTCAACAAATTTTGAGTATGCTAGTTTATTATTGTACTATATATGATTTTATTTTAAATCTTCAAATAAATACAAATGAAATAATAATAATCTCACACAACTGATCTGTCTGATCCCAAACTAGGCAGAGCCTATGGTAACCAGACTGTTGATAAATATACTTATAAATATCTAAATACATACATATTATGAATAAATTACACGCAGGCACAGAACTAACGATCGTGCTCATTACACAAATATTTGTCCTGGGTGGGAACCGAACCCACGACCTGCGGTTTAGCAGTCAAGGTCACTAACCACTAGATCAACAGGCCCGTCTAGTTTTTAACCCTTATCTTACTTTTCTGTTTTAGAAGCTTGGTAACGTCTACTTTGGGAAAATCGGAACATAAAAGAGCGCTTATATTCCCGCCGGCTGGTCTATATGGAGTAAGTTTTCCCTTTATACATAAAACATATTAGTTCGGTGATTCAATAGTATGAATGGTAAAATAAGCTTTTTTCTTCTGCAACATAGTTTCATACTAATGGCAAAAGGTCCAGAAATACTGGCAGTTCATCTTTGGAGGTGGGGGCAATTTTGAGCGACTTTGAGTCCTGTACCCACAGAAAATTAATTAAATAGTACTAGATAAGTAGAATTGCCAATCCCTTTTGAAAGACTCAAAATCCGAATGAAAAAAGACACAATCAAAAGTCCCAAATTTTTTATTCGGTTTCCATGGACCTGAATAATACGCGTACATTATGTTGTGTTATAATACAAATTGTATTAGTTTATAAAACTTACATTTAATTAAATACAATCGTCCCCTTTGCCCAGAGATAACTACTTGTATTAACTGTTTTATCCTGCTTAGTTCTGTCAAAAATATCCTATCTATAAGAAGATGGACATTTCAAAAGGACGAGATGAGTAATGTCTCCATCAACAGTCTTTAATAGTCCACTGCTGGACATAGACCTCTCCTTAGCAAGGAGATATTGGCCTACTATACCACCCACCAGTATAAGGTTTGTTTCAAGTTTTCCTTCTCTTTGCAGTGCTGTTGTCCTTTTTTTATGTTAGAGGGGACAGACGAGCACTCCGTATTTTTAATCCGTCACCACACAGAAGTAATGACTTATGCTCTTGATATTTTCAGACATTCGTCGCGATAGCTGTTCCAATAGACCTCCCGAACAAGAATGTGTTCGTGTCTTACAATTTCGAGTCTAACTACGCTGTGGTGAGAAACATCACGGAGCTTGACGAAGTTATATTCCCGAATCTGCCGGTAAGTGTTTGGACAGTGAATAGTTGAATTAATACTGATGGGTGACTACTAGTTGGATGCATTTGCAGGTTTAATTTAAAGTTGTTTAGTAAGGTTTAAATTAAACTAAATATTGTTCGCCTGATGGATGAACTTCAAACACACATTTCACTAAAATTGAACGTTGAATATTGTTTTACTTATTACTAGCTGGTGCCTGCGTCTTTGTTCGCGTGGAATTTGAAAAGCGTTGCCTTAGTGGGTTCGATTAGATAAAAATAGCCTAAGTTACTTTTTATCTAGGCAGCTAGCTGGTAGTAAAATATTATCAAAATCGGTTCAGCCAAACAGACAGACAGACAGAAAAAAAATCAAACCTGTTTTTAGGCATACGTATCGTGCAAATAGCCGCATGAGCATGAAAGACCCCATTTTCTTGAGATTACAAACAGACACTTCAATTTTATTTATTTGTATACGGATTTACGTTTAGTGACACGTAAATTTAAAATGTTTGTTATTGTTTCAGATTATAAGTTCCCGTCATAGTCGCAGTATAACGAGGGAGCTAGCATACACCGTGCTGGAAAATCGCTTTAGTGAGTAAGTGCTTTTATCCTAAACATACCATAGGTATTAATATTATTTAACGGGAATTAACGCGATCTCTTATTTAGGGTATTACATACCTCTGGTTTGCCTGACGTTTCGACCAGGTTGCACCGGCCGTGGTCACAGGCTGTGACCACGGCCGTTCCCGTTAAATAATATTAATTATCATGGAACGCGAAAGTTTAAAAGTTAGTATACCATAGGTATCACAAAATCTCTATTAGTATATTAGTAACATCGTAAAAAGAATTTACCTTGCAAAGTCAATAGCATTTTTAAAACCTTATAATTTTCACCGTTACCGTTGCAATTCTCATTATGGTATTTTAATGGTACTGACAAGACAAGAGATGGCCTGTAATCTAGAATACAGCATCAGACTTATATAATTCTAATTCTTCTGAGAAACTCTTTGAAAGATTGAACATAGACAGACCGACGTGATGTTTAATCAGGTCGATCTGATTATATTCAATCTTTAAATAAATAACATTAGTATTTATTTAAAGATTATAAATTGCAGATACGGCATGAATGGGAGAGAGTGCATGCTCCGAAACATATGCGAAGCAGCTGAAACTCCATTGCATCACAATGGGATCCTGGGACATTTAATGCATATCATATTTACGTAAGTACTATTGTAAATGTAATTTTACAATTATATTTTAGATTTATTACCGGTATTTCAAATAAGTGAAAGTTTTATTTATGGTTTAAATAGATATAAAGTTCAAAACAGGAACAGTTTTCAACTCAACTTTAGATAAATCAATATGTACGAGTAACTAATAATCTCATTATTATCAAACCTGTAGAGCTTGGTCTAATTAATATCTACATATTGGCTTTACATTTATAATCAAAATTCATAATTCCGGTTTTAAAGTATTTATTTTTAAAATAACAAAGATATCTTTTTCGATTACGCAACTTTTAACGAAAGCACTTTCTTAGCTTTATTATTACAAGATATTGTGATTCAATAAGTACTTTTAAAAGAAGTTATAATTGATGGAATAATTCTTTGTGGCAAAGTTTTTATTATACTTTCGAATTCACTCGCTACTTAAATGAAATACTTAAGTAAAATATATATTTAGACAACGGTGTAAATGTAGCTATGTCGAGATGGTCCCTCACAGAAAACCGTTAAACAGTTTCTCAACCTAAATATGTAAAAAAGAAACGAAGAAAACAGAATATCTGAAGTAGTTTTTGAATATATTCCATTTAATATTTTGTAAAGGACATACCCAAACTAAATCACTTCACTACGTAAATCTATGAAGCATTAACCAAGAGTAAAAAATCACGGATATTCATACATGACGTATTTCGAACTGTGTTAGAAATTATGTGAGTGGAAAAAATCCAATACGGGTATATGGGCCGAGGGGGATTCGATGTTCCTTTGAATTTGCCCGACAAAGTCAGATATAATAATAGGTTCTTGATATTAAACATTTATAACGTTCAGAATGATATTTTTTTTGGTATACGTACGCAATATTATACTGCTTACAGGTAAATCAGATTATAAATCTAATAACGAGCTCAAAAAATGACTCAAAAGCTCAAAAAGAAGTGAAGGGAGCGTCGAAGTAGATACTTACTGAATATTTATGTGTAAATTAAAATTCTTATAAATGATTTGCCTATCAGCAGACTATCCACTTGGATAATAAATACATTCATACAACATTAATTTTATTAATTTTATCGTGATTACTGACGAATAAAGATGCATAATATACTCGTACAAGTGGCATACAAGCGCATACTTTCGTTCAGTGAAGCTAAGTGCTGCCCATTTTTGATATATTCTGTCTGTAGGTTATACCTATATTACTATTACTCAGATCGCAGGTTGTTACAAGACCAGTGGTGTCAATAATGCATTGCTAATCTCTCACAGTTCCACATCCGTGTGGTGACGGATTTAGAATACAGAGTGTCACCACCCCTATTCATCCCGTGGGTGTCGTAAGAGTCGACTTAGGGAGCAAACTACGCAGGACAACAGCACTGCAAAGAGAAGGAAAACTTGAAACAAACCCTATACCAACACGTCTGGCCTGCATGTTATAGTAGGCCAAAACCTCCTTTCTAAGAAGAGGCCTATGTCCAACAGTGGACTACTTAAGGCAGTTGATGATGTTGATGAATCTCTCGAACTAATCTATGGAAATGCGCACATAGCAAAATAGACCACGCTTATGTAATGTTGTCTGTCCAATATCTCCTGAATGATGGCCTTAAATAGCTGGATGGCTTTGGAGAAGTCTCCTTGAAGTATTGTGTCAATAATATTTTTATTGATAAAATAAGTTGCGGCGAGCCTAGTAAGAGGCTTAAGGATTATATCGCCTGAATAAATAGTAGCTGGAAATGGAATTTTCTAGATTTTATTTTCCAAACGTAATACCCTTTTAGAGATTTCGAATCCTAGGCGGCATATTAGATTTCTATTGATGTCATTATTATTTATGTACCTAAATACACAATCCTATAAGAAAGGAAGCGAGTTTCATATTCCCTCAATTGTGTTAAGCGATCTCGTTGTATTTGTATAACAGGTACATCGCAATTCAGAATCTATTACTTAAAAGTTCTACGGTGCCTTTAGAGCATAACATGAGCATGCATTGATTTTAATTCTTATTCTGTCATAGAACCTACTAAAGAAGAGTAGGTGTTTTGACAGATCACCGGATGGGGAAGGAAGGGAGTTTGTTTGTTTGTTCCCCTTTAAACCACTAAACTGATTGTAACAATTCATTCACCAACGGAGTGCTACATTATCAGCGAGTAACATAGACTACTTGTTACAGCGATAACCGACATACAAGCGGGCGAAGCCGCGGGCAAAAACTAGTATATGAATAAAAAAAAATGCAATAATTTCTTGACCTTTTAATTTATATAGGTAAAAAGTTTCTGAGCTTTAGTTACTTGTATGCATAATACATATTCACGTCTTTTGGATATCCATGACTAGGATTGCTGCAGTTGGATCGAAACGCAAAATGAACAAAAATAAGTTTTTTTTTTTTTTTTAAAAGACAACTCCCGCACTAGGAATAAATCCTGTGTCGCGGGGGACTTTACAAACATACATGAAACGGACACAAAGTACAGTCCCATGTGGGGTTTGAACCCACAACACTCGACGTAATAGGAAGCGGCGTGGCGACCGCTTAAACCACTACGCCATCTGTGCAGTCGATATCATACCCAAACCATTTTTTTGTGTTAATGTACCTTTGCCTTATAGTCATTTACAATATTTACATAATGGATGAGACGTCGTTTTATAATTCCATAGTGTTTATTGTCCTTTTAACAAAAGAATATAAACATATATAAGAATTATGTTTATTTAATTAAATGAATATCTAAAAATCATTTTCATTCATTCGTATAGAGTCCGACATTTAATGCTGAAATGCAGGCTATAATCTCGGGTTATTGCTTAGAGTAGTTTAAAGTATGTGGTAAATATTTCGTTTTATAATTTTGTTGCCAATGTTTCGTGCCTGCAGCAATATATTATAACACTTAACTGCACTGATGGCGTAGTGGTTTAAGCGGTCGCCACGCCGCTTCCTCCTGCGCCGAGTGTTGTGGGTTCAAACCCCACATGGGACGACACTTTGTGTGATCCACAAATTGTGGTTCTGAGTCTGGGTGTACTTTGTGTCCATTTCATGTAATGTAATGTAATGCGGGCGTTGTCTTTAAAGAAAACACTTAAATTAAACAAAAAAAAAATAAACAGTTTTGTTGCAATAATAATTAAATGTTTAATGTTAAAATTAACTTTCATAATTCAAATGCTTTCTCTTCAAATCATATGCGCATTTGTGTTTCAGACCTTCAGCATCTCGTGAAGAAGGATTGGACGACGAATACTACGAAGCAGAGGCTGCTGGTCATAAGGGAGATTGTGACAAATATGTAGCGGAATGCCCCACCAGCCTTTTCGACTACATCACGCGCCTAGTTGAATTCCCACACAAGTCATAAGCTCTGTAATAAACGATTGACTCGATATCATTTTGACTATTAATTTTAAGACTTGATTTTATTAACTAACTTTTGTCTGGTTTCTCTTTATATAGAACTATATATCTATATATTTTGACTTTACAAGTCTAAAGACCTTCTAAACAGTGGAAACAGTACTTTTTTTCTGGAGGCAAGATATTATGACATCTTTTATTACCTGACAATATGTATAAAAAAAATCCTAATATCGGTTAAATAAAATTGAAGCCAGAAAGCATTAAAACCAAAGTCAAATTCTTTATAATGTTAGTAAGTATGAGAATACTGAAGCTGAAAGACCAACCATTAACCAAAGGCAGAATTAATGATTTCGTTTAAACCAATGAGAACATTTATCAAATAAAAAAAAGTACAGGAAAAAATTATCTGCATAATTCATGTTTATATTAAGGGTATTATTCTTAGTATTTTTTCTAACATGAATCTACTTCTAAAAAAACTACTTAATTGCAAAGACACATCAGGACTTCAAGTCGCCTTAAAAATCATTTTTAAGGCAAAAGAGCTACGCTATGTTTTCCGTGTGGTGACGGATTAAGAATACGGAATGTGAACATCCCAATTCGTCCCGGGGGTGTCGTAAGAGCCGACTAAGGGAACAAACTACGCAGGACAACATCACTGCAAAAAGAAGGAAAACTTGACATAAACCCTATACCAACCCGTCTGGCCAGCGTGGTATAGTAGGCCTATGTCCAGCAGTGGACTGTTAAAGGCTGTTGATGTGTGATGTGGTGCTGTGATATTTTATAAATCGTGCTTCCAACCTCCGCAGCTCCGGCTTCGTTAAAACAATATTATATTCTTAGAAAAACTTCAATAACTTTAGTACAATATAACCTTGATTTTAGGGAAACTCTCGGTGAAAGATCAATGATTATTTGAAAATAACTAATTTGAAATGAAATATCTAAATAAATGAAACAGCAGCTTATTAAATTAATACCAAGTATTTATTATTTGTTTAGGCTCTGTTACCAGTAATATTTATTACCAGTAAAATTATATTACAGCGCATACATTATTTATCATAACATTTAAACTTATTAGTTTACAAAATTTAAAAATTATTCACAGCCGTTACATTAAAATGTTTAATTCAATATTTATTAGACACTTATTCTAATATAAAATTAATCTGATTGAGATATACATTTAATAGTTTTTTTAATGTAGTGCTTATAACTATTTTGTTATTTCATCATGATACCAATATCGTTAAATTTACCGATTAATAAGTTAAAACCGTCCAAATAATTTATCGTTATCTATTATTAATCTGTTTATTTTACTATCTAATCTGTTTACTTTAAACAGGCAGTGCTTATTATACGTTTCGGATACGACTTTTACAATTTCAAATAAGTTTTAGATTAGGGTTTTAGTTATTAAGTTTATCCATACACCTATCTGATTTACACAAGTAACCCATGTCCAAGAAATTATCATTTAAGATCTGTTTTTATTACACTGAATATTTCGATTGCAGCGCAAAAAGCTCTCGCATAATAATATACGAGTACATATATACTCAACGTTAAAATAAATTTGGATTAACTAGTAAGTTAAGATGATTTCGATTTTTGTTTGTATATATCAGAAAATAAATTTCCATTTAAGATGGCTTACATTATTCTGTTCAAAGTCTTTCAAGTACTAACTATTTATTTTGAGGATATTTGTGATCAAAATCACGATATTGAGTCATTCTGACTGACTGACGAATGAGAGATTAGGACTTATTAATTCCTCATTAGGTTAAATATTATGGTACCCAACTACCTAGAATACCATAACTGCCCAAAATATTCATTTGTTATTTTTGTATAAGTTGAAATTTGTTATAATTTGTTTTTAATAAATAAATAAATATTATACAGCCATATTTGCTCAAGCCATATCGTTAATTTTCGAGCGTTACTGTTTAGAGAATAAAGCAAGTACAGTAAATAGTCGAAAATAAAGCTTAGACAAAAATCAACTTACTCGTTAACTAGTGTTTTCAACCATATCCATTATCTCATTCCATATATATATCATATTTAATAAAAAAAAAAAGATAATTATATAATCTTAAATTTTCAACTCTGGATAACGACACTCGACAAAGTAATAAATTGATCGTATTTAGTAATACTGATTAAAAAACATTTTACGGAACCAAGAAAAATAAATTATTTTTATTACTAAACTGTATTTAAAAGTTGGAAAAACGAGACAATCATTGATATATGTATTTATAAGGCAGGAACTCCGTTATCTATCCCCCAATTGTACCGAATGGGACTGGTCATGGGTGAACATGGCTTTATCGGTGACATTAAGTCTCGTTATTCACATCTACCATTAAAAAAAAACGACCAGACTACCGGATGGCTACACAAACAACCACTTGTTTGTGTAACGGACTGCTATTCCAAAGGTCGCGGGTTCGATTCCCGCTGAAGTCAAACTTTTGTGTGCATGAACATTTAATGTTTGATTTGGTCTGGGTGTTTCTTTGATGTATAATATGTATCTATTTACAAAAAAAAAGAGGTATAAATGTATTTTTATCAGTTGTCTAGTACCCATAGTACAAGCTCTGCTTAGTTTGGGACTAGATGGCGTTGTGTGAATGTGTAAAAAAAAACTGTTATAATGTAACAAATCAATAACGACATACACAACTCCTATATTTAACTAATAATACCAATCGTTTCAATATCTTTCGGATAGAAAAAGTTATTCTTTTTCATTGGAATAGACGAGATTTGCTGGTCGACTGGCACTCTTGTATCGTAGAGGGAAGGTGATTGGAAGATGATGCCGAAGGTTCCGACGAAGCAGGCGATGGTGAAGAGCCACAGAAAGAAACGGTCCAATACCATGGACATGAACTTCCAGTCTTCGACGACCTGTAGACAAAAAAAAGAGTTAATTAATAGATAAATTAAATAACGCATAACATTAACAAATTATCTATTAGTGGAGTGAAGGTTATTTCAGAACATAAATTGCTTTGAAGTAAAAGAAGAAATACCAACCAGTCTGGCCAGCGTGGTATAGTAGGCTAAAACCTCCTTTCTAAGGAGAGGCCTATGTCCAGCAGTGGACTGTTATAGGCTGTTGATGTGATATGTTGATGTGAAAAGGAGTTCGTAGCTAACTACTAACCAAGTAGGTAAGCACAAAGTTAAGCAATCAAAGTCAGGTCAGTCTATAGATAGGAGACCATTCTTAACACATTGAGGAGCCTCTCAGCCCAAGAGAGCACTTTAGTTCGTCGGTCCAGGTTGTGTTACGAACATCCGTGACAATCGTTACGGGCAGTTGGAGCTCTAAGAAAAGTCCAACAACAGTCTATCCTCTGAAGACTATCTACTATCGAAGATATCGCCTGGAACTTAGTTGTGGAAATCTGATGGCAGTCGCTCTACGTAAAAAATAGAAGTTCAGCTGTGTCGTAATAGACTGACAGCCGACCCCAACCTAGTTTAGGAAAAAAAGGCTCAGCGGCTTTGAATTAAGAGTAAATTGTTGGTTTTTTGTTAAAAACAAGTTGCATGTTTGTTATCCATACTAATATTATATTTGCGAAATGTCTGTTTGTCTATTACTTCTTCACGCTTAAACCGCAGAACAGATTTAGATGAAATTCGGTGTAAAGATAGATTGAGTGTCGAGAAAAGACATAGGACCCATGGAACAGACCCCTGCGGAACACTGCACGTCATGAGCCGACCCCTCAAAGCACGTTCTTCCCGTCATCTCAAGGAGGCCATCGTGTGATCCTCCCATTGCGGGAATAGGGCCTCCAGCCCTTTTTTTTATGTTAGAGGAGGCAGACGAGCAGACGGGTCACCTGATAGAAAGTGACAATCGCCGCCCATGAACGTCTGCAACTCAGGAGTCACAAACGCGTTCCCGGCCGCGTTTTAGGAAGCGCTCTTTTCTTGAAGATTTGAAGGTCGTATCGGTCCGGAAATACCGCAGCCGATAACCTGTTCCACAGATTGGTTGTGCAGGGCAAAAAGTGTCTCGAAAAGCGTACAGTAGTGGATCGCCAACTATCCAGGTAATGAGGATGAAAATTTTGCCGTGTGGAACGATGGAGGAAATTTGCAGCTGGTATTAGTCCGAACAATTTCTCGGAGCACTCTCCATGATAGAAGCTGGGCTGGAGAGTTTCCGTAAGCTTTTGTCTTAGCTTTTGTGACCCCAAGAGTCACGATCGAGACCCTCTATGGCCAGCTTCAGAGTTTTCCGCGTATCTTGGTACTCGTCATGAAGCCGGCACTCCTCACCGTTTTCCCTGACGGACGGACCTCCTGGCACGAGTACAGGCCGTGCGGAGGTCCGCCAACTCCTGGGACCACCATTAAGCCTCCTCTAGTAAGGGCATGGCCGCATCGCAGATCTGCGATCGCATCACGGGACCGGTTAAGCCTACGGGTAACCTAACTCACTCAGGAAAGAAAACAAAAGAATTGCTTATCAGTGCTATATATATATATATATATATATATTTTGTTTACACGTATATATATATATATATATATATATATATATATATATATATATGCGTAACGTACGTAAGCTTATAAAACCTGTTCCATGAGACCGTGTCATGTTGAAGCATGGCTCACCCATGGTATGACTGTACTGATCGTTTTGAGAGCAATCACGAACACACTGGCAATTTTTCCAGTTTATTTGATGATTCTTTTTTCAATTTTTATTTTGTATGATTTTAAATCCTTGTTATGTCGAGAAAGTAAGGTATCTTTCGAAATTTAATATTAGGGACTCATACAAATATAGTCAACGTCTTCTAAACGAAAATAATAAAAAAATAAAGATCTTTGGAGTGCAGCGTAATTTTTGATGTCTATATTTTGCAAAAAAAAAATTGAATTTCTTTTTTTTATTGTTTTGATTTTGATTGTGCTCATTACACAATATTCTGCTGGTTGGGAATCGTGGATCATTGACCAGTAGTCAACAGGTCAGTCTAGAATATTTAACAATCATTTGAAGTATTAGTACCCTGTATAGTTTAACAAAATGTAGCCAGCAACTATTTATGTTCAGAGCACTGTCTGTAGAGAAAGATGTTCCTTATCACGTAAACAAGGTAACCGTACTTTTTTCATTATATCCTGTCGTAACAGCCCTCTTGAGTTCTGAATGAGGGGAAGCGTATCAAGGGACAATTTCCCCTTTGAGATTAAGCGTTTCAAAGCGATTATGTATACAATACGACACGTTTGAGAAAAGCACTTTGCATTTCGCAAAGAAGTGCTTAAAGCTGATTATGGAGGTAATCTTTCAATCTTACACGGTCCGGTTGGTATATTTTTTTATCAAAAAGCTTATTTAGATTATAATGATGTCCGTGTGATGACGGATTAAGAATACGGAGTGTCACTATCCCTATTTATCCCGTGGGTGTCGTAAGAGCCGACTAAGGGAGAAAACTACGCAGGCCAACAGCACTGCAAAGAGATGGAAAACTTGAAACAAACCTTATACCGACCCGTCTGGCCAGCGTGGTATAGGAGGCCAAAATCTCCTTTCTAAGGAGTGGCCTATGTCCAGCAGTGAACAGTGAAATAATAATTATTTACCCATGGCTGGGGGTGACTAGGTTCGATACATGGCTTGGATAGACCGGAGTTAAACCTTTTTCCGTGCGGAAATCCCCTCGGATACCACCTATCGGTGGCATGTCGGACTCGAACCGACTAAAACCGCACGCCGTCTCGGGTACTAATAGCCGGCTAACCAGGTATACCCTAGAAAGGAAGTCCCTGGTGCCCCGACATACCTCGGGCCATCTACAACAACAGGTAGACGACCCCCCTCGTGTGGGAACCCCATGTTCCCTCTGCTCCCTGGAAGCGAGAGCGCTTCGCAACGCGCTCGCCGCCACCCCGGCCTGCTTCTGCTAGGCCCTGCTCTCCCCAGGCCTGCGCTTATGGAGGACGGAGGTCGTCGTCCCCTCCCCCCTCGCACACCGCAAAGCGTTTATGTCTCCAGTTGTTCATCAATCAGTTGTTCCGTCTTTGCCCTATACACCGTAAACAATTTATAATTAAAAAAAAACAAACTCCCGACTTCAAAAAGGCAAATTAAAAGTAATGCACTAAAAAGACCGAAACAGAACGAGGTCCGACACAAACATGGCCCACTTTTGCGCTTTCCAAATTTTTATAAAACCAATTTCTTATTTTTTATTACATTGAATATGTTACTTAAATATACTTTTGTAATCCTCTTCAAATTTGATAGGTTGGGTATATTTGTTATATTAACCCATTACTATTCTACGCCAAAAATCCGCCACTTTGTTTTTTTATTTCAAAAAGCCATCTAAGAATAATTGGGTTTTTGAGATGGATAAAACAATACCCTTGACTTTCGAAATCCATCCAACTATTTGGAAAATACGGTAATAAAGAAATTTATAATTTTTTTGGCAGTCGGGTAAAACTCATTCCTGTAAAATGTCTGACACCGTGAACTGACCTCATAATAACAAGTGTCAATATACAGAAACCTATTTTTATAATAGTATCTATGTCCCATTCTGTCGAAAAAAAAAACATAAAACCTGATTAGAACCTTTAATAGCACATTTTTTTTATATATGACATATGTAAACTATGTATATCTATAGAAATTGATCTATACAACGGCAAATACGTAACTCCCGTCTAAAATTATGGTCGTACTCCACAGAAAAGGCTTTTCAAGCAGCTAGTATATTGCACGTGGTATGATAATGAGTACTGGCTGTATATGAGCGCCCCGAACGCCCGTCAGGACGCTATTTATTTTCGACAGAATTTTTCACAAAAAACTCTCATGTATTCCGCGTTGATAACGTCGGTATGACTCGTTGTTGGCATACAATTTTGAACAGTGGACAGATTACACGGGGCTGTCACCAACAGCCTACTTGAAAAAGTGGCTTTCCTCCAAAAATTTTAAGATTTAAGATATCAAGTCCGGCATCATGATTAGATTTATATTCCTAAAGTCAACCCATAACTTATAAAGTGGAGGCAGAGAATACGTAGCATGAATATTTATTATTTAAAAATATATAAAAAAATATAACAAGACAAGCTTATTGAAATCTAGATACTGAGTCCTTACTCTCAAGAAAACGTATTTTATCAATGGTATGCAAAAACACAAGGGAGGTAGGCCTATCCACTGACGATGCTCACCAGCGAAATGTATGGCGCCGTATGGTAGGGTAAGCCGACCCCGCGTAACGGGAATGGGCGAGGGCAAAGAAGTATGCAAAAACACAAGATCTAATAGTCGGCATGTAAAAGAAATATAACTTCATATCATTATCGAATATTCACGATTATAACGTGTGTTCATACACAAAGTTCATAGAAAATGATGCGAAATGAGGATAAAACACTATACTAACTTTTTAAACTATCGCTTTGCATTATATATAGTTATGTTTATGGAAATTAATGCGGTCAGAGTCAGTCTGTGTCCATGTAGTACAAACTTGTCGAAACGTCAGGGAATTTAAAGGTATGTTCTTAATACCCATCGCAGGCTCGTTAATTCCCGTAAACAAATATACTTCTTACAACAGTGGATCTGTTTACCAGTTTGAATCTTCATGATTTTGACTGAAACCCTCTGATATTAGGACTTGTTTGTGTACAGCAGCAGTAGGTAGGCTAGCTGGCACACATGACATCGATATAACATTATAGGGGTATTTTATTAGTATTTGTTATGAGGATAATTTCTAAAACGGCGTTATTTTCAGACGTCAAAAGAAAAATACTTACGTAACGAGTAAAAAATGAGCTGGGCCTAGGAAATACTCAAAGGATGCTATTAAAATTAGAATGGAGTAACAATTCCAAATGGTCAT